GATGTAAAAAAAAAACCGTTAGTGTTTGGCTAACAAGTAACAACAAACAACTATCTAGTTGAGTAGCCCACTGATTTTTTTTTATTTATGAATGTTAGGTAGCCCAGCCTACGATTAATGATAGACCCGGTGACTAATCCAATTAATGGCCCAGCCCACTCCATCAAAGGCCTCCCCCGCCTTTGATGCTCATGCATAACGGAATAAATAAAACATGTACAAAGAAATAATAATAATAATAATACGTTTACTAAAAGATACGTTTTTTTTAGGAGAGGAATTTTTTTTTTAGGGGAGAATCCATTTTTAGTTGAAATTAGTTTGGAGTGTTAGAGTGATCACAAACTATGAAACTCTATAACCATCCAAAATGAGAAAGAAAGACCCCCTATATTGACCCGTAGCGACTGAATTCAAATGAACGTCTCACATAAGAAAAATAGAAAAAAATATAATTAATGTCTCTCTGTCTCTCCTATCCCATTATAAATACCTTACAAATTGGGGAGATACGAAACATCAAATCATCAACATACAAACCATTACGCACTACTTTTCCCGATACTACTCCTAGTCATGAGGAAGCACGTTTCTTTCAAACTCGCATTCTCGTCATCGCTACTTTTCCCGATACTCCTAGTCAGTCTCATCGCATGTATGTAACAATTAACATCATATATATGTAACCAACAAGTGTGGTTTCTACTGCCTTTAACACATGTTCCTCTCCTTATCTCCAATGTTGATGATCATGTGTTACTGTCGTGTCTTTGGTTTCTTATGTTGCAGGCATGGCGAGGCCAAGTATTGATCGAGCCAAGAACGACTCCATCATCTTCGACGACGAAAATGGTGGATTCAGTTGAAATCAGGAGATGATCATTTTGCCAAAGTTACTTTTGCTGGCGTCCCCAGTATCAGGCCCAGCTGCACAATTGGAACCGATAACACACAGTGCCGCCAATTTTGGAAGTTTGATCGGTACCATTGCGGTGCTGCTGATGGAATTTGCCATTGCATTATTACGTGAAGTTTCTTTCCTGTTAGTTAATCTTTCCTTTTTTTGGAAGAAAGTCGAGTAGTTTGGAATGGAGAAAATTGGCATTGACGATCTCGAGTGGTTAGTTAATAAAGTACCAAATAAGATTGCTTCTCGATCTTGTGGTTGATAATTAAGAATGTAGTGTTTGCGTCAACAGCACCTAATTAATAAGAGTTGATTATGAGTGCTATCCGAAAGAATCGCGAGTTAATCGTTGACCTAGCTAACTAGCTAGTTAGTGATTGGATTGGTCGTAATATGATTTAATTAAGCGCGACTTCTCAATTTGGTGTCCTGTCCCGACTCATTGTAATTTTTAACTCACATCCCGACTTGAAATGGTCAGTCTGGGTTCAATACAATTGGGTAATTGTCATCCCCTATTTAGGCATAGTCAAGTCTATTTTCAAGAGTTCAAGTCAAAGATAAAACGACAGTATTTTGCTTTCTTCCATCCTAAAATGAAACAAAACAACGGCGTTATTTCACATGAAAGAAGAGTCGTACCGTATCATATAACAGATTAATAGTTTCGGACTATAGTTAGTATATATAACTACTTTTTTGGATAATAGTAGTAATTTTGTAATCTAGGACTCAACCGGCCATGTAAACTAAAAGCTACCATATGTGTCTTATGTCTATACGAAGAAACAAAAATGAATTTTATATACCTTGGAAGTGTTCGAGTAATCACAAAATAAGGAACTATATAGTATATAGCCATTCAATTGAAATCGACGTCTCTCTATAAATACTACGTACACAAATTAACTTAAACATGCAATTCATTTTTCCCAAAAGAAACACAACCCTTACACACATAAATTAAAGAGTACCCCTCTTACGCATTATCCATAAAAAAAAAAAAAACTCGATCGAGCAAGTAGGTTAAGGTCCTACAACTACCAAAAGTACGTACGCAATCTCCCCAACGACACCCACCATGAAGAAGCTTGTTTCGTTCGAAATCGTGTTCCGGGCACATCTACTTATGATAACCCTTGCCATCATTGTTGCATGTACGTCCACCATCTCTACATTATCTTTACTGTCATCTTGTTCATATCTAGCCAGCCATATGTTGTTGGTGGTGTTGTTGTGTCTTTACTCTTTATGTTTTAGGCATGGCCAGACCGAGTACTGAGTCAAGAACGAGTCCAGCAGTGGAGGTGGATCGGCTGGGGAATTTAGGAGACGCTAACAATAACATTACTGGCAGTAACGAGTTGCCTAATCCCGGCTGCACCACTAATAGCGCTTATGAACGATGCTACGCTTATTGTCTTTCGAAGAATCCTACTAATTATCTCTATTATTGCTGTAATCATGGGTCGTGCCATTGCAGTAATATTCGAGGATGTTTGAAAATTTAACAATAATTAATTGTTGATCCTAATCCAAGACACTTGACACGCCGCTAAGGTTTCTCCCCTTTAACGTGGTTATTTAGCCTAATGATTTGATTTCCACTCCAACCAATCTCTCAAGTTATCCGTTGTAGTCTCTTAAGATGATATTGTCGACCATGTTCCTTAAAAATTGTAAACTTCAAACATTTGCACCTAACCCCAGATCCATTCTCGTGAACAAACAGAACGCATATGAATAGTACTGATCAGGCATGGGACTTGGGAGAGCAGATAGTAGAGTATAGGAATATTATTTTAAAGTACTATTATGGTGCTAACACAAATAGAAGTCTTTAATCGAATGATCGATAGAGATTTATCTCATGCTTTGCAAATAACTAACTCTATTAGTCTATTAGATGATTTCTTGTGTGTATTTGTTTTCTGATTTTGGTGTTTATCACTAAAGTACGATGACATGAAACTACAAGCTCCAAATTAAATAAAACTTGAGCAAATATAGAATAAGTACAATTTAGTTTAAAATATAATTTGTGTTCTTTTTCCGTTATTTCTTTTTTTATTGGTTACCTTTTGTAAAAGGCGATAGGAAAGATGAACACGGGACATGGATTTTATGTGGTTTCCCCGTTCGATATGAACGGGACTAGTCCACGAAGAGCAGGGGCTCTTAGGGTTTCTTATTGATTGACTGATGATGATGATAGGTTTCGGCGGCTGCCTTTCACCTTAAATACACGAACCATACTCTCACAACAAGCACCGAGAGTTATGGCAAAATACATTACGGTCCCTACACTAAATAACTTGAACAAATAAGAATTCGTAGGAATCGTAATACTCCCCCTCAAGCGAAGGAATGGATATCAAGAAGTCCGAGCTTGACCAATAAATGCTGGAATTGGTCGGACCTCAAACCCTTGGTGAAGAGATCTGCAGGTTGATCAACGGTGGCAATCTTGAGAGGAATAATATTACGAGACTGAACGCGCTCATGAACAAAATAACAATCCATTTCGACGTGCTTGGTACGTTCATGAAAGACAGGATTAGCAGCTATATGAAGTGCAGCTTGATTATCACAGTGAAGAGGCGTAGGACCAGAAATAGAGACACCCAAATCACGAAGAAGCCAGCGGAGCCAGAGAACTTCGCTAACAGTGTTGGCCATAGCTCGATATTCTGCTTCAGCTGAAGAACGAACCACAACGGATTGTTTCTTTGTGCACCAAGAGATGGGAGAAGAACCCAAAGTAATAAAATAGCCAGTGGTTGAACGTCAGGTGATGGGGCAACCTGCCCAATCTGCATCGCAATAGGCAGTGAGTGAGAGTACGCCTGTTGCCGAAAGAAAAAGACCACGGCCGGGTGCCGACTTAAGATAACGAAGCACACGAGCAACTGCAGCTTCGTGAGCCTGAGTAGGAGCATGCACTGCCTGACTGAGCATATTCACGGCGTAGGTGATATCTGGTCGAGTAACAGTAAGATAGAGTAAACGGCCAACCAAACGACGAAAAGCTGCAGGATCGGAAGCCGGAGTAGAAGGATCACGGCCGAGATGATGTTGTTGCTCTATGGGAGTGGAACTGGGGCGACAGGTGGTGACGCCTGCTTCAGATAATATATCCAAGACATACTTGCGTTGATTCAACACGAGACCCTTGGGAGATCTTGCTACTTCGATGCCAAGAAAGTATTTCAAATCACCCATATCGTTGCCAACGAGAATGACATCGTCGACATAGATGAGAGCAATGACAAAAACAGTGCCACGACGGTAGGTGAAGAGCGAATGATCCGCCTTACTTTGAGAGAAGCCCAGAGCCAAGAGAGCTTGCGTAAACTTCTGGTACCAGTTACGCGAGGCCTAACGAAGACCATAGATGGATTTGTGAAGACGGAAAAACCGTGTGTCACCAGGTTGAGAAAAACCGGGTGGAATCTGCATGTAAACCTCCTCCTCTAGATCGCCATGCAGAAAAGCGTTATTAACGTCCAACTGCTGAATAATCCAACCACGTTGGACCGCCACCACTAACTAACAGCGAACCGTGACCAGCTTAGCCACAGGGGCAAAAGTATCGTGATAATCGATACCCTCCACTTGAGTAAAACCCTTAGCCACGAGACGCGCCTTATAGCGTTCAACTGTACCATCGGGGAGGAACTTTACCTTGAAAACCCATCTGCAAGCGATAGCACGCTTGCCCGGTGGAAGATGATACAAAACCCACGTGCCATTAGACTCAAGAGCGAGAATCTCTGTGCGCATGGCAGCTCGCCAATGAGCATATCGAGCTGCTTCATGATAAAATTGCGGCTCATTGACAGAGGAAACAGTCGCAACGAACGCATGATGGGCCTGAGATAGACGATTATAAGTGAGATAGTCCTCCAAAGGATAGTCAACTTCGACTTGGTGAGCTACACTGGGGAGATCGACGTCATATCCAGTGAGACGCTTCGAAATTTGCCTGACGCGATCGCTGCGTCGTGGAGCTGGGGCTGCATTTGCTGGCGCGGGACTAGGGCTAGGTGAAGTCTCGGTCGACGATGAAGCAGTGAATTGCGAGGGAGAAGACATGCCCGTGGTGGTAGAAGTGGACTGTGGAGAATGCATGGGAGAGCTATCCATGCTAGTAGGAGGTGTGGCGCATGAGGAATCCGCACCACTGCATGGAGAGTCCTTCAGAGATGTGACCGAAGGGGAAGCTTCTGAAGGTGGAGTGGATTGTGGGAGTGACGGAGCAGGCCCCCCTACTTCGTCTTCTGTGGAGTCATTATCACAACTAATGGCAGTTGGAACACAAGGAGACGAGGGTGTTGACGTGTGCATGGTCTCGACAATAGGGGAAGCCGAAATATGATAAGGAAAAATGTGCTCCATGAATTTTACATCACGTGAAGTATAGATGCGCCTGTGCTCCAAGTCAAAAACACGATATCCACGTTGATTACTGGGATAACCAACGAAAATTCATGCTCTCCCCCTCGGCGCGAATTTGTCCAAGCCTTGATCATTATCACGTGAATATACGAGGCAACCGAAACTCCGTAAATGAGTGTAGGCTGGAGCCTTGCCGAACATAACTTGGAAAGGAGATTTATTCCCGATAGGAGTGAGAGGCAACCGGTTGAGTAGATACACAGCTGTGAGAATGCATTCACCCCAGAAATCAAGAGGCAAATTCGCATGAAACCGAAGTGCTCGGGCAGTGTCGAGGAGATGACGATGCTTGCGCTCTACTACCCCATTCTGTTGGGGAGTATCGGTGCAAGAGGTTTGAAGAACAATGTCAGTCTGCTCGTAGAAATTTCGCAGCTCAGTGGTAGCAAATTCAAATCCGTTATCAGCTTGTATACGTCGAACCTGCTTGTGATACTGCGTTTTGACCATGTTGCAAAAATAAAGCAGATAGCGAGCCACTTATGACTTAAACTTCAATAAGAAAACCCAAACTGCACGACTGTAATCATCAACTATCGTCAAGAAATAACGTGCACCGGAAAATGAAGGTATCTGATATCCTCCCCAAATGTCAACATGTATCAGCTCAAAACATGTCGAAGTAGTTAGAAGAAAAAGGATCACGAGTCTATTTAGCCCGAATGCAAGAATGACAAACATCCTTCTGATGAACAATAGGACTCGGAATAAAATGTTGTAAAATAGATAACTTGGCCGCCGAAGGATGCACCAGACGAGCATGCCACACTGCCGAATTGTCCACAGCCTGTCGAACTGAATGCGCCACCGGATGCTCCCGTCAAACAGCTGCAGATAGTATAACCCATCGACGTGCTTACCCATCCCAATCAGCTTCCTAGAGGGTAAGTCCTGAATAGCACAAAAATCACGCAAGAAAATTAACGCTACTGGCAGATCGGCTGTGAGACGACTAACGAAGAGCGAATTGCACTGAAATTCCGGGACGTGCAAGACTTGTCGAAGCATGAGATCATTAGATAATTTTGCTGACCCAATATGATGTACAGGAACCCCTGTACCATTCGGTATTCGAACCTGTAAAGCTGGGGTTCTTTCCAGCTCATCAAGCAACAAGGAGTGATCATTCACGATATGTTCGTTACATCCTGAATCGATAACCCAAGCTGAACGAGAATGAGGATTCGTACCTGCCATGTTGGAGACGGGTTCAGAATTGGACGCAGCTGCCAGCACAGATTCTGATCCGAGGGACTTCAGTTGAGAAAATTGAGCAACCGTCAAGCCCGGTTTAGGGCTCTGCTCGGTATCCACCGTGGCCGCCTGAGGAGTTGAGCGTTGCCGAGAGTCAGGGCAGTCTGATTTGCGCCGCTGCACCTGCTCACCTGCTCCGAAATTGCGAGGAGGAAACCCGTTGAGTCTGTAGCACGTCTCTCGAAAGTGCCCTGATTTTTGACAATGGGTGCAATACGGGTGGCCATCCGCATCACGCTCCCCCTATCGAGGCGCTCGATCGGCCCTCTTCTGGTCGTGGGCCTGAAACACGGCGGCATCAGCTCGGGGTCGTCGATTGCTTAAGATATGGCGCTGCTTTTCATCATTCATAACCAGATTATAAGCCTCTCCTAATCTGGGAATCGGCTTCATGGCGAGTATCTGGGTCTTGACGTTATTGAAAGCGTCGTCTAAGCCCATGAGAAAGTCGAACAACTGTTCGCTCTCCTTGGATGCACGTTGCCACTGTTTGACATCACAGGTACATCCTCCACTAGTGCAGTCCAAAGATGGAGCAAGGGAACTGATTTCGTCCCAATGTCCTCGAAGCGTGGTATAGAAGCTCGCGACGGACGCCTTTTCTTGCTGTAAAAGGCTGATAGTGCGTCGCAACTCATACATCCGAGAAGCACTGCCATGGCCGAACCTAGATTGTATATCCAGCCATATTTCACGAGCCGTCTTGGCGAAACGGACGTTGCTTCGTACGTCCTTGGACATAGCTGTCTTGAGCCACCCTTTGACCATGGCATGACATTGCTTCCAAGCAGCATACTCCGCACCACCATCCGTCGGCGCCGAGATTGACCCATCGACAAAACCGAGTTTGTTTTTGGCGATGAGGGAGTCTGTTATATCTCCCAACCACTCGCCGTAGTTCGATTCAGTAAGGAGTTCACCAACGAACAATTGGCTAGGACTATCTGATTGATGGATGAAGAAGGGAGAAGGCTTTGGCGGCAGTCCACTCGTGCCGCTGCTATCCTTCGACTTGGATGAGCTGTTAAGAACTTTGTCCGTTCCGTCACTCATCGTTGAAGGTCTGCTGTGGATCAATCACAGTTCTGATACCATGTAAAAGGCGATAGGAAAGATGAACACGTGACAAGGATTTTACGTGGTTTCCCCGTTCGGTATGAACGGGACTAGTCCACGAAGAGCAGGGCTCTTAGGGTTTCTTTCTTATTGATTGGCTGATGATGATGATAGGTTTCGACGGCTGCCTTTCATCTTAAATACACGAACCATACTCTCACAACAAACACCGAGAGTTATGGCAAAATACATTACGACCCCTACACTAAATAACTTGAACAAATAAGAACTCGTAGGAATCGTAATACCTTTAGTAGTAGCACCATGATATTACTTTAAATTGTTATTATATTATCTCAAAAAATTAAAACCTTTGCCAATATAATTCATGTCGATTATCTCAAAGTTACATTCCATGAACATTGAAGTATAACTACTTTTGGATGACACTAAATATCCTAGTAATCTAGGACTTAGCCGACCATGCAACCAAACGATACCATAACAAACAAACAAATGAATGAATATAACTTGGAAGTGTTATAGAGATCACAAACTATGAAACTATAGCCACTAAATTGGAATCATCGGGTCTCTCTCCCACACTATGAATAACCCCTAAGGCATATCGACCTAAGAGCACCTCTTCCTGCACATCCATTCAAAATCAATCGAGTAGACGGGTCGATATCCTACGAGGTACCCTCCGAAAACCATGGGGAAGTCTGTCTCCTTCAAACTCGCATTCTCGTCATCGTCACTGCTTCTACTAGTACTCCTGACCGTTACTGTCGCATGTACGTTACTTACCACATAACAGAACTTCTACCTCTAGTACTGTTTCTATGATCTTGTCTTTAGCCGTGTTGTTCTTGTTGTGTGTCTCTATGTTGTAGGCATGGCGAGGCCAGGTGAGTCAAGAACGAGTCCCTCGGTGAAGGCGGATCAGGGGAATCTCGAAGATGCCAACATTACTGGTTTTCTGCTGCCTTCCACCTGCAAAACTGATAACGGCTGTGGTGGATGCCAAGATTATTGCCGTTCCAAGAGTCCTGGTTTTTCCTATCAATGCAATGTTAAGGATGGATGGTGCTGTTGCAGTGACCTGTGATCGAATATGTATGCCCGATTTCACCTCTACCAGTTTAGAACACAGCCTCATGCACAGCCTGTGGCCTCTCATTGCCAAGTGGAAGTGGTTTGACTACTTGGGAATCATCTTATCTTCATTTTGCAAAGAAAGTCGAGTTCAGAACACTAAAAATAGCTACAGGTTCATTAGCCCACGACGAGGCCCTAGCATGCACCACCAGAATAATAACTGAGTACTGAATTATTCTAGACTTCTAGTTCATCCCCGAGTTAATGACTTAATGTTGTAGGCATGACAAGACAGAGCGAGTCAAGAATGAGTCCATCAGTGAATGTGGATCAGGCCTCAGGGGAAGTCGGGAGATGCGCCAGCAAGAATGCACCATTGCTGACGCTTCTGCACATTGCCATGGTTATTGTCATTCGAAGAAACCTAGATATTCAGATCATTGTGGTAAATATGGATGGTGCCATTGCAGCTTTCGTTGAAACTCTAATAAATTGCAGCACAAAGCGGTAGCTCATTTCAATCTCAGCATTGGTTTGTTCCTGATTTGCATATATATATATATGTAAAAATATCATAAGAGAATCTCGACAGGTAATCAATATACCAAAAGTTTGTCACTAGGCCTGACCATAACCCTGTCCAGGCTTTCCAATCTTTACCAGATTGGTCGATGTTGACTGAATTTCGACCACACAGTTGAAACAGTCGGCCCTTCATGGTGCAGCAAAGATTCTAGGCTTCTAGCCCTAACAGAATTTCATACATATAATTCCAGTCAATCAGTCCACAGGCAGCCAGTTCTCTTGGTTCTGTTCATGGTGTCTAGGGTCTATATAGGGACATACCTGGCCTAATAATCAATATTTCTTGGTTTTCGAGTGAAGCAGATAAGTTGCTTTAGCCCGAATCTGAAATCACAAAACGATGAATTGTTGATGAAAACAGAAAACAACTCAAGCAGATGAAAAAACATAGCAGGGAAGTATAGTGCATGCAAACCTTGCTGCATAGGGCCTCAAATCCCCGTGGCTAATTTGGCAAGTACAATGGCGCAAGTAAACACCCCACATCTCACAGATAAGTGGCTTGTCTTCTAGCACTGAGGTGGAGAGCAGCCAATTTTCTGTCAAAATAAGGTATATGTACATTTTGAACAGATCACATTCTTTCTCCAACATATTAATGGCGATAAGGCAACTGAGAATCCCCTCCTCATTGCTCACCTATGGATGTAACAAAGTATGGCGGTAAGCAGAAGACATGATTATTTGATTACACAAAAAGGAGGCTTGATCAGTTGACACGAAATTCAAGTCAAGTTGATAGAAACAACAGCCAAGTGCCAACTACCATATCTAAACAATTAAGCAGAAGTTGATGAGAAACTGCAGCTCTGAAGTTATTAGCACGGGGGCTGATTCTTGGTATGCATTCCACTGCTCGTAAGCAGTTCAAATCCTTTGGAACCCTGTATTAACAACCCGCAATAAAAGAAATTAGGAGAACCAAAGGCACATCAAGAAACAATCCTCCAGTTTCTGGTTTAAAATGGCAAACTTCTCAAGATCCTTAGTCATTGCAAATCAAAATCAGCACATTTGATGGTCATAGACGAATACTTCAAGCGACTCGATAATTGAACCAATACCTTGATGGAGAAAATAACTGACAAGCTTGAGGTACATAACAGAAATAATTCACCTCTAATGGGGAAGCAAAACTTTGATTTTTCTTTTGTCCAATTCATCCTGATCAGAGTTCTACTTGATATCCATGAGACAGAAGAACAAAAAGGTCCATTGCGAAAACACCATTACGCAAAGTTTCATGGAAACCACTACTTTGCAAGCAATTTTTTGATTCTAGAACAGCAGTTCCAACTTCTGACAAACAATTGTAACAGCTAAACTAACAATTACCTGCAAGCAAGAGATCTAGCAACATTTTGACATGCTCCCTGCCATTCCTCATCTGTGAAGTAATTGATGACAGACTGTACAGTTTCACGCAGAAGTAGCAGCAATCCTTCCAGCTTGCGATCTAGAGACAGAAGAACCACAACCTCCAGTAATGTTTCTGCCTCTGAAGCAAAAAAGATACACCTTTTAACCCTGTTATACAAATAAAAATGCAGAAAACTAAAGAATCAGAACGAAAATCTAACTGAGCTAGGTAAATCTTCAGCATGATTTAACTGAAGAATAGGAGAAAAAATGCTTTCAGAACTGTCAAATACCTTCATTGACAGCAGGCAGCTATAAACTTTATACACATTTGAATATTATCAGGTGGTCCTCTATTGCGTCTGAAAAGGTGACATGCATGCAACTAGAACAGCCATTAACCTGATGCAGGACATCTAAATCCATAAACAGAAGAAAAAAAACGTGGGACATCTGACAGAGAGGGCCTTTCTATTAACATGACTCTCACCTGGAGTCAGGAACTCAGGATAACAGGTCAGCACAGAGTCATAGTCCATTAGTTTGGAACAGTGATGGGTGTGGCAGTACTAGTGCTAGAGCCAAGTTGAAGAACAAATAAAAATAATATGTGCCGCGCAACAAAATACCTAACCCAGCAATCTTCTGGACTCCATCAAGAATTCACTTGGTAGTTTCCCATACATGAAAATGCAGAGAAGAAAGGAGATCTTACCAACGATTCCTGACTCTCCCTGTGGTGGAACGTCTAAAAGAAACCCATATATTTCAAGAGCTGTTCTAAGGTCAGAATCATTTGGGAACCACTGAACTCCGGTGGGCTGCTCTTTATCCTGATCAACAACAATAAAGGCATGTCAAAGCTGTAAATAGGAAAGAAACATGATCTTTTGAAACTAAACACACATGTTATACAAGCACAGATCAAGTCACCTTCACATCAAGTTGAACAGCAGTGCACCAAAAGTCACAAGCAGCTGTCCTCAACTCCTCTTTCTGTGAATACAACACTGAGATAGCCTGAAGAATGAGTAACAACAAATCGTGTAGGACATCCAAAAGAAGTAGACAGAGAAGAATTGGACTCACTTATATGATAGGTCCATTGAGCTACCGATTTCTCTAGATGAACAAGTCTACCAACCAACTGCAAGAGCCAGCCATTTAAAAGTAGTCCTTCAAAAAAACCCTCTCCTGCAAAGAGATACCACAAAGATTTACTTCTCTTTACATTCTCCTAAGATTGATTGTAGTTCACAGTTATATCTATTCTTGAATGGAATAAGCGAAACTCATAAATACAGGGCCCATGAGGATTACCTTCATCTACAGTGAGTTTCACCAAAGAATTGATCTGGTTGCTCATGACAGACTGCAAGAAGGAATTGCTCCTAAGGTCCGGGAAGAGAAGAGGCGGTGCAGGTTCCTGCCGGATTCATCCAGAAGCCCAAAAGCATAACAAAGTAAATAACTAACCACGAAAAAAAGCATATCTTGCCTTGAATTCGCATTCTTCCAGACTTTTTAGCATAACCTCTTCTCTATTCTCACTTGGATCATGGTCTTTCAATGTCTTCGCCCGCTTGGACTGCCTCTCAATGAATTTGCTTCGCTCCTTGAAGTAGTCAGTCAAAAGATCGTCCAGGCCAATGGTTTTCCTCCTACCGTCCTACGGAAACCATATCATTAGACCCATAGTACAAAACCACAACCATAAATTTTTATGCAACCAACTCGATCACATCAGATTAGAATTTAGAACTACACTTGCTTCATAAACTTACTATATCTTCTTAAACAAGATATTTCCTTCAAATAAGAATCCTAGCAATCTTAAAGGCCATCCAACACAGCACGAAATCATTCAAACGACTCAAAAAAGGATTTCGAAACTACTCATATGGTTAATGAAGAAATCCCACTGCCAAATTATAAGAAGAAGCTCACAAGCAAGTACAGCTATTGGAAAAGGGGGAGAGGAAAAACCTTTTCTTGGCAACATCATCATCGAAAGTGAGAAGTGGGTCTTCGAATTCAAAATCTATCGGACCGTCCGTGTCCACAGAGTCCATTTTCGCTCGTCGCCAAAGCAAAGGGTTGCTGATCTCCGGCGACCTAGCTTTTTACGCAGCAGAACGGTTGCCACTGGACGCTGTGACTGCGATTACAGGCAACGCCAAGAGTTTGAGAAGAAGGCGGCAAAATTGGGACATTTGGGAAATGGGCTCTCATATTGGTTTTGCTTTTCGGTTTTTGTTTTTTAAAGGAAAACGGGCCCATAATTTGACTGGGCTAATCCGGGATTATTTAAGCCCATATCACGAACAAGGGATGTGAATATGATCCAGATCCAATAATTACAAAGCGTTTTCTTTTATCCATCCGATGATTGGGCTTAGGGCCTAGCTCGTCCACAGTAGACTTTACTACTTCGAGGAGTTGCTGATGTACTACTGGTTTCGCTGTAGGACTAAGGGGTTGTTTGCTTGTTGGATTTGAAAAATGAGGGTTTTGGTCATAAAAATTTTGGGATTTATGTTTAATTTATTGGATTATTGATTCGAAGAGTCTAATGTTTGCATGATAGATTTGATGATGGATTTGTGATGGATTTGTTAAATAAATAACTAACCATCAAGGATTTGCAAATCTCAAATCAATATGTGGGATTTACAAGTCCGTGGGGTCCATGGTTTTGGTTCTAAAATAAAAAGACCAAATTCGTGGACCCCATGAATTTAGCACCCTTCAACAAACAATGGACTTATGTTAAATCTGAAATCAAATTAGGGTTAAAGAACAAGAGGATTTGGGGGTTTGATTTGAGCAGGAGAGAATTGAGGAAGATGTCTCGACAAGGGATGACTGAAATGTCAATCTTCTAGTCTCAAGACCTCAACTCTCGAGTGGGCTCAAAAATACCAAATGGGCCAGAAAGCCGATAACTAAAAATAATGGTATGGAGATCAATTAAGCCCTGATCATCAGAACCATAACAGCTTTTGTTCTTCTATGAAGAACAGGAATTGCAGAATGAAGATAGCAGCAGAGTAACAAAACAGAGTAAAGGGCAGAGAGGAACACACGATCTTTTTAACGAGGTTCACCCTTGTGCAATGGCTACTTCCTCGTCCCAGGATCACAGATCCCAGGAGACTCTATTTATGATTTTGAATAAAAAAGGACACGATTAAAAAAAGACTCTGTTGAACAAAAGATAAATCGAAAACCTCCCTGAATCACTACCCCAACTCAGTTCAGCCACCACAGTATAGAACCTCTACCCCCATACTGTTCACCCTTCTGTCACTCAAAGCACAGATCTATACCTCTTGCTTTGTTTCCCACAAAAGTGATTCAACCCTGGAAATCCCCACGCTTATATAGAATGAAGATCTAGCCGTTGGAGAGAATCAAGAAGATTAGCTTGAATTGTGCACTTAGCTTGAATTGTGCACTTCCCTCTTTTGAGCATCCTGCAACGGTCTTGAGAGATTGACAAATCAGACTTACTATTTCAACAAAATCCATCAAGCTTGGGACTTGGGTACAAAATCCATGACCCAAATCCAACAAGCAAACGACCCCTTAAGACTAAGCACACTTTCTTTTTCGTGTGGATCCCTTTCCATGAAAATGGAGATATTACTATTTACTATTTAGAGGGAGACATTAGTCATTTAGTAAGTATTGACGATGATAAATACCTAATAATGAAAACCTATCGATGATCATTTTTTTCATTTTCTCTATTATCAACTTTTCTTAAGTTGGTTGAAAACCTATGATGAATCTTACGACAATCATTACTCGTTCGATGGATGAGCTTTCAAATTACGAGTAATAGTTTAGGTTCAATCCCTGCTGGGCCAGCCTTAACACAAGTTTATGAGTAATAGTTTAGCAATGCTTGATTTCAAATCCATTCACTCTCCCATCAAGGTTCAAATGCTTCTTAATCAACAGCATTCAAGGGGAAATTAAAAAGAAAGATGGAACTTTGCAAAACCATAACCTGCATGCACATTTTCTTTAATGTCCACCATATCCAGCAGTTTGTCTGCTGCAATTGCCTGAAGAACGCACATGGACAACCATATGGCCCGAGCGATGAGCAGAACATTACGCCAAACAGAAACAGCAAAAAAACCACCATCGATCACAGAACCGGCAACTTGCGCCAGAACTTAATTTGCACACTACAGTACTCATCGTCATTCGCCCATGATCATTTATGCACTTCTCTCCTTAAAAAAAGCCCTTTTTCTCCTTCTCCAACGCACACTTTCACTTGCATTTGAGGAAGGGAACTAACAAAGAAAGAAAGAAAGAACAGAGCCATGCATGTGCCTGTACAGCTCACACTCCAAAGCCAGTAGGGCACACTGTCCCTTAAAATAAAAGAGATGTCCCCAAAACCCAACCCTCTTTTTCCTCTAGATTTTTAAAGGGTCCCTTTACCCATTTTCAATACACACAGATGAGAGAAGAGAAAAAGGGTGGTGGAGTACTATAATGGCAGATCAGAAAAAAAAAGGACCACCATTGGGAATGAACATCAGAACATGCACATGATTGAGCGGGAGGCAAAGGTAAACTGTTCTTAATGTGGGTTCAGACAGTGGTATTTGGCCCCATAGAATTTGGGGTTTCATTTTCCCGGCTTAGGAAGCTTTTGTTTCGTACCTATGGAAGTGTATTATTAATACTGTGATGTGATGCGATGCTCTGCCCCCCATCTACCATATGAAATGAGACTGTTGTTACTAAACTCGTATTGGGAGATATCGAGAACGTTATAAACGAACTAACAGGCGAAACGAGCAATCGGTGAACTTGTGTTCACAGGGCGTGCTATAATTGTAGTTCTGATGTTTTGGTGAGCTTAAACTCGATTCATTTATGTGTATTGCTAATAGTGTTGGTACACTAGTTGGGGGGGTCACACAATGCTAATAAGGGTAATTGGTTAGGTGTAGAAGACAGGTAGAGGGATTTGGTGAGTCATAAAAGCTGAGTTGTGGTGCTTCAATTTTTTTTACAGAATTTGTTCTGTACAGAAAGTTGGTCAAAGAATTGAATGTGTAAAATTTATGGCAAATTGTACTATAGCTCCATACATCTATAACAAAAACAGAAACTGACCATATTGAGGTTCTAATAATGTAATTACCAAGGGGAAACTTCGAAAGTATTCATGAACTGTATGTATTTGACTTGACGTAATCGAGGGGGGAAATCGTTGAAGAAATTTCAAAGTGCACTTCTTTCAAAATGCACATTGTAGATGATCATTCCGTGCTACATATGGCTAGCACTATTTTCTCGTGTGCCCAATATCATCTCTATATTATTGAGTTGATCTCTTAGTATCTTGGTGAGATTTTCTTTAATTATTATTATTTAAGATTCAGATTCGTGTAAATACTTGTTAATATTTATTCGGCCTAATAAGTTTAAGAAGCTATTTACCAAAGACAAGAGTGAAAACTAGGATGAAGAAAGTGTCTTTAAGCTCTTCAATTGTGTGCAAATCCCTACTAACTAAAGTTTGATTTGACAACAAGGGAAAAGGACTCGATCCAACAAAACATACAAGGGCAGGCAAAAGATGGGCACTTTTTTTTGGGTATGCTGATCACGAACACAAAACCTAACTTGCCAGACAAGCAACACTGAAACAATTGCTTTCTTGATTATCATATCCTGCTGGCTTCGTCACACAGCACAGCCACCACCGGATCAGAGGGGTCGTGGAGATTAATTATGGTGTTGCTTGATTAGCTACTCAAGCAAGCAACTCGATCCAATTAGTGACATAATTAATTAATTAATTCCCACACACAAAAAAAAAACCCCCAAGGAAATGGACGCGTTGATTCTTCAACCAAGCATTCATTTCTTATACAGAAAAAAAGTTATCACAAGAGATCAGCTTATTGCCTTTTGACCGTCTACACATCAGAGTCAAAAATGTTAACATCGGCGGCATGTATATCTGTCGCCGTGGTATACTTCCCGTGAGCAAGTCGGACTGTGTTTGATTTGGCCGGCGATGGAACGTCCGATTCCAATTGGAGACTTTGAATCTGTCAATAGATTAATTAATTAAGGCATCGAACCATTAATAGACAAATATACAAGCAACCAACCCCCACAGCTTGAATGATGAAGACGTCTCTCAACCTAGGTTGATCTAATCCAGGTTTGAATAGGACTAGACATCGTCTTCATCTTGATCTCGTCGTTTCCACCATACTTCCCTTTCGATCTCCCCACCAGCTGGCTGCTAAGGGCACTAACCATTTGGGAGATTCGTCGTCGGTTAATATTTTCTTTAGATGAATGTTGATTAACCCATGATTCAAATACCGAGAACGAACAAGGGTTTGCTCTAGTGGTAATACTATTAAATTTGTATCTAGGGGTTTCAGGTTCGAATCTCTTAAGTGACACATAAACAACAAAAAGTAAGCCTATAGCATCCTTATAAAATATTCAAATACTCGAATCATAGACTCAAGTACTATTAAGGTCCGAGAAGGTTGATACTGTATGGTTGTAGGTTTGATCGTTATAGTTTCACCACTTTCAAAAAATATTTTGGTGGGTCATCGACGACATGACTATAAACTCGAATCGCCTGCTGTCATGGATTTGCCCAGCCAATTTAATTGAGGCAAAAATAGTATTTTTCATAGTTATGCTCACTGACTTAATTGAAGATATACATACATGATGTAGAATCTTAAAAAATTCATTATTGTTAATTATGGCTATGTCATAAATACAATAATAAGAAATGGGCTGGCCCTGGGGCATGCAGCATCTCTGAGATATATGTATGTGCTGTGTGCCAGCCAGTAACTGGATGGGATAAAAAAAAAATATGCTATATCTTATAAATAAATAATTGCCTAATTGGAGTAGTTGATGAGATCAGTTAATAATAATGCAATTGTTTGCGTGGAAGGAACAAACGAATAAGATAAGTATTAAGATCTCCCAGAAAGAGCACTCAGCCACTAAGAGCCGACCATATGCATATGAAACACTACTATTAGTTAGTTTCTGATGCTTTTTCTGTACATCTTTTTGTTGCCCGATACATCATGCCGGCGATTTTATATGTAATCACAAAGCTTGAAAAAAAGGAATTAAGGCATCTCTTGAAAGGTAATTAGAAAGTGGATGTGATGCTGGTTTTGGTTTTGCTTTTGGGCAGATGAGGACACTTGGGCTAAGGAGTAAGGGGTAAGGAATTAGGAGGTGAAGCAACCCACAACTTGATTGATTAGTCTCTAGTATTACCCAAGTTTATTTGGCATGTAAGGATGGATATATATGAGGGGTGAGTAGGTTAGTTTGTGGTTTAAGAGATGAGTGTGTGACGCGATCGTGTAAACTGATATAGAAGGTTTGAGATTTTCTTAATTGTTTGTTGGATCGAAAATGTTAAAAAGTATTTAGTAAGTTAGTGACTGCATTGTGTTAGGTGGGTTTGGTAGTGTTAGAAGGTTGTTTTTTTTTTTTGGTAAAAAGGATGGTTGAATTTCAATAACACTCACAATGTTGTCATTAACTCCGTATGCAAGTTTTTTAGGAGCAAAGTTAAGTAAATTCTCTCAAATGACAATTTATCGGACTCTCAATTGCTGTCGCGGGATCTTCACGTCAATCATATCTCTACTAGTCGTGCTTAGACTCTCGGCTAACAGATGTTAATATGATTCAACATAAAGTTTCCGGCTCACATCTAAATTATTGTGTTGACACCATTAATAGTAAAGACGTTACAAGGAAAAATCAGTAGATTTCTCGTACCACAATTATATGTACCAGTAAAAGGGGACTCCAACTGAGCACTTCTACTATGCTATATAGTATTGGTGCTTTAATGTACAACTTTAGGTTGTACCATAACAATAAATGTATAAGTTTAGGTTGTACCATAAAGGAATTTGTACCATTATGTTATGGTACAACTTTACAACTTGGAGTTGTACCATCACATAAAGGTACAAGTTCAAGTTGTACCATAAAAGAATTTGCACAAAAAGTATAGGTACATTTTGAAGTTGTACTATAACGTTAAAGGTACAATTTCAAGTTGTACCATAAAGACAAAAACCTATAGCACCAATACTATATAGCATTGTAAAATTCCTCGACTCCAACTATTAAACAACCTCCTCCTTGTTGGGTCTATATCCGGTTTCTATAAACTTTATTACCCAAAACAAAAAAAATCGCGTGTCCCTCAAAAAAAAAAAAAAAAAAAAACCGCGTGCATACATAGCATAGCAATTATATCTCAAAGATCCAGCAACACATTAACTCAGTCATTGTTCAATATCTAGTTGCCACCGATGAAACAAACACTAAAAATAGATTGCAAGAAATCATAGGATGATTATTTAAATCACACCATGAAACAATCCTATTCAACAAACTTGGTCAAATCAAACGAAGGTTATCGAGAAGCAAATTTGGTGACATTATCTAGGTGTGTTTGTATATTAGGCTGGTGTTAGGACCGTCACGCGGTAAAAGACACCAAATCCTCAACGGCCAACGGGCAACCCAAGAAGAGAAGCATACCGCTTCCTTCCTTTACTATCTCTGTACTGTACGGTACCGTTTCATTTACAGTTCACCTCCGTTTCAGTCTCCCTATATTCACCGCTGAATATTAACCATCCTACGAGAAAGGAAAGTTACTGCATCCAGAGTCCGCTCCAAATTTCCAATTCATCTCTCCTTTTTTTTTCACCTTCCTCTGCCTCCCGTGACTCGTAACAGCAGTGGCCCAAAGAAGAGAAACCGTGCCCTCCGCCGAATTTCATTCTGCTCCGCCCCACCACCTTCGTCATGTGACAACCCTGACACACACCCATGTCCCATCCCTTCTCTCTCTCTCTCTCTCTCTCTCTAGACTTTCATCTTCTCCATCTTCGTTATCACCTTCTTCGTTTACCCTTCTCATTGATTACCCTTCTTTAATATTCTTCTTTCGGGTTTCCCTTTGAAACGAAGCATCGGGGCGGGACTCCACCCAAATTCAAGAATCGAGAAAACAATTGAAGAAAAGGGTCGGAGAGAGAGAGAGACAGCAAGAACAGAGCAAGAGAGGGAGCGGAATAGCGCATCATTGATCCGATCCAAAAAAAAAAAAAATCGTTTCTTTTTTGACAAAGATCCAATTTTTTCTTCTTCAAGTAGGTGAAAATAACGAAGTACCACCTAATAACCTCTTCATTTTCCCTTAATCTCTACTCCATACACGACCTCCCAACCGCAGGAGGGAAGCCTACATCCCAACTGCTCTGCCTTCTCCCCTGTTTCGTCGTCGCATGAGCTTCGGTTTAAAATGAGCCATGGCGGAGCAGCTCAAACGACCCAACACCATCACCAGCAGAAGGGGGTTCTACGTCAAGATGAGGCTAAACGGGAAGCAGAACCAGCTGCTGGAGAAGAAGAATCCTTATTTCAGATTCTACAAATGGATCCTCTGGCTCTCCCTTTCTCTCTATTTCCTCACATCCTTCTTCATTAGCCACAAGCCCATCCCTCTTTCCAAAACCCACTTCTCCAAATCGCCTTCCACCGTCGCTTCCCGCGCCCTCTTCGAGTCTTCCTCCTCCTCCTCCGCCTCCACCAATTCGTCCGCGTTACCGCCCGAGAAGAAGAAACAGAGCAGGAGACATTTGTTGAAAGATTTGAAGATATTCGTCTACGATTTGCCCTCAAAGTACAACTCCGATTGGCTCGCCAACGAGCGGTGCAGCAACCATCTCTTCGCCTCCGAGGTAGCCATTCACAGGGCGATTGCTAACGACGACGATGTCAGGACCTACGACCCGTACGAGGCCGATTTCTTCTTCGTCCCTGTTTACGTCGCCTGCAATTTCAGCACCGTCAATGGCTTCCCGGCGATTGGTCACGCCAGGACGCTGATTTCCTCTGCGATTCAACTCATCTCCACGAGCTACCCGTTTTGGAATCGCTCCCAGGGCGCCGATCACGTCTTCGTCGCCTCCCACGATTTCGGTTCTTGCTTCCACACATTGGTATGCAACAATAACGAATCAAAATCATTGCCTAACGTATATTTGATTGTGGAGTTTCTGATTTTTTTGAGGAAACGGCATTTTTACAGGAAGACAGGGCGGTTGAAGATGGAGTCCCGGAGTTCATGAAATGGTCAATTGTATTGCAGACATTCGGGGTGAAACATCGCCATCCATGTCAGGAAGTTGAGAATGTCGTCATTCCGCCTTACGTTTCTCCGGCGAGCGTACAGCGGACGCTTGACAAAGCTCCGGTGAACGGTCGGCGAGACATCTGGGCCTTCTTCCGTGGGAAAATGGAAGTCAATCCGAAAAATGTCAGCGGCCGATATTACAGCAAGTAATAATAATCTTTCACACCGAATCCATTCACATTGGGGGAAACTTCGTCTGTCGTTTCTTAATTGGGGGATTCTTCTTTTTTTTTTTTTGGTTTTGTTTGTCGTTTGGCAGGAAGGTGAGGACGGTGATATGGCGGAAGTTCAGCGGCGACCGGAGGTTCTACCTACAGAGGCAGAGATTCGCCGGATACCAGTCAGAGATCGTCCGGTCAACGTTCTGCCTCTGCCCTCTCGGGTGGGCCCCATGGAGCCCGCGTTTGGTCGAGTCCGTCGCGCTTGGTTGCGTCCCCGTGATAATCGCCGACGGGATCCGGCTCCCCTTCCCGGCTGCCGTGCCGTGGCCGGAGATATCCCTCACGGTGGCGGAGAGCGACGTCGGGAAGTTGGGGAAGATCCTTGACCACGTGGCGGCGACCAATTTGTCAACCATCCAGCGGAACCTGTGGGACCCGGAGGTGAGGAGGGCCCTGCTGTTCAACGAGGAGATCCAGGAAGGCGACGCCACGTGGCAGGTGCTTTACGCGCTGGCGGAGAAGCTGGACCGGTCACGTCGGACGGTGAGGGTTTCCGACCAATGAACGAGGAGGGGGGGATGGTGCTGACGTGGATGACAATTCAATTCCTCGGAGTGGGAGACCAGTGACATGCTGGCATGGCTTGTCTTTTTCCCTCTCGGCTCTGCTTTTTTCCTAACGTGGACAGATAGATATGCAGCAGCTTTGCATGTAATGTAGAGATAGAGAAGAACAGAACAATAATGGATGACAGCTAAGCTCTGGATTCAAGGCAGGCTGGCGTTTTTGTTTTACCGCCTCCGGCGGGGAGTTGGGTCAGTCGCCGGAACCGGGAGGAACATGAATTATTGATTATTTGGGCCCGCGTGGGGAGGATGTGGGGGCCCATATCACGGGTTTTGGGTCTTGGGAGTTGGGGATATATATATTTTTTTTGTTGGGGGGACGGTAACTTTGTTTTGTGGTGGCGGTAAATACAGCAAGGGAACGAATTGTTTTGTCCAGGCTGTGGTAGAAAGGACATATTCCCTTTTGGATTGTGGTGGATTGGGGAAAGATAATGGGAGATGGTAAAAAAATCACCAGATTAACGGAGCATTGTATATATGGTAAATTTGCTTGATGCATAAATGCAAAGCTTGGAACTTGGAAGAGTGGGAGCCATTTGCATTCTTCTGCACTTTTGAAGGTATAACGTCGGTTTCGTGCTCTTGGATTGAGCAAATGAGAGGCAAACAATGCAAACCAGACTAACTTGTAGAATTATGAGTAAAAGAAGTCGGTCATTCCATGATGAGATCAACTTAAGACAGTTCAGGTCAACTGATTCTTAACCTCACTAACTCACGATGACCCAAATGATTACAAGAGTTGAAACTTGAAGGTAACTATACATAAACAAATAGGTAAAAACTTGAAAGTAAGTAATTTGAAAACCCCCCAACCCTATCCATCTGCTACCTATATATACTATGTTATAAACACGCTGCTACGGATCGGGAAATCGTCGGAATCGATAAAACAAGAAACGGAAGCGAGAATCGAAAAACACAGACACACGATTTACGTGGTTCACTAACACGATGTGTGTTAGCTACATCCACGGGCGAGAGAGAGCCAGTTTCACTATATCTAGGAGATTACAGATTACAGAGGAGTATGAGAAGTATTTATAGTACTTCTTCATGTGGGTCTAAACCTAATCCAATCTGGCAAAGGAAACGGTTACAGACCAGGCCCAGAACCCGAACCCAAATAACATTGAGCCCACGACTACCAGTCGTAGCGGCTGATAGTCCGATGCAAGTCATATCAACATGGTACTAATATCATCCCAAACCAAAAGTGGGTCATGGAAAGTAGTAGAGGAGTACAATGGGTGTTGGAATGGAATGGATGGGCTTTTGATTCCTGAACGTGGTTCGACGGTAATTGGCGAGACACGGTACAACGGGAAAATATGGTGTCAGAAGTCAGAACAGAACAATGAGGACTGGTGGTTTGTCACTAATTACTTTATTACAGTCACGAGCAAGCATCTCTCTTCACTCATGTATCATTAATACAAACGAAATTGACAGATGCCCACCCACCAGTGTTTGCATTGCCTCCGCCTGAGCTAAGACCCGAGGCCCACCGGCGACGAGTCGACCCTGTAGCCAGCAGAGGCTTTAGTGCACTGTTTTTCCGAACCACCATAACAATGATGCACTATGGGTTGGGTTCAATGAAATAGAAAACCAAAGGTTCGAAATCAGTGATATCAAAAGGGTACAGAAGAACAGTTCTCCCTCGTCTTCCGTTGCCGATAGAAAGCTGATCGGCCAAGTGGGTTCTTTGCAGGAGGATCAGAATTCAGAAGCCATATATCAAGTAATGCAGGAAAAAAAAATATAATGAAAACAAATACATTTTCCGACCTACCGGATTCGAACCAGTGACCTAAGGATTAACTGGCAGATTTAACCACTACAGTCCTCCGCTCTACCAACTGAGCTAAGGTCGGCTGATGTTCAGGTTCGAACTCTTTCTTGTAAGACTAAGAAACACTCTTTTCTTGTTCCGCAACTCATTTAAGCGGATTATCTTCTTGTTATCAAAGATATATTTATCGTGAAGTACTTTGCCGTAGATTTCATGAAAAAAGGTCGATCACTGGACGAGCATTTAACCCCACAATGGAATGGCCCTTCATGCCGCTCGAATAATTCTTCCAAATATTTTTCATTCTGATTTTTTGGTTGCGAACTTGCGATGGTTCATGCAAGCACAAACGAGCACCAGCGACAAGAGCGAAAAAAACTATGACCAATAGGCCTTAGTGTCATACATTTGTATAAACACTCACATGGGCCAGTGGGCATAAGTAGGTGTCTTAATTTACTCTCTTTCGAATGAATTCGCTCAGCCTTTTCCCCCCAAATCAATGGGCCGGGCTCCAAATAATTGGGCCGAGCTTAGCTCTGGGTTCCATTGCTTGTATGGGTATGAGTATGTATGATCCACCTTTGTGGGCCTGTTGAAGGCTGAAAAATACACAAAGCGGTTTGTGGTCCAGCAGTAGCATATATGTCTGCTTACAACAAAATTGCTTTTGTCTATGACTCTAATGTGACAAAAAAGAAAGACAGGGAAAGTACTCAAAGTGGTCCAAAGGGGAGATCCATCATTATTCACATTCCCATGTGATCAAAGATTTCTCAGGCGAGGCAGACAAAAGTATTAGGGACCATACCTGGCCAGGTGAAGACAATCTAATAACAAGTAAATCAAAGATACACATGGAGTTGCTTTGCTAGGTATGGCCAAGTTCTATTATGGCAAAGAAACGATGAGAATGTTCACAATCACAAGGTCGACCCTTTCAGTAGTGTACATTTGCACAATCTAATAAGCAGTATTGACTCTCACGTGGATGAGCCCAGATCATCAAGGAAATCATGCCAAATTGGCGTATGTATGTTTTCCTTTCCCGTGTTCTTTCACTTCTTCTTGTATATACGTGTTGGTACAAATGTGTATTTGTTCATCACCCCTTTTGAGCTTTATAATTGAAGTCAAAGTTATTAGATATGACATAGTCGTTACTTAGTGGCTCTTGTTGTTGGTCATCAACACACGAGAGACTTCTTAAAGATTGAACTTTTCTTTTCACTGTACATTGGATGAGATGCACGGTCCATCTCCCACAACCGGTGTTTAGCATTGGTCACAATTCTAGCTAGTTTTATCAGGTCAACTCGTTTGAGACCAACTAGAAGTTTATTATAGATGGTGATCTCCAACCCATTTAAATCTTTTAAAGAATATCGACAGTCATAACAAAGAAATATCTCAACAAAATTCAAATAATTGATCTCCCTTCCCATTTATCGTATAACTACAACCTCATTCTCTTCATAAGTCTGTTTCATTTTATCATTCACCATCCCACTTTAACTTTTTTTTTTTTTGGCCTATCAACCATGCATTAAGTGGTAATGAAACATGCACTTTACAATTCACCAATCAAAGTCTATTGTGTGGTGAATTATTAGCATATGTCATATGGGACGGGTGACAAAAGGGAAAATGAAATCCCCCCCAAAACCACATTGAATGGCAACCAATCTCTTTCTATCTTTAAATTCATCAATTTCATGGGCCAATGCTCCAATCTCAATCCAAACATCTCCATTTCCTACCCCCACCACCCTTCCTTTTCCCATATCTTTTTGTCAGAGCATCCACATGTACTTCACACAAACGCCCTTCAAATTTGTGGACGTGTTCACCATTATTATTGCATGATTAGCAATGACAACACAAGGACAATAGTACAAAACACACATCAAATTTATTGACGTATAACTAGATTGTCCAATATTCCCCTAAACAAACACTCAAAAACACAAAACAAAAAACCATATAATGTTGGAGACACAATAGGGCTTGGATGCCCAACTACTCTCTTTGCCAAAGTAGCTAGCTTGCTAGGATGAACCATCCCCACCACATCCCAAATAACCCTCCTTAGCTCCAACTTCTTCACTCCACAAATGCACATATTCAATCACCAATTTCGTGCGTAAATATTTCACAATTACATACTTATCATCATTTAACTTTTACGACCGTTTTTTCTTGCTCAATTGAGTACTCAGCTTGTGTGTTGCACAAGTTAGCACTCGGGCGTGTGGGTGTGGTCCCTCTGCGGGTCGGAGCAGTAGTCGTACACCATGTGGTTGTTCTGCACCCACACCATGGCCTTCTCTTGTTGCGGGCTCAATCCCCCGTACCCTCTAGGTGAACCGTTGGTGGCGCGGCAACCAGGACCCGCATCGGCCGTGCAGCCTCCGATCTTGAACCCCTTGTACCTGCCGACGAAAGGTTGGTAGTTGTAGTCGGCTCGATACCTTCCGTGCTCGGTGGCCCAATCCGAGGCATCCCAGATCGAGCCATAGACCCACATTGGCCTCTGTGGGAATGTGGCATCGCTTTTCCTTGGATACCTCCTGATTGGCACATCATCAACGTAAAATCTGCCAACCCCAAGGGAAAAAAAGATGTAATTAGTGCCATCACAACATTATTTGGACTATTAGCCCACGAGACAAACAATAATCAATCAGGTAGAGAGACTGACATGATTTCATTGGGGTCCCAAAGGATAGCGTAGTAGTGGAAATCCTGAGTAGGGTCGAACCAGAGATGGAACTGCATCTCTCTGCCTATGATGTTCCTATCCCCACTTCCCCTAATGTACACATTCGTCTGCAACGTGTACGGCTTCCCCGGCGTCGTACCCAAGAACTCGATGTCGATCTCGTCGTGCTGGCCTGGATGCGCCTCATTGTTGGACAACTGCAGCCAATCAATCAATCAGGAAAAAAGGGTCAAATTGCTACCGACACTCTGGAGGCAGAGTAAGCATGCTCTGTTTTTTTCTCCCCTTACATAGAAAGAAGTAATGACTCCGGCGGTGTAGCCAGGGTGAAGCTTGATGGAAGCGCCGAAGTAGCCCGATCTGTACGACTCAACTGACTTGTACCCACTTCCTGTTTCGTCGTCAATTCAATGAAAACAGGGGAAAGAAACGATCTTTACAAACATAAATTGATGGACCCAAATTCTGAACATTACCCAAAACAGGAAAACAGGGTAAAGAAACGAACTTTACAAACATAGCTTCATGGACCCAAATTCTGAACATTACCCAAAAAAGGTGTGACAAAATGAAGTCGAATTTTACCTGAGGAACGATCAAGCCAAATCGTCAATGCGTTCTGGTCAAGTCTCTGGTGCTGGGGACCCCAACGGTTCCTGTACTTTTGGTTGAAATCAACGGATTGTGCTCTGTAGCTTGGGTAGTAGGCAGGGTTTGGTGGGTTTTGGGCATCAACGGTTGGAGAAGGAGCATTGAGAAGAACTAGAAGTAGAAAGAGCAGAGCTGAAGAAAGAGCAGCCATTGTTGTTGATGATAAGTGAGAAGAAGAAGATAAGAGAAGGAAGTGAAGGAAGGGTGTTCAAATTTTCAGAGGGAAATATGGTTGCTATAAATAAGGGTGGAGAGGTGCTAGAAAATGGGGCCTCTTCTCTTTGTGAGCTGATAGATAAGTTGGTTAAATTTTCTGAGTGGGGGGAGTTAGAGATGAAGACAAAAGCTGAAACGCAATGGAAAGTATTGTTGGTTTGGTTCCACTTGTATAAGGTTAGTTTGGTGTATATGTAATTCATTGTGTGCATCTATCCTCCTTACAACCGCATTTCCCTATTTGGAGGTGGTGGGGATGACTTGTTCTAGGGATGAATTTGATTTTGTCTACTTGAATAAGCTAACATCTTTACGAGAGCATTGGTGTGGTTGTACTATCGGTATAGTTTCGAGTATGCTATATGAAAATGGTAACGTACTCGACTAATTATTAAAATGTTTAAAGTAAAGTACACGAGGAGGAGTCAATCCAAACTTAAGTAGTATTGGGGGTTAGTGGGTTAAAAAAAAGGTTTACTGTACGGAATCATTAGAGGAGTCGGCGGTAGTAATGGAGTTAACCCTAAACCCAAGAAGGGCATGCATGCAATGCGTCTCAGATCAACCTAGTTCCGTAAAATGCGCAAATAAGGTGTTTGATCATTGATGAATTGGATTATTGAAAAGCCTAGCCTCGCTTAGAAAAAATTAAAGGAGCAAACATTCTATAAAGAGGTACTTGTACTTCTGCCGCATGAGCTCTTTGCACTAAATTTGTTAAGAAAGGTATTCATATTCTTTCCAATGCTTCGATACGAAACTCACTCTTCTAATTATGAGTCACTTTTGACACCAACAAATATTGCATGATCTTAAACGACGAAAAAACGTCAGAACAACTTTCTCTCATCCACCGGATCAGCAAACATTTCCACGGTTGGCCATCCATCCGATTATTATCTACCCGAGCATTTTTATTGTCAACTACATTAAACTATGTGATTAGTTCCTTACTTATGAACAGGTCCCTATTTAACAGGGTACTTATTTAACTAGAGATTCTCTAACAGTATGGTCAATCCATGAAATGTGGGCATATGCCATATGGGACCAGACAGACAGTTGCATAAAGAAGAAAAAGAACACATTTCGAGGTAACTATATTAATATCTGAATATCAGTTCAACTGCCTTCCTTAGCAGTTTTTCACCAGCAGGTAGATGAGGTATGGCCACCTAGCTTAGTTAAAAGTTAAAACGCTTTAAAAAAAATCGAGATGTTCGTAATTTTCGGAAGGGTAGCTAACACTAGCTGGTCGTTGTAATTTTACTACGAAAGTTAAGTACATCGATTTGATAGAAAATTAATTGGGTCGAGACATCCCCCACTAATTTTGACCTTTTTCTCGAACATCGTTGATCTAATCAAAATTCATCGGGAATATAACAATACGATAATCTAGATCAAACCTAAGGCGTATTATTGGTAGGCTAGCTTGCTGGAAGGAAGGGAAATTAGCCACTTAAATTTCTCTGGAATCTATAATTATAGTACGTAGTCTCAATTATATTGCAATATATATAAACTATACAAAATTTGTGGAATTTTTGCCCGCCCCCTGGCCTACGTAGGTGGGTGGACCCTGGTTTGCCGACACACTGATATATCACAATAGCAGGAAATAATTAAGCTACATAAACCCAAGTAATTAATACTATAATAAGAATTTTATAATAGCAACAATATCAATTAATTAATTAATAATAATAACGATGAGAAAGTAATTAATGGAGGATGGTAACGACATCACGTATCCCATTCAATCAAAGCCGAATTTGATGCGGGTGATCAAGAGAAAGAGATCTCTCTATCATTTTTTATAAGATTTCGAAGAATCCAAGAACAGGTTATCGATCCTGTCATTTTCGAGTAATCCAACCCAAATATACCTACTGATAAGATTGATTAATGGCTTTACCATTCCTAACACTCCAACTTTTTCACTGTGTAATAGAAATTAAGCACTACTATTAATTCTTTTTGGTACGTAGTAAAGGAAAATAAGCCTATCTTTTGAACAGTAGCATGATTCTTGAAGGAAATTAAAAGATAATTAATTCATTGTGATGCATGACTCAAGCTAGTACATTAACTTCAAGGGGAAGATAATACAAAAAGAGGAAGGTACAAGGTTGAACCTTGTAAGTGGAAACTAAAACCAGGATCAATCATCACATCGATTACTGAATCGTATCGTCTGTTCATGTCAAAGTTTTTCGACCAAATGGTCCATACTGATGTATCGATTAACTCAAAATAAACTCAATAAAGGGAACATATGTAAACTCTTTAACTAATTGTCATAGGGAGGAGGAAAATAATATGGTGTTGGTTGATTGTAGGGTTTGAATTAGGTTGGATACTGATAAGTTTACAATGAGGCGTCCACACCAGCTAGTTAATGTATGCATGAAATCAGGGGCAAATTCAAGAAGATACTCTTAATATTCGAGTAAACTTGTTATCTATCAGATAGTAGTTTTATGCATCTCAAACTCAAAATATTGAATACATTCTTTTACATTAAAACAAAATCCAATTAAATATCAATTTACCCAATTTTCCATCCAGGAAACATAATCTAAATTCTGTTCAAACTCTTCCCCATCTCACCTTCACGAAATTAAAAGAAACAACAAAACAAGTTGCCAAGATACTGCCTCGATTCTGCCACTGTCGACTCCCTTCTTCTTTATCTGTTCCTCCCTTCTTAATTTTAATTTTCTTAAACTTTATGAAAAATGCCTAAGCGTAGAATTTCTAGGTCGACCACTGCTCATAACATTTTTATTAGTAATTTGGAATACTTAGCATACTCGACATGATCGATTTACTATATTACGAAGTATATATCTCGCCTCTATAGGATTACAACTATACAAGTTAAAATGAAACAATGGCATGATGATATATATCCGGCTAGTTTGGAATTTAACCTTCCATTTTAATATTTGATGACACATTTCAATCACAAAGTTGATCATATCCATCAAAAACAGAACGTGCGTCTCAATGTTGATCCCTAGGTTTTAACTTCCATGCATAATGCATTCACCATTAACGAACTAATCAGTTTGATCAATCAGCAGTTACAATACAGTTATCTATCTATCTATCTATCTAGCCAAAATTAAAGCATGCACACGTCTTCATGATGTTGATCATAATGGCTAGGTTTACACTGCAACTAATTTGCGTTGGAGTCTAATCCGATTGGCATTGATATAAACACATATCCAGAAAATATATATGGCATCACGATGATGATGAAAATTGTGCCCGATCGATAACGCATCAATCCACCAGTCACCCACCGCCGATCCGATCCATGCAGCATGATTTCGACGTCGACCCATATTTGAAAACGAAACGCTCGAGCTCGACCATTTTCATCTGTAAAATATTTATTTGGTGATCGAGAGCTTATCTATTTTTATGTATATATATAGATAAGAATCAAGACGAATTATGCAACAAAGAGATATACAAAACAAAGGCAAATTGGCGTACCTACAATACAATATCATTACTAACCAATCCAAATCTTGGTTAATTGATTGGCATTAACCACGTAGGATAATCATGGAGTTCATCATGAATCCATGGTGAACAGTAGTAATTACAAGATAATTCAATGACGACGGATTTTTTTTCTAACTACTTTTTCATGAATTTTATGGGAATTCGACCGGTCGAGATTTCTTTAATGTGTTAGTATAACTGGTTGGTCCTAGTACTTTTAAATTTGTTGAGAAAGTTTCAATCGCATCCATCTTTTTTTTTTTCAAAAGAAATCTAACGGTGTAGAGGACGTACAATTTCACTTTATGGGCAAAACTCTAGTTTGCAAGATGATCCGAAAGTAATCAAGCTCTTTGGAATCTCATCACCAGATATAATTCCAAAGAACAGGGGTTAGTACTTAATTAGTAAAACATGCAATAGTGTTTAGTTTAAGGTGTTAATAACGAACTATTTCGGATCTGCATGCCATCGTAATCTTTGCTTATATAGCTAGCAGCTGCATTTGAGGTCAACACTCTCGGCTAGCTGCCGCAGATATATATAATAATAATATACTTCTAATCTTCTTCTACGCATGCACACATACTTTGGAAGTTGAAAATCGTGCGATGGTTCATTAATGGCGCTAATTTCTCGTATTAACATATGATTGACGGAACTGACAAGTGATCAAAGCTAAATCGCAAACTACTGATTTGTACGTATGGGACGGCCGGCCGCCGGCCATGTAAGTAATTACGTCCTTCAACTTTGATTGATGGATTAGCCTGTTTTGTTCTCTTCTAAGCACAACAATAATCGTATCAAATCTTCGATAAAAACAGTGGGCATGACGATAATATATAGCACGAGAGTACTTAATTAAAGAGTTCTCTGTATATTCGTTCTTTTATAAGGGAACCAACAGTTAACGAACAGAGGAAAAAATACAGGACTTTATACCGCTTTAGGTAGCTAGTGGCCAATATCAAAGTCAAACAGTAGAATAAAACTAAAGGATTTCAACGTACGCGACAGATATTCAACCACCAGCAGCAAGCAGCAGCTAAAAAAACGTAAATGAAGCTAAGCTTCGTTTTTCTTCTTCTTCTTCCATGCTCAATAAATTCGTTTCTCGATCGGCTAGCTGTACCATATTTCGTAGCTTGGGTTAGGTAAATCATTTCGGTAGGCTACTTCAATGCTAAGTCGGCAACTCAATCCAGCTTTGATAATATGGAAATGGTGTGAACACTCCGTGTTCGTACATCGTCTTCCAATAGTTTGAGTTGTTGGATCGATAAAGTTTGTCATAGTGATATACTAGTATATTTATGTATATGATGAGCAGTGCTACAAATTCATGATTATAAAAAAGCGCAATTATTCTTACATGTAATCGCTAGGCCACACCAAAATGTCTAGTTTAGAGATTTCGCAACTAGTTAAGCATTATTCATAATACGGTGATGTAGTAAGATGATATTTAGATGTTGCCCGAGCATATATAAGCGGAGTTAGGGCGCAGAACGAGAAAGTTAACATAAAAAGGGCATAAACAACAACTTCTACATACAAACTACATATTCATTCTCACGATTACAACTTCTTAAACCTTCCTACGTATCAAACGAATGTGTAGCCAGAATCGGGAGTAAGGAGAGTTCAGCCCCTACCGACAGTTTTTGGCACTGTGCATGCATGGGATCCCTTCAAATGTAAAGAGGAAGATTAGTCTTAACTCTTAAGTCCTAACTAACAATTATTATATTCTAATGACGAAATATATACAATATGTCTTTTTCCTTCTTTTGGAAACTTGTACCAATTGAGACCTCTAATTTTCTTTATTATTACGTACAATCCGTCGCCAAGCATGATTAATCAATTACAAAAAAATAAAAGAAGGAAAAAGATGGCGTGGATGGCTCTGGTTCGCCATTTTCGATCGTTAGATGCGTTTTCCATGGCATGCATAAAATAAGGTTTAGGTATATACAATTATACATTGCCCCGAAATGATGAAGGTAGGCTTCACAGAGAAAAAAAAAAAAAAAACAAAGGCACAGTTGATCGATGTGATGTGTGCTCTTCTCTGCATATAATTAATAATCATCATTGGCTCATCTCATCATTAATTGATCATTTCATTGAATTGGCAGCGTTCAATTTTAGTAGGCGAACTCTTTAGGTAGTCATTCAAGGTGTTGCATAAATTCTTCATTGCTTGAACGATAACATTATGTACGGGTCAACACAAAGACTGATATGATAATTTACTTTCTTTAGAGATTTGTATCATATATATATATATATATATATATATATATATGGTGGCTTCTATCGTACCTTGGGTAAAATCTCGGGTACGACGTATCCTAAGTAAGAAAATGCTATCTAGACCTAGAATTAACCGGATTTTTGGGCATGATACTATACCCTAACCCTTGATGAGTGAACCCTAGGTCTTAGTTTTCTAAGTTAAAGATCCTAATTCCTAAGATTGTGCCTGTAATTTGTTGCATATATTTTGACAAATCATAGCCGTTGATTTTTGTTTCTAATTAAATTGATCTTAGTGTATAAGATTTATAGAACTAATACCTAGATTTTAATCCTTAAGGGTTTGGGAATAATATCATATGCCAAATTATGCTCAATTCGAGGTCTAGATATCATTTTCTTGCTCAATGTATGTCGTACTCTTAGGGCATGTTTGGAGGTTGTGATTCATACAATTGATGTATTCTATCAATTTGTGTATTGTAATTACATGTATTGTCTGAATAGATGCATTTGACAAATACATCGTTTGTTTAATGTGATTCAACTTTTTTCAAATAAAAAAAAACAATACTCATTTTAGTAAATAAAGTCAAGTTTGCCCCTTTCGTTATCATCAACCCTACGGCTCGAACTTCCTTTCGGAGAGTTGCCGCATTTTCACTTGAGAACCCTAAAATCAGATTCTTTTATTCCAGTCCCCTTCCCCTCACCGCCCCTGCAACCAACAATTGCAACAATAAAAATTGGAATCTTGGAACTTCTGGAGACGAAAGAAATAGCGAGACAAAGTGAGTGAAGCTTTTCCCCATTATGACTTTATAATTGCTTGGAGCGACGAATTTTTGCGGCAGAGCTCGGCGACAATAGAGACGATGGGGAGCTCGGAGATCGAGTCCAGATGGAGGTCGTTTTGGAAAATTGAAGGTTGTGTGGGAGGTAGGAGACGCAATCTTACCGAGCAGACTCATGTTGCTTTCGCTAGAGGAGAGGAAGGAAGAGATGCAGTCAGTGGCGGAGGAACGACGATGGGAGAGAGAAGCAAATTATTTGGGCAATTCTAAAATAAGATAGAAATAGAAGGGACAAATATGGAATAAAAAATTAGCAAACAATCCTTCATCAACAATCTCAACTTTGAGTAGAGATTTGAAATCACTCAATTTGAAGGATTGTTGGTGGGGTCAGAAAAAGGTAATACATGTATTCTGTTGCAAAATAAACCAGAAAAACGACTCAATCTCACCATTACATGTATTCATTAAATCATTCACTTGAAATCACATCCTCCAAACAAGCCCTTAATTTTACCCAAGGTACGATAAAACCACTATATACTCCCAATTGTGTATAGTTTTTACTACTTCGGCTTCTTCTTTGGCTTTAATTTGTATTTGATATGGTCTCAGAGTGTCAAATTTTAATTACATTTTACTCGGTGATACGTTTCCAATGGAATCCTAAATAGCCAATCGATATAGAGATTCCGCTCCATTGGAGTATGATGTTGTTAGTTGGAGACATCTAAGGGGTCCTTTGGATGGATCAATTGAAAAATGAGATAATTTGGCAAATGGTCTCATTTTATAAATTGAGTTGTCATTTAAAACGAGTCAATTTGAATTGTCTGTCCCCACTCCAAACAATCGTAATTGTCTCAAAACGAGTCAATTTGAAAGTGCCTAGGCAGAATTGCTTCATCTAAATTTGGTGCTGCCATACGGATCAATATGATCAGATTGTTTCAAAATGAAACAATTGAGTCAAATTGATACGTTAGAATTCGTCACAAGAACCACCCAAGGAAATTATGTGTATAGCCTATATGAACACCATTCGACGCAAATTAAGCCCATGACATGCATGAGCTGGGCTTAATATACGATTGGGCAAGTACGTAAAAGTTGGAAATGGTAATCCGTAATTGAAGATCAACAGGCTATCTATATTGGGCTTTCTCAAAAGGGTAATTTAGGCCTCAATCAAATATTGGCCCGACCCACGATAAACGAGCCTGAGCAAAACGTCGTCGGAGTTTCTAGCCTTCTTTGGTCTTTTGGCGTTTACCCGCGCCGCGATCACGCGTCGTCTCCTTTTCAACTTTTCTGGATCGAATAATAATCTTCCCGGTGGCTTCGTCCTCCTCCTTCCGCCACCACGATTTCCTCGACTAACAACTACCTGAACCCTAATATTCCCAAATCCATCTCCCAGAAATTCACCCAGTTCCAGATTCCCAATTCATAATATCATTTGTCTTCCTCCTGAGAGTTGGGGCTTTCGACGTACCATTGATTTTTCCATTGTTGTAAATCAGAAAGATAGTTGAGCTTCGCATTCGTTAGCGCAAGTCTTCCATTTGATCGACGATTTTCGCATCGGATCAAACCGATCCGAGTTTGAAGAATCTCCGAAGATGGAGAAAGTGAGGAACTTGATAAAGCCCAAAGCGAATCCACAGCAGCAGCTGAGGGATTGGCAGCGGAGGCTCCGTCAAGAGTGCCGCAACATTGAGCGTCAAATCAGAGGTACTCTTTCAAGTTTGATTGCTTGTATTTTGATATGGTGTTGATCGTCCTTCTTTTTGTTGTTCTTATGAAAGTCTATGAATTTTGATTGTGGTGGATTTCGGGTTGAACTTTTTGTAGATATTCAGAGAGAAGAGAAGAATGTACAGAAAGCAATCAAAGAAGCAGCCAAGAGAAACGACATGGGTTCTGCTAAGGTAACTTTCTATACATGGATTTCCTCTACCGTACCTTATCCTAAGCGAGTCATTTGATTTAGGTAGATTTGTGAAGTTTGACCTTGATCAGTGGCGTTTTCGTGAACAATGGTGGTGCTTTTGCTCCTGTTGAGAGACATAAACATAGGTAGTTAGGATGCTAAGAATGTTTTATTTCTATTTGGTGATGGGATCATTCTCTGGTTATTTGGATTGCCGAGAAACAAATGAGCAAACTTAGATGGTTGATCTTTTATACTCCGATGGACTGTTAGTGTTGCAGCTGAATTGTGTTTCTTGCTGATCGAGATTGCCATTCTTGTCTTACATGAGTAGAGAAACTTTGATATCGAGCAACTAAGGGATCAGGATATGTCATCAGCACCTTGTTATACTGTCTTGTTGTGATTAATTTGTTTTCTTATACATTGCCTAGTCGCTTGCTAAGGAACTTGTGAGATCTAGGCAAACAGTGAACCGTCTTCATGAGAACAAGGCGCAAATGAACTCAATATCAATGCACCTTGGAGAAAGCGTTGGTGTGTATATCTCGTACTTCAGTTCCATCGCACTAATTTGTCACGGGGATGCGTTGTTAGCCTCTTAATCTGTTTTATTCCATGCTGATCTCAGCAATTGCACGCACTGTGGGACACCTGTCGAAGAGTGCCGACGTTATGAAACTGGTCAATAACCTGATGAAAGCTCCTGAAGTTGCAGCTACTATGCTAGAGTTCAGCAAAGAAATGACCAAGGTTTCTACTTTGCCTTCTTTTTCCTCTTCATTTCCTTCACATGAGTTTCACGTTCTATCTGCATATTACATTTTCTAAGTTTCAAGGAGTATCGATTTATTCTGTTATCATAATGTAATTGTTCTAAAGTGTATTACTTTGCATTCAGCTGCAATCCTCAACAATCATGGACCATGAAAACATATATTTACCTATTTGTGGTTGTTATTTTCAGGCTGGAGTGATTGAAGAGTTTGTGAATGAAGCTGTGGACAATGCTCTGGACACGGAAGATATGGAGGAGGAGATTGAGGAAGAAGTGGACAAGGTGTTGACTGCTATAGCTGGCGAGACTGCAGCTGAATTACCGCAAGCAGTCAGAAAGGAGAGAGTAAAGCAACCAGCTCAAACTGCTAGAGCAGCAGAGGTACGTGCTTAAATTAATATATAACACCAAGATATTGAAGTCACGTGTCTTAGTCAGTTAGTCTTGCATTATAATCTGCGATGTAAAGTAGAAAACACTTGTTCTGCTATTTTAGGAAGAAGCCATTGCTGAGGGTGGCGATGATGAGGAAGAACTAGAAGAGATCAGGGCTCGACTCGCCAGAGTTAGGTCATAAGCAATATCAGTTCCTTTTAACTGCTCATCTTTTCGACACTGAGCTTCTTTACCTCGACATATTATTGCTGCAGAGGGAACTCTGATGTATAACGGGGAATCGGACTAAAAGGAGAGGTGTTCGTGTTCTGTATAAATTTAGCAGCCTGTAACTCAAGTGGCCGCCATTGGTATCCTTACTTGATGACATATTGTTTTGCGACTATTTCACACACCTCATTTGTATAAAATGGAAGTAGATGATGAAGAAGTAGTTAATATCTTTTCAACTTTTCAATGGCTTGGCTTCTATGTGACCCTTGAGATCACGGTTCACAGTTCATCCGTAAGCCTGCATGTTCTGCCACTTTGATCGTCCCGTGCTTTTATCTGTGGCTGGACTGAACAAACTGCACAATAACAAACAGAACCCTTGTATCTCAGATATCTTGCACGCAAAGATCATCATCTCTTTCCCTAATAATCCTTCTCAAAAGACACAGGAGAAAATGGCCTAAAATATCTAGATGAAAATTCTGTTATCGGTATAGTAAAGCAAACAGCAAAGAGAACTACCAGAATAATAACAACAACCAAGGGGAAAACTAACTTGAAATGCATTTCTGTTGAGACCTTTCCCCCAAAGTAATTCAATACGTCAAGATTTTAGTCAATTCGAGAAACTGGATAGGTAGGGAAGGAGGCAACATTTACTATAAGTTTTTACATATAGCGAGAGGGTGTGAACTTATTCATTACAAGTAGTTGTTCTGATCTATCTAAAACAATCGAGAGGGGTGTGAACTTACAGTGAAAATATCGATTTCGAATAAGGTGATTCTTGGTTAAAATTTTTTACTATAGTCATTGTGAAGAATACCACTTATTAGAAGTTGTGATGCATTTGTATTAATTTCTTCCATCATGATTGAGCCGAAGATCTTAGTAATTACTTGTACATGATATCTTTGATGGTGAAAATAAATATGCCAACATTTTATTTGATTTGTGAAAAAAAGTACAGTTGTGATTACTCAATTTAGAAATATTGTTTTGTCATGGGGATATTTAACAGCTTCCTAGTATGTGCCAATTTAACCACATGGTTGTTAGGCAAAACTTGACTCTTTGACTCTTTGTGCATGGTTACTGAGAATCCATCCACATAAATGAAAACGGTTGGGATATTCCTCGACACTCGACAGTTATTACTTCTTACTAGGGGTGTAAGTTCGGGTCGGGTTCGGTTACCCAAAACTGAACCCGAACCCGATAAGGACTTGCGGGTTCCGGTTACTCGAAACCCGAAATTTTTTTATGTGGTTCGGTTAAAGCAAAACCGAAACCCGAACGTCTAAAAATACGGGCTGAGTTCTATTCATTGGAGGTTTTTAGCCGGAAATCGAAAAACCGATCACTAAAACCGAATCCGAAACCGAAAAACCCGAAACCCAAAACGAACCCGAATCTGAAAAACCGAAAACGTATATAATCGGATCGGTTTCGGGTAAACCCGAAAAACCGAACCCGAATTGACACCCCTACTTCTTACTCTGGAAAATTACTGCTGTTATTTCCACACTATATATACAACCAAAGCTTCTCCACCATCACCACATCATATCCCATCACACTTCCAAAGAACAACAATGGCTTCATCCTCCTCCTCCTCCTCGAGTTCCCCTGCAGCTCGCTGCTTCACTCTGACCCTGTTCCTCCTCTTCACCTGTTCTTCACTCGCCGCTCCCCTGAGATACCAACCTTCACTACCTTCCAAACTGAAATTCGACTCTGCAAAAGTCACAGCAAAAGGGCAGGCGGAGAGGATGATCAGGTCCCTCAACTTGTTCCCCAAGCACGAAGCCAACGTCGTGACGAACGACCAGTCGGCCCGAGACGAGCCCCGGATCGGCGAGAAGAAGATCAGCTTGAACGTCTCCGGCGGGCCAGTGCCGTCAATTCAGCAGTTTGGTCACTACGCCGGCTACTATTCCCTTCCCAACACCAAAGGCGCTAAGTAAGTTTTTTTAACACCAACGAAACAGAACACAATTGGTCAGGCACGAAAATGTCGGATTGGTACACCAAATTTTCCAATCTTACCTTTCTGACCACGTTTTAAAAAAAATTTTGGTAGGATGTTCTACTTCTTCTTCGAGTCGAGGGTGAACAAGACCGATGCCCCCGTCGTGATTTGGCTGACCGGCGGGCCGGGTTGCGGCAGCGAGGTGGCGTTGTTCTACGAGAACGGTCCTTTCAAACTTAACAACGACTTGTCTCTTGAGTGGAACAGTTATGGTTGGGATATGGTAAAACAATAATCATCTACTTGTACTTAATTAATGATCTTTTTCGCGATTCTCGTAAAAATTCATGTGAATATTCGATTTTTTTTTCTCTCAGGCATCAAACATATTGTTCGTGGATCAACCGACGGGAACAGGGTTCAGCTACACGACCGACAAAAGTGACATCCGAAGCAACGAGACTGACATCAGCAACGATCTCTATAACTTCCTTCAGGAGTTTTTCAAAGGACACCCCCAATACGCGAACAACGACTTCTACATCACCGGAGAATCGTACGCCGGGCACTACATCCCTCCTCTGGCTTCCAGAATCTTCAAAGGAAACATAAACAACGAAGGAATCCACATTAACATGAAGGTAGCTAGTCTCCCTCTCCCTCTCCCAGTTCAGTCTCTCCCTAAATCAATCTCTTGATCAAATGGATTCCTCTCAGAATTTTTTTTCTTCTTATCAACAGGGATTCGCCATCGGAAACGGCCTCACTGACCCTGCAATCCAATACAGAGCCTACCCTGAATTCGCCCTCGCCGCGAAACTAATCTCCAAGTCCGACCACGACTTGATCGTCAGCGAACTCGTCCCGGGCTGCGAATCCGACATCGCCGATTGCAACGCTAAAGGCGGGGATTCCTGCCTGAACGCACAAGACAGTTGCAACTCTATCTTCCAGTCCATTCTCAGCATAGCCCGCGACATAAACGTAAGCCGGAAAATTCCACTTCCTCCTCTAAACATCTCCCAACAACTCGAGTTATTGAGGTTTTTTTTTGTCGCACAGTACTACGACATCAGGAAAAAATGCGTGGCCGACAACTGCTACGACTTCTCGGCCATGGAGAAGTTCCTGAACGACGGCGCCGTGAAATCGGCGCTGGGAGTGAAAGACATCGACTACATTTCTTGCAGCAGAGGAGTCTACGACAAGTTGAACGGAGACTGGATGGTCGACTACGAGACCGGGATCCCGAATTTGCTGGAGAACGGGATCAAGGTGCTGATCTACGCCGGGGAGTACGACCTGATCTGCAACTGGCTGGGGAACTCGGAGTGGGTCAACGGGATGAAGTGGTCGGGTCAAAAGAAGTTCCAGGCGGCCGCCGACGTGCCGTTCGTGGCCGGCGGTGAGAAGGCAGGGGAGCTGAAGAGCTATGGGCCGCTGGCCTTCTTGAAGGTGTACAATGCGGGCCATTTGGTGCCCATGGATCAGCCGAAAGCCGCGCTGCAGATGCTGGAAGGCTGGATGCAGGGGAAGATGACGGCCGGAGCTACCAATCGAAAGATTTCTCTGGTTTGAGTTGAGGAAGAAGAAATGAAAAGGAATTGTTGGTAACATATAGAATGACTATACATAGATAAAAAGAAAAGGTCAGAGTATAAGGGTTTGGAGTTGTGAAATTTTAGTGGGATATGCTGTGAATGCTAATACTTCTATCTTGTTAGATTGAGGTGAATTATGGAAAGGATTAAGATACAAATGAGTTTACTTTCGTTGCAAGCGCATATCGATTTACGTACTTTCGGTTGAAACTCGACCGAACTCGTCCCATTTATTCCTGTATACAACTTATTTCCTCACAAAGTCATAACCTAGCCAGCAGTAGGCTTGATTCCGAATCCTGACTGGATACGGATTATGGGCTTCCAGCCGACATGGCACATTAGTTCTGTAGAGACTGAATTAAGATTCCGAAGAAGATCCAATGGAGGCATCTGAACGTGGTACAAAATTCGGCTTCCGAATCTCTAAAAAAAAGTCCTTTGGCCACTGATTTGGCCATAAGAGATGCCGTTTCAGTTTGTAAATTGGAGAAGCTGATGAATCTCTGATCAACATGTTCATTGGACTTTGAATTCTAAACGTGCAAGCATCTCCCATTGGAACCTATAAATAAGCCTCCCAAAACCCATAAAAACCATATCAAATCATTTCGTTCACTCTAAAGAAAACCCAACAATGGAGGCTCTGCGTTTAATATCCTGCACTCTGCTTCTGTTCTCTTGTTCCTTCTCGGCTGCCCTGAGATACCCTGTTTCTCATAAGAAAGAGTTCGAATCGGATTCCAAAGTGAACTTGGGGAATGGACAGGCGGAAAGGCTGATCAGGTCGCTGAACTTGTTCCCGAAGCACGAAGCCAACCTAGTCCTGAACGACCGGCTGGCGAAACGTGCTCCGGGAATCACGGAGAAGCAGTTCAGTTTGAATGTCACCGGCGGCGGCAATGGCCCTTCCATCAAACAGTTTGGTCACTACGCTGGCTATTATTCTCTTCCCACCACCAAAGCCGCCAAGTAAGTCTAATGAACGTATACTAGTTGATGTTTGGGTTCAAGTAGCCTCGAATGTTAATGCTGGATTCTCTTTAATTTTCTTCAAGGATGTTCTATTTCTTCTTCGAGTCGAGGGTGAACAACAGCAATGCGCCGGTGGTGATATGGCTGACCGGCGGACCAGGGTGTGCCAGCGAGCTAGCGTTGTTCTACGAAAATGGTCCTTTTCAGATTAGAGACGACATGTCTCTTCAATGGAATGACTATGGCTGGGATCAGGTAAATTAACACTGTTATTCTGATTCTTGACTTGCTTATATTCCCCTGAAAATGGATTCTGAAATCGACCTTTTTCCTCAGGCATCAAACATATTGTACGTCGATCAACCGACGGGGACAGGGTTTAGCTACACGACCGACGATAGTGACATCCGGCACAATGAAACCGGTGTCAGCAATGATCTATATAGCTTCCTCCAGGTCTTGTCCTCTCTTCCTCTGTTTTTTCACTCTTGAACGTTTGGTTTTCCTCCTCTGTTTTTCTCCTGACACGGTTTCTGTACCTGGTGGTTTTCCAGGAATTTTTCAAAGGACACTCCAAATATGCAAACAATGACTTTTACATCACAGGAGAATCTTACGCCGGCCATTACATTCCTGCTCTGGCTTCTAGGATTTACAAAGGAAACAAGAACAATGAAGGAATACACATCAACCTGAAGGTAATACCTCATTTCATTCTCCATGACTGAATGTAGTAATCACAATTTATCCAGTGGTTCTCAGGAATTCAGCTTTCTTTCTTCATATACAGGGCTTTGCAATTGGAAATGGCCTTACTGATCCTGGAATCCAATACAAAGCCTACCCAGAGTATGCTCTGGCTGCAAAACTCATCACAAAGGCTGATCATGACTCAATTACCAGCAACCTGGTTCCACCTTGCCAATCCGCCATTTCAGCTTGCGGTAATAAGCTTTCAGAAAAAAACACTATCCCCAGCTCAGCTATTCCCCTTTCCTTTAAAAACCTCTGACAAACCCCAATTGCAGATTCTGCAGGCGATGATGGTTGCACCGAAGCTTTGTCCACATGCCAGGAAATCTTCAGTTCCATAATGAGCATTGCTGGTTCTATTAATGTAAGAAATCTCTCTGCTAACTCATTACAAAACTACAGACTCCTAATTACACAGCCGACTCAAAATTAAACGTTGCCAACTTTGCAGTACTACGATATCAGAAAACAATGCGAGGGTTCACTCTGCTACGACTTCTCTCGAATGGAGCAGTTCCTCGGCGATGACAATGTGAAATCGGCACTGGGAGTGAACGACATCGACTTCGTGTCCTGCAGCAGTGTAGTCCACAACGCGATGATGGGAGACTGGATGGTCGACTACGAAACCGGGATCCCGAACCTCCTGGAAAACGGGATCAAGGTGCTGATCTATGCTGGAGAGTACGACCTGATATGCAACTGGATGGGAAACTCGAACTGGGTTCACGCCATGAAATGGTCGGGACAACACAAGTTTCAGGGTGCTTCCACTGTTCCATTTATGGCCGGGAACACAAAGTCAGGGGAGCTGAAGAGCTATGGGCCCTTGGCTTTCCTGAAGGTGTACAATGCCGGCCATATGGTGCCCATGGATCAGCCCAAGGCCGCGTTGCAGATGTTGCAAGGTTGGATGCAGGGGAAGATCTAACAATAATAACTCTGATTCTTAATTCAGGGGGTAAAAGCATTGAGATTTCTGTATACTGAAATTGACTTGTTGATATAAATTTGTAATGATATCATGAATAAGAATATAAGATGACGCCATTGATTATTTGGCATAAACTCTACACCATGTTTATGTTCTACCAGAGTTCCACCCAATTGGTTAGAGAACGAGCCTAATTACAGGGTTTAGAGTTGGACCTAACTCAAGCCTGGTCTGGCCTTGTACAGTTCCCTCAAGCTTTTGATCGCCGGCTGAAATCCGGTCCGCAGAGGAACAACGGCAGCTGCTCTGAGATGCTGCGCATTCCCATTCTTCGGCTTGGAAAGTGTCATCTTCATCATCTCCCCTTCCAGAATTTTCCCGGCATTTGCCGCTTCACAAAAACAATTGGGACCATTAAGAGCTTGATCGCCGGAAAAAGGTCATTTCTAACAAAGCGTAAAATGGTAAAAGACTAATTACCGGCAAAAGGATGAAACTTCGCGAAATCGAAGAACTCGTCGGCGGAGCAGCCGATTAGGACTCTCGCTGCTCTGTCGAAGCACATCACATTGAAAACCTCCGTGTCCGTGGCGATTGAGACCTATCTCCCGAAGAGAAAAAGAAAATAAGCACGCAATCGTCAATTTCTCGGCGAACCCTAAGGACGAGGAGGGAGGTGAACTTACGAGGAGGCGAAAGAAGCGGACGGGCGGCGGCGGAGGACGGCCGGAGTTGTAGTTGGGGCAGAATTTGCAGACGGGATTGGGAACGTCGGGAAGGGTTCGCTCGCAGACGGAACAGGCTCTGTAGGAGAGGTTGGTGTGATCCATTGCTATCACCGTGCACATCACTGTTCCTTCCATGGCTACCGCTCTCAGCTCTCGGCTCTCGCTGCCGCTGTCTGCTTCACTCCGTCGGAGTCTCGCAGTCTAATTACCTTTTGAGGGCGTGTTCGGTAAATGCTTATTTATTCCCATTTCCCAGTCAATTCTAAACAACAATCCCACTCGTTGGATTACAGTAAAAATTCATCATGATCGACACCAACTTAATTTACTGGCTAATAACCATTTATCTTTAGTCTGAACCAATCAAATTGTTAAGAGGAAAAGAGAAGTGGCTAAAACAGTACAATCAGATGATTAACAAGCGCGCCTAAACCCTTTGCTGTTGTAACAAAGTATTTTTACAGATAGGTATTTACAACAACAAAAAAGTAAATAAAGGAGCAAGAATCTTGCCGCGCAAAAGCAGCAAGCTCTCTTCCAGCCTCCTTATCAAAACCGCCATGCAAGAGAAACCTTCAAAACTCACTACCACCTTCAAGATCGAGGAAAGAATAAAATAGCAGATGCCTTTTTCATATCTGTGCAGCTGAACAGGCTTCATTTACTCGGGAAGTGCCCGATTGATGGTCTGCTGCAACTCCGGGAGAACACAGCAATTGCTCATTTTCTGCAGCTAATGCGTACTGGCAGTTCTTTACATCTAGTTACGAGTGTACTATAACACAGCTCAGCTGACAAAAAATGCATATTGTCAAAGAACCAACAGCAATGTCTTGTTTTCACTCCAGGATAGATAACCACTCTTCAGCCAGTTCCAGCGACCAGTCTGGAAACCTGTTTGATTCTCTGCATAGTGACCACCATCTTTACCAACGGAGTCATCGGCTTATAAGTAATATCTAACTTTTCTCCGAGAACTGATATATGTTTATCAACCGAGTTTGAAGGCTAATCATGGAGCAGACAGGTCATCAATCAGATCTGGCAGTGGTAAATGATGACAGAAGACCTGCAGCTTGGGCAGGTAAAATATCGCCAAATGTTGACATGGCAGCGGCTGATCTATCTTTGAACATACCGACTTGTCCATCTGTCAACATGGAGCCCAGCTTCATGGTGCTTTCACCAAACCTGCTCCCTACCTAGATATTACAACAGGGCAAGTCAGCTATTACACACAACCTAGTGAATTTTAGAACATGAACTTGCAAGAATGAATTAAGAAGTTGTACCTGCATGAAAGACTTAAAAATTGGTGCTGCTGCACTGAAACTTGAACTGTCATCAAAATCAATCTTTGAAGGAAGTTCTCTGTTTCCATAAGCTTTCAACAAATTCCTGGAAGACGCATCATCTATGGATGCTGGGAAGGATGACTTTGTAGTCCCTCGGGAAGACAATGCAGGCGCACTATGAAAAAGAAGGAGGAAACCCCAACTTAGACCACACTTGATAACAATAAAACAAAGCTGTCCTTATTCCATAAGACAAATGTTTCAGCAATTAGAATATTCTGCAACAAGCAGAAAGGTACCTGATTGGCAAGTATTTGAAGCGAGGAACAGTAGAGCATAGCATGGTATTTGATTCAGGATTAGTGGGTAGCTTGTGCACAGTATCCGTGTACATGCGATTTAGTTGCACAAAGAATCCAAACAAGACGGCATGTCGCAGGTATGATTGTCTCGCATTCTCCCAAAGGTATGGCTCATACCTTCATCAAGTGAAGTAGGTTACAAAACATGGAAATATTCAACTATGCTTCGATTCTCAATTCCCATAGGGAACTAACAGAATCATTGAATAAACACTTATGCAAGTTATTAAAGTCCATAATTTTTTCCTGATGAACAGAGTTCGTATACTAATTGGTACAGGGTCATTCAGAAACCTTACGTTTGCCAGTCGATCGGATCCAATCTTTGTGAGGAAGTTCGGATCAACACATTGATCCGTTCTCTGAAGACTGCCTTCGTTTGGCTCTGATCCTGCTTCTTTCTGTAAGAAACCTTCACTTTGGGATTTCTAGATAACTCCTTGGCAGTGTTGGAATCTGCTCCTGAAAGCACATCAGCTACAAATCTCAGATCCAACAGAATCTGTAGTACGCCTTTCTCTGATACTGGAGATCCTTGAGAATCCCTTGAAGAAAGGAAGTGGTCGTATATTTCAGAAACCTGCGCATGGAAATGGTTTAATCTTACACAAACTTTTAATCACCGTCGGAGATAGCATATTATATAAAAAATCTGTTTAGTCACGAACAAGGGCCAACTTTCTCTAACCCTACTAGCTAATTGCATACTGAAAATTAAGGTAAGCATCCACCATTCCACAAATATCACAGCAACAATGACCGAACTGCAGACAAATGCGGACCATTTGAAGCTGAAGAAAATGTAGTTGATCCAACCGACACCACTTAATGCCATGCTTCAACTTAGAAAAATGCATTTTAAGATATATACATATCAGACATGAAACCGACAGTCCCTCATAGATCTTTAACAATCGAGCAGCAAAAGGAGCTGGATATGATGCCATAATGACAAGAGAACTTCAAAGGTGCACCAAAAAAAAAAAAAAAAAAAACCTGTGAGAAAAGAAAGAGGCTGCCTCAACTGAGATTCGAAGCAACAGAAAGAAATTGTCCTTACCTTTTCCAATAGTCTTGAGGCAAACTTTTGCAGGATTGCTTTGTCGAGTACATGGCCTCCAATTCTATGAATCTCTTCACATGCACGGAACAGAAATGAGATAACATAGAGAGAAGGCATGGAAGGGAGTGAAATCTTCAATTCAGATGGGTTGTCATCGGACTGCTCTTGCTTAACAACTGTTTCGTCCCAACCCTGGCCAAGAATACAGGAGAAGGAAAAAAAAACTCAAGGATTCTATATGATATAAAATGCTCCACTTCGTTATCTCATCTTCTCTTTAGGAAATAGGTTCAACTTTATCATGAATAAGATAGGGAAAACATCACTTCCTATAATAATATTCTTAGCAATCGGTCAAATATGTTCAGGTGACAAACCATTGCATATAAGTAAGTAAATGGAGGAGAAGAATGGGAGCCCCAATCAAGTACACATGCATATTCCACTGGCATGCAGAATCAACAGGTTCAACTTATAAAGGGCTCTCAAATATGTGTTAAATTTTAGGTTCTTCAAAGCTCTCAAATATGAAAGACAAATTAAGAAATGCATAAAACAAAACCCGGATACCACTCACCCTCAAGGCGGTTGTTGCTGACAATCCATCATCTTTCCCAAGATCACGAGCAAGAATAGAAGAAAGCTCATCGGACAACCAGGATATCCACAAGCCATACGCTTTAATGCAAAGATCTCTGATCATTTCACCCAGCTCTTCAAGTTTATGGCTCCCACTCTCATTAGTTCCAATAAGAATGGAAGTGGCAGGGGAGTTCGGTTTCCTAGATCCAGTAGGCGACTGCTGACCAGGACCATCAAGGGAATCAGCAGCAGTGATCCTATATTGCCTCAAAGCAGATGGAGCTTTCTCGAAACCTGATGCTTTAGTCCCTTTGGCCCATAACCTTGGAGGCCCCAGTATAAGTGGGAAGTTCTTGGAGTGGTTCTGGATTGCAAATAAAAGTCTCCCAAGAAAAATAGATCTCTCAACCACTAATGCAGGCGGAATAGATTGACCAGCATTTCCCATGGCCGAATATAGATTGTCAAGCTCTCTCTTTACTTCTGCAAGTATGGCAGACATGCAGGCATAGCACTTATCTTGTAGAAAAGGAACCAGGTCCTTTAATCTGGGAGCTGCCCTTGGAGATTCTAAGAAACTCAAAACATCCTCAAGCACAACTTGACAACGTTTGTCGACTGCATCCCTGATATGACCAACCTCAGGGCCAAAGTAGGCACTGAGACAACTCCAAGAATCATTCCCTTCAAGTGATACTTTATAACCGGAAGCTACACCAGGCTTCTTCGTATTATTGGGTTCAATAAACCAGACTCCACCCCCAGTGGATGGTCTGTTTAAGTATGCTTGGAAATCAGTACACTCAGCAGGATCACCTCCAACAGCACGGAGGGCGCCCTCCAAGTCAAAGTCTCTCACCAGATCCTTAAATCCAGAATCGATAACAACTTTCATCCTCTGAACAAAAGCATCTTCAAACACCTCATCCCACAGATCAGAATCATCTTCAAGAACAAGCTCCCGGATTCTACTCCAAGGCAACTCGATTTCAGATCCAAATACACTCTTAAGCCACTCCAAACTTCCTTCCAACACTTGCTTGCTATCCATCGTCTCTCTAATTAACTTCTCAGCCAAAATGAGCTCTCCACCAGACGCAATAGCATCAATCAGGTATTTACCATTGATCTCACTCACAGTCTCTCTGCCGCATTGCCTCAGCCAAGTCAAACAATTCTTGGCAACATACTGCTTATCAAGTGTAACCATTGTGGACTCGAGCTTTTCCCTGAATAATTTCCATAATCTCACCTCATTATCTGGACTGGGGATCCCGCCGAATAATTGAGAGGCAGGAGGAGATCCCAGAATAACTTTATAGAACATGGGCATATCATTCAGAACCTGCAGAAACATCTCCCCTACTTGCCCTACAGTGATCTGGATAATCTTCAACACTTCACAAAACACAGATACAACAAGCTCACCAGCTCCAGCACTGTTCTCATTAACATTCCCTCCAAAAGTGGCCAACTTCTGAGAGACCCAAGTCTTTCTAGTGTCAAGGAACAGAGAAAGTACCTGTTGAGGATCCAATTCATCGATAACGGCAACTGCGGACAAAGCATCGGCATAAGCCCCAATGCCAAGCCCTTGATCCAGAAGCCTCTCCCGGCTCCGCTGTGAAATCTGGGCTTTAAAGCTCTCCACGATCTGCCACTGGTGTTGCAGGAGAGGGAAATTGGAGAGTATCTTGGTGTGATCCCGCTCCAAAGCGCCATCGAGTAGCTGGGAATGGACATGTTTAGCACGGATGTATCTTGCCGCGGCTTCGAGGAACATGGACTCGTCGAGGCATCCCCAGATGTTCTCCGGAGTGTCGACCAGGTACTTTACGCGGCAGGCGATTCCGTAGATTCGGAGGCGGGCCGAATTGGAGGTTGTGAATTTAGGGGTTTGGGAATCGGCGGAGGCGGAAGAAGTGGAGAGAGAGCGGATGTTGGAGTGAATTGAAGCGATGTTGGAGGAGATGGAGTGGCAGGAAGACTTCATGAGAACGATTGAGTCGGCGGAGTCGATTAGGTCCCTGTACCGGTTGCCGACGAGGAGGCGGAGCTCTTCCTTCTTGTCCTGGATCTGTTTCCTGGTTGTCGACTCCGCATTTCGGATTTCGACGATGGGCTTGGATCGGAAGAGGGACTCGGCATCACGGTGGCCGGCGCCGGGAACGGCGACCAGGCGGTCGGTGGATGCCGACGACTGTCTCATGATTTATCGACGGCCAATTGAGCCACGGAAGAAGAAGAGAGGAGTACTGAACGGTGTACAAAAATGGCGGAGAGGAGAAATGCGCAGAAATACAGGCAGTTCTTTTGTGTGCTACAATGGACTGAAGCGTGCTTCTCAATCAAACATAAGAAGATTGTGAATTTGTGACTTAGCCCAGCAGACTTTTTATTTTTATATGGGCTCTTAAGCCCATAAAATGCAAAGCCCGACTGGACCAGACTTCTGAAAAGACTGAAACAGTGGAGCTACTGTCTACTACTGATAGTAGCTCGAAATAAGAACATCAATCGCGTTCCAGCCTTCCAGGAAGACGAAAGAAAAAGACTACCAAATTGAAGAAAGGATTTTGTCCGAGTATCGAAGAAGCCAGCGGCAGGAAGGCTTTCGATTGTTTCTCTGTGCATAGTTGGATATTGAGCTCTACGCCACTTTCTGTTCTGGACTGATATCTTCGATTCTAAAACTACTCTGAATCGGTTCTTCTAGCATTGGAACAAGGTGATACGAATTGGGCAGTTTAGAAGGTCAGAAAAGGCTCAAACTTTGATGAGTTAGCGCTTTTCATGTGTAGCAAAGTCTGTAATTTCATATTGAAAGTTAGTGATTTTGGAGTAAAAAGCTACATTTCTTGATGTTCTTCAAGGTGAAACCAAATGGTTTTGTGAATGTAGACTGCACAAAAAGTAATTGTTTGTCGTTCTCAAGCAGGTGGGGATTCTTGGAAAAGTGATCAATGGAGGGTGACAGGTATTTCACATCTCTTTTCTTTTGCTCTAGTTTGAAGTAGGTTTTCTGTTGCTTGCAATTTGTTTTGCCTTTCTGTTTGATTACATTGAACTATTTATCAGGCTGAACTCACCAAGTACATGCGCAGTTATGCTTGAAGCTTTGGGCCATCAATTGCAGTTTTCTCAGGTGTAGCTTCGTAATGTTTGATTGTTACTGCTAAGATAGTTTCGTTTGCTAAATATTAGAAAGACATTGTGTTTGTCTATGGGTTTTATCTGCTAAGACTGCCTTATGAAGGTTTCGTTCTGTTTTATAATCAATGACCACCTTGAAATTATTGGAAGACGAAAACTATAATGATTTGGCTGTTAATGAACTTGTTGTCTTCCCATGTATAGGATCCAAATTCCAAGCACCTGGGAACCACAGTTTGGGATGCATCTATGGTACTTGTCAAATATTTGGTAAGCCTCGCTGTACTCATTGAATGGAAAATGGATAATGTGATGTCCCATTTTGCAGCTTGTGGCTTATAGTTAGTTGCTCCTTAGAGTTTAAACAAGTTATAGCTGCTTATAGATGCAAAATTTCATTTCGGAGGATAACTATTTCAAATTTTCTCTTTTGCGAATGAAATATAGGATTATGCTGAGGGTTGAACTATAATATCCTATGAGATCCCCAAAATATGATGTCATCTGTCATTGTGATTCTTCAACATGTCCCAGGGTATTTGATGGCACAGCTATAAACTTCTCATTTGTTTCAAAATGGCAATTGTACAACAAATCAATGCAAACTGATTTAAGAAATCTGCTTAACGAAAACTGGCTGGCTGGCTCTTGTCTTTCCTCTCATTGACATTGTGTTATCAAAGGATCCCTTTTGTAGGACATACTAGGTACTTACTCCGACATCTCTTATGGTCCTTAAACGTCCAGTTCTTTGTTTTGTTTTGTTTTTTTCCAGGAAAAGAACTGCAGAAAGGGAAGGTTCAGCCAATCCAAGCTTAAAGGAAAACGTGCTATTGAACTTGGAGCTGGTTGTGGAGTAGCTGGGTTTGGTGAGTTTGTAGTCCTGTGTCTCCATATATCCTATATTTAGTAAGAAAAGATCTCCCATATGCCATATCCTTAGCTTTGCTGCATCCTGTCCCATGCAGTGGAGAAAGGTTTTGCTCTTGATATCCTTCATGTCCCAGTCTGTATGCTTTGCTGATGCAAGCGACTCTTTCCCAGGAATGGCACTTCTAGGATGTGATGTAATTTCAACAGACCAGGTCGAGGTTTTGCCATTGCTTATGCGAAATGTTGAACGTAACACTCAGAGAATTCTTCAATCAGAACAAAGTTCAGGTGTGTGGCTAGACTAACTACTGTGGATTGTTATCTGCTGGATAAATGTAACCTGCACTATTACCCAAGTTACAAGCAAATTTTGTGCCCATCGGATCATTGTGATACTTGTAGGTTCCTTTGGGTCAATCAGGGTTGCGGAATTAGATTGGGGAAACGAGGAACATATTAGAGGTGTTGACCCACCATTTGACTTCATCATTGGAACTGATGTTGTAAGATTCTTGATGAGTTGTCCTAGTTGGTCGGAGTTATCTTAGTTTGTATTTTCTTCCCTTCTCTAAACATAGGAATCAAACTGAAAAGTCCACATTTCTGAAGGTGTACAAGGAGCATTTGCTAGAACCCTTACTGCAGACCATTTTGGCTTTGTCGGGCCCTAAAACCACTATCTTGGTAAGTTTTTGCATGATCCTCCCCGGCTTTTGTCATGCATAAAATTCCATAGTTCTGATCTTTACTTCCATCTGGCTTAAAAATTATCCACAGTTGGGGCATGAGATTCGTTCTACAAATGTCCATGAAAAAATGCTTGAGATGTGGAAAAGCAATTTTGAGGTGAAAACTGTACCGAAATCTAAGGTACACGCATGATTCAATGTCTTCTTACATCCTTCTGTTGTATCCCGAAACAGCTCTCACCTCTTACTCTTTATGCAGATGCATTACAAGTACCAACACCCTAGTATTCAGCTTTACATCATGGAGTTCAAACATAATGGTGGCGGGATAAGAGCCGTGACAGACCATCAGCAATCTGATGTAGAATCAGGATCAGAAGTAGTGGAAGAGGAAGAGGAGGAATCTCAAGCTAGTAATGATTCTGTAGTAGATAATGTTCGAGATCCTTCTTGTGAGATTACTAATCAAGAACAGCAAGCAATGAAGTCGCCAGAGGCAGGCGGGATCACCGATTGGGAATCGAGGAGGATTGGTTCAATGGCTGCTAGGCTTCTGCGTGATGTCAAGATAACTTAATTTTTCCGTACACATGCACCTACAGCAACTACTGCTATTTAACTCGGTAGTTTAGATGCTTGGTACATCCACTGTGATACAGCATTTAAAAGAAAATGATTCTTGTAGAAACATGATCAGTTAGCACTTAGCAGTTAGCAATTATGTTTCTTCATTCGCATAACTCGAGCAGCGTAAAAGTGGTGAAAGCTTTGGTTATGTGGTGCAAAGGTTGTTTGCTTTTTGGACAAGGAAGAAGGCAGGAGGAGGCTGCCCTTGGCTTTCGTCTGCAACTGTAGTTGATTTGATTCGAGCTCGAGGTTCTGGGCCAACATGGAAAAAAGGATCGAGTTACTTAGTCCGGCTTGAGACTTTACATAACACATTCCACACAACAATGGCTGACTGTTGGAGATTTTGAATGAGTTGGGGAAGAACGATAATGATGATTGACATGAAAGCAGAAGAGTCGGCCATGAGGTTGATGATGCTGGTGTCTGAGTTGCGTTGCTTGGGGAGTTGGAGTGAATCAGAATTCATGTGTTAAAGAGTGTAGTGGGCTCTGCAGTTGGATGGGCTGGGCTAAAAACTAAATTGATGGAAACCAATTGGGCCTGGAAAACGGTTTCTACAATCATCCAACAAAGATTATCTCCCAGCCCAAGTGATCCAACGACGAAAAGATATCTCCCTTACCGTCTCAGCTAAGTTTCCCCATTCTCACCACAAAGCAGATCATCACACGCGCCTTGCATTTTTGGGGGGGGCTTCCAAAGAGACCGAGACTGACGCGCGCGGCGGGGGAAGGAAAGTAGGAAACAAAACAGCCAATCCGTAAAGGGGACCACACGAGTGGGCGGGGCGCTCGAGGGAGAAGGTGACACGTTTCGACAGTTTCACAAGAAAACAAAAGTGAAAAAAAGAAAGAAATGTTAAAAAAAAAGGGTGAAGCACGAATCTTGAAAAGGATTGAATGGGGGCAGTCACACGTGCGGTGGGGGTGTGTGTGTGTGAAAGAGAAGGCGTGCGTAGCGTATTACGTCAGAGGAAGACAGCGAGGCCTGTTTTACCTTTTCTTGTCACTGTCTGTCTAACCCCTACCCTCCCTGCCCCAGGCCCAGAATCCCACTTCCCCTGGGCCCCGGCCCAATTACCTACCCCCACCCCACCCCACCCTACCCTTTCTCATCAATTTTTTTTTTTTTTACAATGATTAACAACTCTTATTCCAACAAACGAAAGAAGCGCAAATTCGATTACATTCTTAGAGAAGATCAGAAATGAGATCAAGAATATTAATCCAATCATCAGGGAATGAAGCTCGTGCTTTTGATCTTGCAACCCAATCGGCTCTGACATTGAGTGCCCTCGGAACATCCTTGACTTGAATAAGAGGGTTTGTCCTCAAGATTGAAACAATCGATCCTATCCATGATGTACATCTCCATGGCCATCTTGATTGATTGAGCTTCAGGGCTTTCACCAGAACCTGACAGTCGGACTGTATCGTGCATTCGGTGCCATATTCTTGAGCTAATTTCACTCCTTCCAGAAGGGCCTTCGTTTCTGCTTCAATCGGTGTGGAACAAAGAAGATTCTCCGCTCTCCCATCACACACTTGTCCATGGTGGTTAACAACCACAACACCATATGCCGCCGGCTGGGAGTCGCTAATGAACGACCCATCACAGTGTATCATCACAGGATGATTACTTGGCGGTGGATTCGTATGAGTCTGGGTTCCCCTTTCTCATCACATATCATGTTTTTTAATACACCATTTTGTTTTTATTACAAGACCTTCGGTTCGTGCTATAGCGTTGGCGATAGACCTCTCATTGTATACGCTCTAACGTTTACTAATTTGGAGGTACAAAAATATAAACTCCTCAACTCTTAATAATCAGAGAACGCGAGACAATCAACCGTCACATCACAAAGATCGTCGATATGCTTACGGCTCGAAGAGGTGGCTACCTAAATGTGTTAAAGTAAATGGGACGACGAGCTTTCATGTCTCCAAGAGCCAAATGGAGATGCCGAGACACTTGACACTTGGCTCTTTTCAGTTAGTTAGTTAGTTATATGTTAATAACCACTAGAAGTAGTTTCTTCTTGTTATGCCTAACAGTAGTACTATATTGATGATTTTTAATCAACTAAGTCAGCAATCAGTTAGTTACGTTAGATATTCTTGCTAGAAATAACAATTAGAGAGACGCTCCCGCACGCTTAATCCCTTTCTAAACAAATTTCTATGTACACATTTTTTTTTTCAACGTAGAGATTCCCCATATGCAACGAACTTAACAAAGAACAAACAGAGGAACTAACTAAAGCTGGAGGGTGGGTGACTGAAAGTAACTTTTCTGGCACTGTCCGTCAATTAGTGATGGCAATGGGGCGGGTACCTCAATTCCCATGCCCCGCCACACGCTATTACGGGTCGGGGCGGGTAAAACCCGCGCGGATACGGGCGGGCGGGTCGACCCACTCTTACATGTTGTTCAAAAAAATACAAGTAAATTTTACTTTTTACAATAAAACGTAGGGAAAAACACTTTAAGAATGAAAAATATTGATAATGGAATGGATAATTGAGCCTAACAAACTGAAAGATCGACTCTAACTAGTTGAAGAAAAGTCAAAATAGGATAAATATGTGTAGATATTGTAAGAAATTGAGATAAATGAATCTAGAACGGGGCAGGGTGGGTTAGAAGTAGATACCCATGCCCCGCCCCACGCTACTGCGGATCGTGTAATACCCGCCCCATCGCGGATTAGATCGGGTAATACCCACAGGGCGGGTTGAAATTGCCATCGCTATTCGCTACTGTCAATCCACCCTAAATCCCTACCCTAATATATCACTTATTATTGGGCCGTAGCCCAATCAGAGATACAACAAACGACGTCGTTCGCCTCCTTCTTCAAGCCACCTAGGACGACCTTTTCCCATTTGTCTTACCAAAGTAAAAAGGGAAGCAACAATGACTTGTAGCGGCTGCCTTCATGAGTTTGGAATCGAGGCTACTATGTAACCAAAGAGTCAACCAAGAGAAAGTGATAGTGCAAAATAATGTTGTAAAGGAAAAATCATGGAAACTAGTGGAATAACATACGTATACATGAATCAATTATTGGGTAACGAATAATTAATAGCGTTAATGATAATAATTATAAATGATAATGACGGGTGCATGCATATGCATTTCATCATTTCACTAACGAGGGCGGCCGGAGAAGAAATTAGAGGAGAAGAAGAAGAAGAATCTTAATGCGTAGCTAACGTATGAAATGTTTGGCTTGATATATGCCACAATCGGCCGGATATATCGTTTCTCTCATCTCCCTTCGCAACTTAACAATAAAATTATGCCGCCGGCCACCCACCGATTCTCTCCCCGTTTCTTCGATATATATATATACTTCCCCAGACCCCAAGCAATCACAAAGCCAAGCTCTAGGATATCTATCAAGCTACTCTCTGCTGGTTTTGAGTGGCGAAAGTAAGAAATCTGAACATGGGGTGGCTGACTTGAATTGTCGTAATTTGTGGAAAGCTAAAGTCTTATCGACTGTTCTAATTTCCAAAATTTGTGCAAAGTATTCATTTTCTCTTTTACCTATATTTAGAAATTGAGGAGGGTTACAGCCCCTTCTAATTTCTAACCTAACTATACCATTGCTAGCTTTGGTTGGAGCATCGATTTGAATCGAGATGTATAGAGTGCATATATATATATGGGGAGTTCTTCAGTACTTAGAGTGAAATTCGGGGTACCGCATACCTTATGTAAGAAACGCTATCCAGAACTTGAATTGACTGATCTTTCGGACATGGTACCATACTCTAACCCTTAAAGATCAAAGTCTACGTCTTATTCTCTAAATCTTATACCCCCAAGATCAATTTAATTAGAAACAATAATCGACGGTTATGATTCGTCCAAATATAGGCAAAATAATCAATGCATCATCTTAGGGTTTAAAGTTTATGATTTAGATAATTAGAATCTAGGGTTCACTCATTAAAGGTTATGATATAGTATCATGCCCAAAAATCCTGCTAATTCGAGGTCTAGATAGCGTTTGCATATTCAAGGTATGCAGAACCCCGAATTTTACCCGAGGTACTGTAGAAGACACCATATGTATATCCATCTCTACAACACCTATCTAATTATTGGAAAGTCGAGGCGGTAAACTGATTCATGAATTGCTAGATTATTGGTGAATTTATAGATTGGGTTCCTGAATTCATTATGAATTTTTTAAAAAAATTTAGGTGTTTAAGTTTTAGGTACCAAAAGATAATTTCTGAATAAATTTATCACATAATTTGAATTTAGTTATCAAATTATAAAATATAAACAGTATATGCTAAACTATATCCAATAATATGTTAATTCAATCCTCAAATCAAGCAATCCGTTGAATTTATATTAAATAAATGAGTTTCATTGATTTTAAAACTGTCATCTCTACCTGTAAGATAATTAATTTGGACGCAGATAATCAGCTAAATGAGGATTATAGTATAATTTGGTTACGTATTGCCTCTTTAAGCTACCTATTGCTACATACTTTGATACATACATACATACATGGATGAGCTAGTTCAATTTTGTATAATTCCCTTGTAGCTTCCTTTTGTTTCATCCTACAATTGAAAGAAAAAATGGAATATACAGATTACTATCTATAGTCCTCCCAATTAATTCATCCACCAAAGATAGAAAAGAGTTGTCTATGGCTTAATTAAAAAAGACTCTTGCCCTTGGTAGGTCATCCATTAATCGACTGCTATGACTTATATCAAGCTATTCCTGTGATTTGATTAGTATCTATATATGAAGAAGAAGAAGAAAAACGAAATTATCATTCTTCATCTCTCCCTAATTTTGGTTTTAGCTGGCCAATAGCTAGACAAGCAAATTCAATTTGTGAAGTAACACTATGTTGCATTAAGATCTGATATCAATTATTGAAAACTAATTAATATATATATATTTCATGGTTAATCACTAGCTAATCAAAATATTTTAAGTTAATTTTAGAAATTAGATTGTAATAAATTAGGGTTGGTGGTCTCAGATCATGATGAAGAGCATGTCAATCATGATGAGCCTTCCCTGTAAGATCTCCTCTGTATCCACATGGTTTCTGGAACACCGGCATTACTTGTCAAGGGAATCAATCCAACCCATCCACAAAGATCTATTATTTCCATTTTAATTGTTAACAATATTATTGCCTCAACTTAATCCATTATTTCCTGTTCATTACCGAGCCATATTGTTTAACCCTACTTATAATGAGATGCGAATTTCAATCTGTTTCGAGACTGATCCGTCTTTGTTTAACTTTATGCTCAACGTTAATTAACGAAGGCTGCGATTTAACGGTACCAAGTGATCGAGAATAATTCGCGATGAGATTGTGACCTGCTTTAATTTCTCGCATCTGATCGTATTCGTGGTGCCACCTTTTAAGTAATTTCCAGCTAGCTAGGGTTGCATGCATGTGACACCTATAGCTCCCTGCAGGCCTCTCCCTAGTCAAAATGAAATTACGATATCGTGTTAATCAACGCGATTACTTTAGATTGTCATCAACACGTTTTTTTTTCACACAAAGAAAGAAGCATCCATTTAGTGCATAAATCGAATATACACGAGCTCGCGAGTAACCCTAACGTCATAAACACACACATGGTTACGTTGATCACGTCCCTCTCGCGCTGCGGTTGCCCCTAGTCAAATTCATCAAAAATTGTGGGCTATATAGCTAGCTAGCCATATCGAGCAGAGATCATCAATCATCATCATCAATCATATCTCAATTTTCACTATGCAAAGGAAAAGGAGGACCCGTCCTAGTTCTATATATATCTTAGGCACACTGTTTGGGGAAACCCTTACAATTGTACTGATGAAACAATGTCTGAACCAATTGATTGCCCCCATTTCCCACAACGCAAAACTGTATAGTTTGCTACTATATTATGGCCGTATATTTACCAACAACAATCCATATTCTCCCCATCTGATGCGGGAATTGATGGATGATAATGATGATAGATAATTATAAGCCATTATTGATAGCAGCAGCTGCTTTGTTGTAGTCTATGAAACTATATATAGTGTCGCATTGTGGCCCTATAAATCACCTGACCAGGTGGTGATGATGATTATTGTGCACAAAACGAAGACTTATTAGCTCTAGCTATAGTATAGTACTACCTGAAAAAAACAACTATGAACATAGGGAGAGAGTGTGTCATTATTATGGCTAGCTTCTTGCAGTGTTTTTTTTGCACAGCAGACAAAGGCAAAAAACCCTTTTGTTCATCAGATAAAACGTAGATCGATCGATGGATGTTTCTTCTGTGTATAACTGTATATATAGCTCAAAAGAAAGGTGATACTCATACTAGCTCAAACTTACAAATCTCTACTGCTTGCATTCCTTTTCATCAGGCCCATGAGTACTATAGTAGAAAGGTTTGAGGATGAGTCGAGTGATGATTTCAATGGATTTGTGGATGCAACAACACAACAACAAAGGTTCGATGGTCATTGCTAGCTGCTCCACTGGTTATAATAAAAAAAGGTTAATACCTTAGTTTGGCCCGAACTATACACATACTTTCTACTTTGGCTCGTCGTATTGGAAATTGCTATTCTGGCCTGAATTATGTAGCAAACTTCCTCATTTGGCCTGGAGGCGGGTTTGACCGTTAAATTAGACGGTCAAACTTGTTGACCGTTAGTCAATGTCCACCTCACCTGCCACGTCAGCTTTGAGGACATAAAAAAATATGTTTTTTTTTATTTCTGAATTTTTTTTTCTTGTGATTTGCTAAAAATTGGCCTTTTTTGTTTTTAATAATTTTTTTGATTTATTATTCTTATTAATCGAAAGAAAACATAATTCAGAAATAAAAAATAATAATTTTTTATGTCCTCAAAGCTGACGTGGCACATGAGGTGGACATTGACTAACGGTCAACAGGTTTGACCATCTAATTTGACGGTCAAACCCGCCTCCAGGCCAAATGAGAAAGTTTGCTACATAGTTTAGGCCAGAATAGCAATTTCCAATACCACATGCCAAAGTAGAAAGTATGTGTATAGTTCAGGCCAAACTAAGGTATTAACCCTAAAAAAAATACAAAACTATTGAACACACGTTGAATTTCTAACAACCAAAGTTATTATGATGATGATGATCCAATAATAGTGCAAGCTGACTTTGAAGATGAGATTTTTTAGTGGGATAGTTTTACAGAAATTGACAATTAGTCAAACATGTATGGAAATCAAAAGGTGTGTGAAAAAAACCCTAGTGCCTAGCTACTGGTATGACTTTCGTATTAGCTGCTGGTTAAATTCAAATCTATAGTTTAATCTCTAGCTAAGGAATTGGAAGCCAGTTAATTACTTAATTAAACGATGACAATAACTGATTTGTATTGTGGGAATGGAAACAAATAAAATAAAATAAATATTTATATAGGATCACAAGCTAGCGTAAAGTCCATGGTTGGAAAATGTCATATGAAGAAGCTATCAATTCAATTTCCTGTTGAATTTCAACTTGGGGCCAAAGACTTTGAGGCCATAATACCACAAACCCTTTTGAGAAGAAAAGAAAGAGAAACTAAACTTGACTTGAGAGAGCAAGCAATTGCAAGGCTTTATATGTGTTGTGTTTGCGTCAAACTCAAAACTGTTAAATATGGTATTATTCTGTGGGCTAAATAATTAAAGAAGCTTCTATATTAATGATGATTACCGTTTTAGCTTCATTTATTTTGGGTGTTTAATTCACATCTTTTTTTCTCTCTTTATACAAGTCATGAATTTTGACATATTTCTTCGTTGGGATGGTTTGGGATTATTGTACATGATGTGCTAGCTAAAACTTCAAATTTGTAGTTGACACAGAACCAGCTGGAGTCGACACGACCCATAGTAAAATAAACTTGTCGAGTTGCTATTAATTAAAGTTATAAGAAAACGATATCCAGAGGAGCTAGCTGTCGGTAATCGGTTTTAGATTGCTTTGGTTAAAACATATGGATTTTAGATTGCATGAATTCCGGTAACACCATGTATTTCGTATTTGTTAAAGTGAAATGCATAAATATTTTTACGATATGGGTAATTAAACACGTTATTCGAAACTAGAATAGTGTTTAAAACGATAATTGATTGAGTAAAAAAACAAAAGGAAGCAAGCTGAGATGTTCGAAATGACGACAGAACACAATTGGTGTGATGATATACAAGTATCATTTTTTTTAATTAATTATCAGAAAATGGTGCACACATATGGTCAGGAATTATATATAGTCCCAAAACTAAGAAATAACAACAATAATAATAAGCAAGTGGGGGAATCTAATCCTTGTTTTCCTCTCATAAGTGAGATATTATTATCATTTCCCCGCATTTCACCCCCCTTGTATATACACTGTTGACATTAAGTTGTCATTTAGCATCTAACCCAGCTCTATCCAGCCCCTTAATCATATATATATATATGCTAACCACATACATGCACAAATGAAAATTAGTTTTAAGTTAAAAAGATTAGAAATTGAGCCACCACTAATTATTATAATTAGGTGGGTTTTTGTGACGAAGAAAGAAAAGTTTGATTGAACGTGTCAATCATTTTGACTTGTGCATGCCCCTAAATATGAATAAAATACCCTCTACTCTATGTTAAAAGTACCTTTCTTTCACTGTCTATCTCCCTCTCCCCAGCAAGCAATGCAAATGCAAGTCTCCTTCATTGTGTTAAAAAAAAAGAACAACAACAGAAACAAACAAAAGCCCTCTCCTCTTTCTTTTTTTCTCTTTTTTTCTTTTTGTGGGTGTGGTTAGGTTATTGCATAGGGTATAATAATAAGCAATACAAGAAGAGGACTGAGTTGGGTCTTGGTTGAGAGAGAAAGAGAAAGAGAGAAAGAGAAACCCCATTTCAAGAGAGAGAGAGAGAGAGAGAGAGTTGAAACTTGTCTTCCTGCAGCTTCATTTTTCTGGTTTGGATAATTGAGAGACACAAAGAGAGAGATGGGGAGAGCACCATGCTGTGACAAGGCAAATGTGAAGAAAGGGCCATGGTCACCTGAGGAAGATGCCAAGCTGAAGGAGTACATTGAGAAATCTGGCACTGGTGGCAACTGGATTGCTCTCCCTCAGAAAGCTGGTAATTAATTGATCGAGCAACCCTTATTTAATGATCTAGTGATTAATTATCATTACTTGTAGCAGTTATTTCCATCCATGGAGCTGGTTCTCATGATGTTTTCCTGTTGACTACTCTCTGTGCAGGTTTGAAGAGGTGTGGGAAGAGCTGCAGGCTGAGATGGCTCAACTATCTGAGACCAAACATCAAGCATGGTGAATTCTCTGATGAGGAAGACAAGATCATCTGCACCCTCTTTGCCACCATTGGCAGCAGGTATAATATAACCACCTCTCTCTCTTTTATTTCAAGTGTTGGTCTGTGATAAAAAGAAGGAAAAAAAAGGGGGAAGGGTTCAGTAGAGAAGTTTTTATTTATAGTAATTAGGCAGAGAAATGGACAGTGAAAGAAATCTGCACCATTTTTGGGGAGGGTATAGTTTTAGCTTTTGCATGCCTCAAAATTTAAGCAAACCCACCTAACTTGCTATCTACTTACTTGACACAGCTGCATCTCATCATCATCTAACTGAAATTCAAACACAAAAGCCCCTTTCTTTTCTGTTTCTGTTTGGTGGGTTTTTTTAGTTTTAATGTCAAAGAGGCTGCTGCTGATATAAATGCAGATGGTCAATAATAGCAGCACAGTTACCAGGCAGGACTGACAACGATATCAAGAACTACTGGAACACCAAGCTGAAGAAGAAGCTTATGTCCATGGCTCCTCCTCCTCCTCCTCACTCTCACTCTCAATTCCCCTCATACCATCATCATCAAAGAAAACCATTCCCTTCTCCATCTCCCTCTTCACTCCTTTACTCCCCTCTTTCTGCTGCACCACAAACTTCTCCATTCATGAAATCTTCCACTGGTTTCGACATGATCTCACCGTTGCTCCAATCCAATCATCTCCTTGGCACCACAAGTTCCTCCTCCCTTTTCCAATCCCTTCAAGAAGCTGGAAACAACAACAACACTTTCTTGAACACCATGCAATACTACAACAACAACAACAGCAGCTGCAGCAGCAACTTATTAGTGTTTGGAAGTGGCGGCACTCAGCAGGAAGCATCTGCAGGAGCCAGTTGCAGTTCAAACTCGGACGGGAGCTGTGGCGGCCAGCAAGGGCTCAACTATGGAACCAGTTTCGTGAAGCAAGAGATGAGTGGTAGCAAAACCGAGGTAGGAGATCACAGTAAGTTCATGTTCAACTATCTTCCCACAAACATCAGCAACAACGGTGGTGGGTATCAAGCTGCAGCTATGGCGGATCATCATCATCATCATAATCAGAATCTTGAGGAGCAAGTGAAGCAGCTCATCATCACGCAGAGTTGTAGCGATGAGTATCCTGACAATAACAATGGCCTTCTCCTCGGTAATGTTGTTGATGATGACAACAAGGCTGTGCAGGAGAAGCTCATGTACTATTACTACTAGATCAATTTTTCATCAAGAGCTTCCAAAAAAAAAAAAAAAAAAGAAGAAGAAGTAATATATATTTTATAAATGATGTAATTTGGGGATGGATAAATTGAGTGTTGATTTTTATATGATGATCCTGACTGTGTAAGTAAATATAAGAGGCTAGGAACTATTATGATTTCCATTCAAATTTTATGGGATAATTCAAGTATCAAATCGTAAATATAAGAGAAGGAATTCTTGTATATTAATGTTCACCAAGCTCATTAGTACGAGGCCTTTTTGGGGAGGACATCTAAATGTAAAATTGTGCGGGTTTGGCCAGAAGCGGACAATATCATACTAATTCACACAAATTATCTTGTAATACTGTTAATTCCAAGTTTGTTTTTTTGTGCCAATTTCCCTTTTGGTAGGAGATTTTGATTATAGGAAGCTGTGTGTTCTTGTTCTTCTTCTGCTACTGCTGCTGCGGCAAGCTCGTGGATCAGAGAATATTTTTGCAACTCTCATGGAAGAGAAGGGAAAGAAATTAATGGAGAGAAGAAAAAAAAGGTTGTATTGAATTGTATCACTACACCATCTCATGGTTGGCAGAGAGCAACAGAAAACAATACAAAAAAAAAAAAAAAAACCCAAGTACGATTCTTGCTTGCCTCTCTTCTTTTGAAACATATAAAATATAGGATTTCCCCTTTGGACATATCCATTATTAGGGTTTTTTCATTTTTTGTTCTTATTTGAACCCCATAAATTTTATTCCTCAGATCACACTGAGTCATATTAGTACTGACAGCGATTTCCTATCCCCCCCCCCCCCCTCCATTTTCTCCCCATATTCTAATAGGGTTTTTTTGTGGAAAACCCTACTCTACCCTCCATCTTGGTAACCCATTTTGGATTTTGGATCATGGTTGGGAAACCACTGGTATGAGGGCCGATACAACGAGTTTCAACCGGTAATAGAAATAATCGGTTGGAATATATACCACTAGTATGAAGTGGTAGTCAAACCGTTAAGGAATTTAATCTGGTTATACTTCGAGTCTGGAGCATATCACTTATTAAACCAGTATATAAATCGGTTCGATAACCTTGGATTGGATGGTTGGAGAAAAGGGTAGTGGCAGTCATTCCACTGTATGCAACTGGCTTGTTAAGGATTGTTTTTATTTATTTATTCCCCCTTGTGGAAAATATTTATTAATTATTGAAAGAAGAGGTCTGACTCCAAGATGGGAACTTGTCTTTCCCTGCAAAAAAAAAAAAAAACCCAATTTTTATAAATAAAAAAGGTGATGCTTGGGTAAAAGCTTGGATCTTTCTGCCTCTGTCCGACGAAACCCTTTTTGTTTAATTGAAAAATGTTATACAATGATTGATTTTTTTGTTCACCATAATCTCAGTCTTCTGCATAATTCATTGGTGTTTGGTCTTCTGTTTTCCTACTGGTTTTCTGTATTATTATTATTATATATCTTTATATACGGTCTCTACCTACATGTTCCATGTATATACTACGTATAGGAATACGCATTAGGGGCAATAATTATGAGATGGTGATGGTGTGGAGATCAATTTCGGTAGATATGATTCCCTTAATTATCATGATATTATTAATTGTAATTAATTAATTTAAATATCTATGTGGAAAATGCAACTATTGGTGCATACATGAAAGACCTAAAAGATGAGATCATGGTATGATTGGTCAGCGGTGAGAGCACTGTTCAATATTTCAAACTTGTGATGATGATCCAACATCTTATCATATTATCACTTTCCTTCTTGTTTTTTCAATTTTCGGGGCATAGTTTCTTTCTTGGCCCCTAGTTTTTTTTTGTTTATTCCCAACGATGAAAAGAGTCTAGAGCCTAGACCATGACTTTGATCATTTCTAACTTCTAACCACAAACACAAAATCATTTACCACATCACATACATATATTTGTGAGTAAGACCCTCTAGAAGATGATATGATCCATGTTGCGAGTCACCATACGCGAGGTTACGAAGTACGGACCATAATGCAAAGCAGCAAAACTAACGTAAAGTGAGGTTATTCACTACGAATGACAAGAACCACGTGAAAAAATTCGTGTCCCGTGAATTCTCGTATGGTTTTGGATTTGATTCTTATGTATGAGACTTATTCGTGGAGATCTCCGTGAAGAAAGGCCTTGTTCACATCGAGCTGATGCGGTGACCAAGATTCTGTTAATTAGCTGCAACTTACATACTTACTCATCATATGGAATCAGTTTCATTTGGCTCTCTGGACTATGATTCGATAGAGAACAATTTGACGCACTATCTTCTCAATTTAGGCAGCTAGATTAAAGTACTTCAAGAATAATGATTATTCAATCTCTCAGCAAAAACTTTGCCCTTGACGAGTGTTGTTCGATCGAGCAATTAATGTGTGGAGCACAAGTCTTCATTTCATATGGCTCCTCTATCCCCTTTTTTTTATATATTTTCAATTCGTAGTATGTAAACACATTTTGATATTTACCGATGTACTTCTGATATTAACTATTTCAGGTCACATTTTATAAAATCTATATTGTCACCACAATCGAAATTGTTTATCAAACATGCCACAAGTATGTTAAAATTCCGACATTATTCAGGAATAACCCCATAATAACACAATCAAACGTAATATACTAGTAAAAGAAAATTCAGTAGCCGTACTAGTAGTGCATATTAAATCCACAATCTCTCATCTAACACCATTACATTATTAAAGAAATAATTACACGTTAATTACAAACGAGTGTACACATGTCCAGAATCCACACGCAAACTACTCTCAATGAGCTGTTCTAACTTAACTACTACGACTAGTTTTAATCCTTTTTTTTTGTGTATATAAAAGGAAAGGAAACGACAGAGAATTTGTACGTTCATGGCGATCGAGGTGATTAGATCAAATTAAGCGTATACTCACCAACATTACCAGCTACGTACTATATTTGGCCTGCAGTCTGAGCTTCTATTGGATCATCATCCACCAATAAATTAACTACTAATTACGTACACTTTAGCAAATTAATTAATTGATAATTCTGTTAGAGAGCAGGTAATTTATAGGTGCTGTGGATATATATATAATGTGTGCAAGAAGTAGTTTAGCTAGCTAGACCGCTATCTATCTCGAAATAGTACGTATTTGGTAAACTTGGAATTTAACCAACCTAGTTATAACCAATTACAGTATTATACTATATATGTAAGCTAACTTGATGTGGATTATCAGTAGGAATGACAATAATTCGACTCGCGTCGGGTAATTTGACTCAATTATCATGATCTTATATGGGTATTGGATCTAACCCAAAATGGACCCAAACGCGTACTTTTAATAATTTTGAATTTTGATTGGGTTTTATTTAGTTTGATTTGGGTCAACTCATTTGGGATAGATTCAAAATGTGTCTATTTGGTTCCACATAATTGCATACACGAAACGAAAAAGATAATACCGATGATCTCTTTTTTGTTTTTTTTTTTTTTAACCCGGTTTTTTATTTGAAACATTGATGAGTTTTAATTATTGGATTTAGGATCCACGTATGCATGGCATGTACAGTACGTCGGTAGGTGATTATTATTAACAGTCTAAAAGAGTGAAAACTACGACTCTTAATTACTTACAGTTATGTCAACTGTCAGTAGTTGGGTGAAATTTTTTAGGCAAACCCGCAATAGCGAAAGGAGATAAAAAGGCACTCATAATTGAGGGCAATGAACATTGATACCGTGTGACACAAGTAAGCAACGAAATGCTTAATTGACTTGAATTGGATCCATCCATCGATCGATTTTCTATTGGCTAAAAATAATATGAATGAAAGCTGAGTTTGGCAGCCCCCGTAAGTAGCGTTTTCAACTTTGATTCTCGAAGCTGCCATCTTAATTAGCTTCTTCTTTTTTCCATTTTCTGGGCTTTCTTTGTCAACTACGGTCGGCTAGCTAGCTAGCTGTTGTTTGTTTATTTATATGTTGTCAATAAATTTATAGGTTTGGAATATATACTTCATTCGAGCTTTTTTTTATTCGTCTTTAAGAATGATCGGATGGAAACGATACTCTTTGCGATGCGTGAATCGTTTTGGGGAGACCAAAACTAATCACATCAATGGATGGACATCCACAACAAATAAACAACCCCATTGAGTAGATAATACATTATTTGAACCTTCCTTTGCAACTGAAGCTCCCCTAGTATAAGTAACAAGAAGATCAAAAATCACAGATTCGCATTGTTATAAGCCAACTTCAAGTTATTTAAAGACCGGATCAATCGAACAAATGATGAAACCGAATTCGTAAAATCAATTTTAAGAATACCACGAAGATATATAATATAAAAGATAATTAAACACACAAAATCAGATGACATCAAATTCATGGGAACAATGGAGCCGTGTACTCTCTCTGTGGCTTTAATTTGCTTGATAGAGTTACATATGGATTTCATAAATACACAGTAGTCAGCTCAGGCCTGTAATAAACTTGCAGTCGTGATCTTTCTTATGTGACATTTTGACAGAGATGCAGCCATAGCCATTAATAATGTTGAAAGACTTTGGAAAAAGAAGATGGAAGACCACTGCTCAAGACTGATGAAGATTGAAGAAGCAAAAGTGATGATGGAGCTGCTGAGGGTCCAAACTTGTATGATTCACAACACAAAGATCTCTGTCAGTCAGTCAGACAGACCAAAAAAAACCCCTCTGTTATTTTATTATTATTTATTTTTAACTTGAATTGGGAGGTGCTCATTTGTTTTTTTTTTTAATCCAACACTTATAAATCTGCATCTGATTCCTGATTACTTACTTGTTTATTACACATTGGATTAATAATTTGATTATTGGTCCCCCAATTTTGTTTTGCGATCGGCCAGCTGTGCAATGCATTTTGTTTTAACGATTCGTCAATCTAATTGTTATTCTAATCCAAAATTAAAATTTATTCTTTATTTTCTGGTTTTGGAAAATAAATTGATAGCGGTGTTTATCTTCTGGAAACTATTTAAATTTAATTATTGATATGACATTTGCATTTGTTTAATGAATGAAATAAAGAGAATGTCATCAAAACAAATAGGTGAGTTTTTTTCAAGTTGGGCAATTGCGATATTATGATCATTTTTATTTTATTTTATACTAAAACATGAATCAAATCTCAATTTTAGAACAATGGCCTAGCACCCGATACTGGAAGGAGACTAAGAACCTCACACATCTTAGGCCCGAAAGACCACACTCTCGATCAAACTCGACTGTGTTCCGCAACGATAATCATTATTATAACGATTTTAACCTAAAACCTTCTGTGTTCAAATCAACCTCTTTATTTCTATCTTTTTCTCTAATTTTTCGTTGCTTTTGTTTGCCCCCCTCAGAAGAATGTCTTTTGTAGTGAAGTGCAAAGGTCAAAGGTATGGCAGCTAGCTAGCTAGCTTGCTTCCTGACAAAACTTTCTGACACACATGTAAGAGATTAAGGATTAATAACAAGATGTTTTGTTCTCATTAGCATGACCAATAACATAAACATAATTGCCATCAGCCTAGAGAGAGAGAGGAAGCGGAAACAGAAACTGATTACTTAATTAATCTGCCAATTGGGTATATATGCAGATTAATGGGTGATTAATCTGAAATTGTATGTATTTTTTATTATGTAAAAAACTGTGATGGGAATTAATTACTTGAAAAAAAGCCTTACAGTAAAAAGAAGTTGGCCCTGGAGAATGCAATGGTTGTCAATTGGTCGTAGGTCATAGCTTGCAGGGTAACCCTTGGGAATAAATATGTCGCGACCCACTAAAGAGCACAGAACTGACCCTCTCTTTCTCTTTCTGTCACTCACACGACTACAAACCTGACTTGGGGCCAAGTTGACCATCGTCTCTGGCCATGACTCATGAATGACCTTAACTTTTGGGAGTACTACAATAATGAGTAGAGTAAGGCTGACCGACCAGGAACAAACAGTTAGCCCGAATATCTCGAATCGTCCTGGCCACTTGATTCAACCGAACCGATCGATTAGTTGAAATTGTTTGGTGAAACATGGTTATTCTTTTGGAATGTGGGTGGTGTGATATCCGAAATCATGGTGTACATTAGCGGTAGTTGATTGGGGGGGGTGGGGGGGTGGGGTTTGGGTTTATGAAACTTGAGTTGACCGAAATCTGACCCACTACATCTTTAATTATTAAGATTTAAGACACTAACATTTGATAGACACTATATATTATATTACAATGAATTTATTCATTGTATTTAGCCTAGACATTGTGATGGTGAATTCCAAAATCTAGATTTTCGAAGGTTTTGTTTGAAGGAGTTGTTGGGAGACCATATATGATTTTCCAAGTGAGTTGCTCTCGATTACGACGACTTCGTTCTTAATGAATTAGACCACGTAGCTGCGGGTGGAGTGATAAGTGACCAAAATTGACACTGTCATGTAGTGTTCGCACTGAGCCTGAGTATTTCCTCCATAACCCGAGCTGAATCGAGAGGATCGCTTTAAGGCCTTCGATTTGTATGGGATCTTGGTCAACCGAGTCCGAGTATAATTTGATTCTAAATAGGTGATTTAGGTACTCGAGAGCAACGAACGTTTGGTTCAACATTTGTTTGACCAACTTTGAGAAGAGTCTCTTTCCCGTATATATTGAGAAGGTAATAAGTATGCAAACTACTTAGCTAGTTGTGAACATTTATGCATTGGTAGAGTGTCATGATTTGGAAATGTTGGTTAGATATAGACAATTGAGTGATGCTAGAGTAAAGCGATTGTTCATTACATCCCAAGTAAAGAAGACAAATCTACACGTAGCAATGTTTATATATTCTTTTCTTCAATGCTACTGTTAGCCAATAACCTCAGGCTCTTTCATAAGAGAAAATGATTTCTGGTCCAATGAGCTTGTAAAGCCATGGAGGATGACAGACAACTAATGAGATATTCCTACCATTTCACTTCTTATGCAAGCGGGGCAGACTACTGATATGGACCCAAAATTCAGGCACCCTTAGGTTCTAATGATCCGTTGAGATTGCCCAATGCAGCCTCAGCAGCTCTACAATCTTTGCTTTCCAATCCATCTTTCCTACTTCCACAGGATTGGCCCAATCCTAGAAAGTTTCTACCTGGAGAACTGTTTGATGCCTGCTAGGCTGCATATCTATAGGCACAGTTCATTTTTGCTGGTTTATTATCAAGAGGCAAATGAGGAAAGAATATTTGCCACAACCTGAAACTGACCCATCTCTTGCTTGCCTATTTCTAGCAGGATCCCATCCTGTCCTGTCAAAACTTTCTGAGAACCTGAAACAGGGTTCTGTACAGTTCCCTTCCTGAATTCCAGGGTTTCTCAAATACTCCTGGAAAGGTTTTGAACCAAAATGATAGACTCAGAACAGTGGCACTACCAAAGTCATACAGATTCAAGACCTGAAGATTGCTTCAAACACAAGAATCTCAAGCAGTTGAAATTTGTATTGTATTGGGGTTGCATGTGAATCATGCAAAGATCTTGGGACCCAGGGCCATGTCTACCAACCTCACAAAACATGCACCTAAAATCACAACTCTTTATTTTGGAGAAGAGAACATGGGGGAAACCGGAAACATATAGGTCACCTACTGCAACAATATACATATCTTGGAGGAGATTCCTTTCTTCTGATTGTGGAGCAAAGCATTCCTCAAACTGAAAAGGACAAGAAACAAATGCATCAAGACAGGAGATATGAGTCCATACTTCTGGCACTAGTACAGGAGTTTATTTTTTTTCTTTGCTTGAGTGTATTTGAAGTTACAATGCTTTCATGTCTGAAAATGCCACTTACTAACTTTCCCTGCTATAGAAAATTGAAATTCAGTTCTTTGTAGTGGAAAGGAAACCAAGCAGATCATTCATTCCTGAGAACAGCTCATTCATTCCTCATCAAATAAAAGAATATTAAACAATTCATCATGTGATATAACACTAGGCAGAACTAAGGTAAATGTGAATCATACAGATTGATATGCTAAACAATCTGGAAATTATCGTAAATGTGAATCATAGACATGATCGACAGGTTACATAAGAGAGTAACAATTTGACCGAAGTGTAAAACTTGCACAAAAAATGCATTCCAATCCATCAGCAGTAATATTATTATTGATGTACACATAGTTGTACAGCCATTTGTATTTGCAAGATATGCAAAACACAATGGTAAGAATTGTGTTGATCATATTTCATTGTTTATCTTTTATAGAAAATGGAGCGCATGATGTAAATTATAGAGTTCACTAGGTCAAGATTTTATCCGCTTATAATATCTACAAGACATGACTGATCAAAACATCCAATCAGCAAATGCGGGTTAAATCATAGAGAAACCTCTGATTCTACTTAGTTTGTTGCTTTCCCTGGTAATTGAAAGATTCATAACTTTTGAGATTCTACATAAGATTGAACTATTCGGTAACCAAACTCATTTAGAAGTTGACTGCCATGAGAACAGGAAAGTAGAAACACAGGAAGAAAACGGGTCATAAGTATAGATTAGAATCTCCAGTCGAAACCATTGTTAAGAGTACAAAGCAGAAATAAGTGGGTAATATTATGTGGCAAGATTGATCTTCAGGGAATCTGTTTTAAGAACAATGGCCATAGGTCTAAAAGCCATATATCGTGTAGTTAAAAGCAGAGGTAAGGTTATATGTTAGTGATAGTGTCCAATCTGATGTCTTCAAGAACAGCAGATCTCAAAGATGTATGCTATATGGTTGAGAACACATTGTTTATTCAAGGAACTAAAATATTTCTAGGCAACATATGAATGAGTAAATACTTAAGGGTACCTTATCTTGGGTGTGCCACTTCAAGCAGCAACTTCAGCCACATTTTTCATGTTCTTTAGGTCGAAGATTTCGATCCAGTAGCCATCAGGGTCCTTGATAAATGCTAGCCCTTTCATTTTTCCTGGATTTGAAGAGACATAATTACATAATACAAAGTTGCAGGTATCGTCTCACCATAATGAAGGGAAAACAACAAAAACTAATTTGCATTCAGTTTCAAACCAAAGTGTCAGACATCATCAATCGTATAACTTAAGGTTCTACAGCATTCAAGACAAACACAAAGAAAGAAAGAAAGAAAGAAAGAAAGAAAGAAAGAAAGAAAGAAAGAAAGAAAGAAAGAAAGAAAGAAAGAAAGGAACAAACCATGCAAAGCTCAGGGAAGTCTTATCCTGTCAAAAGGGATCCTTAAGAAAGAAAGAAAGAAAGAAAGAAAGAAAGAAAGAAAAGAACAAACCATGCAAAGCTCAGGGAAGTCTTATCCTGTCAAAAGGGATCCTTACCGTCGTCTGGCTTTTTAACAAATTCAACCCCGAGGCGCTCAAACCTCTCACATGCCTTGTATGTATCATCAACAGTAATACCAATATGTCCTGACAAGAATAACATTGATATTGTTAGTTTTTTGAAACAGCTATGCAATGCAAATGATTGATTTTACTAACAAAACGTGGGCTCAGATTGCTAACATTACCAAAACCTCAAGATTCAAGAATGTCAATTTATCAAGATGAATCTACAACCTCACCTATACACATTTCTATACACATAACCCATCTAGAACCTACACAAATTACCCTTAGTTCATCCGATTTATGCTGATCCTAGTATCCGTCGACCTAATGGGCAATTGAAAACTCAGCCTCTGGAAGTTAGACATAGTTCTGACAAACCTCAATTCTAGTCTAATCATTAATCAGAACCACTTAACCAAAGACCCTCACTTCACCTTAAGACTAGATGCCTTCTACACGACCTGTACATGCTAGGTTTATGAAGTCAGAAAATATTCAAATGTCAATCGACACTTGCTCCTCAAAAACTATTCTCAAAACTACAAACATCTCTAGGATGCTAGGTATATGAAGTCAGAAATTTTTCAAATGTCATTAGACACTTGCTCCTCAAAAACTATTCTCAAACTACAAACATCTACAGGATCTAGGAAGCTATACACACAAACTCCATCATCTATATAACAAGCCACTTTCAGAAAGTCATTCTTCGGATACATGCATCAGCCAAAACAATAAGAGAAAAATGTGTATCCTTAATAGTAGTGTCTGATTCACAGATTATGCCGTTATCATATTATAGTATGGTATTGGAACTAGAGGTAAAGTAACCAAAGTGAACTCATTTACATACCAAACCCACGGGGATCGGAATTGCCATTGTGATATCCTTTGAATTCGGGATCACTTTCAGTTCCCCAATTACTGTCATAAAAGCAATAGCTTGTCAGAGATGATTCGGGTATGTGACCCAGAAGATACACAATCGGAAAGCTTGCAGGGAAAGCAGAGGAGGCCATGCATATGAGAGAACTCTTACTGTGTTAATTCAATAGTAGCCTTCTGAGAAAAAGCCCACACTGTTCTTTCTACATTATCACTTGGAGCAGATGCAGGATCCTAACAGAAAAGCCAAGTCCAAGGCAAACACTAAAATGAAATCCAACAAAATAGTGGACCATAAAAATGTCCCAGAACTAAGTAAACTGGTTCACTTTAAACATGAGCTTCCTAGTTACCTCATATCCCATGAAGTACAAGCTAAACTTCATCTCTGGAAAATCCAGCCTCTTCAGCAAACTGAAAATGCGGTGCCGAGAAAGTCAGCAAGTTTCCCCATCTAAAGAACCTAATAGCTATACACATCGTGGTCCACCAAAACCAAATCCCCAAGGATGCGAAAGGAATAAACAAGGAAGTTGGAGTCTCAATGCATGATATGAAGTTTCCAAGTTTCCATCTTTAAGCATGGGAAACTATGCAACACCCATCGAAAGCCTAAAGCTAAACGATTCAAGTTCAACGATCAACACACCAACAACCCAAAAAAAGAATGGTACTTACGTCATCCCCAGGACTCGAGAGTAGAAATCGAGACTGACTTTCGGGTCTTTAATTCGAAACATCTACAAAAACCATCACCAATCGTCACCCAATATTTTCCATAATCAAAGTTGGAAAAAAAACCCCTACAGGAGGAATTTGAATCAGAAGAGGGCAGATTGCCGGGGCTTACAGTTTGCTGCATGAAGTACCCTTTGGTGGCTTCATCAGGGGTAGTATGCAGACCAGGATTGCTAGCAGGGGAATCCTTCGATTCAGAGGCCGCCATTGAAGAAAACGATCTCAATCGGATCGGATTCTGCAACAACAACAACAAAAATCGATCAAGCACACAGACAGCAGAAGAAGTTAGTCGATAGCTTAATGGAAAATTAGATGATTATTGCCATTTGCGTGGATAAGTAGTTAGTACCTGAGCTTTGGGGAGGAGAAATGAAGGGTACGATGTAAATAACAAAGGTACAGAAGAGCGTGCGCAGAGACGAGAGAGTGAAAGCCGAGATAAAGCTGTGGTGAAGGACGAAGCAGCCGCCATTGATGACAGACGATGATTTACATATAGTGTAACTGTGATACCGGGATAACAGTCTTGTCATTTCAAATGGGCTTTAAGCCTTTAGCTGCGGCCTTCATTGTTTGGTTCGGCCCGCTCAGACTAAGCCTGCTTCCGTGTTCAACTGTTATATGTGATCATCAAAGTTGATGCAGTCGAGGAAGAGAGGATCTTGTGATCAAGATGGAATCAAGGCAGAATATTGGACCCACGACAAGGAAACAGATACTAGCTAGCTAGAATCTTGGAGTCACCCACACATCCAGCAACAGCAATGGATTTTAGTAAACTTGGGCGAAACTACTAGCTAAAACAGAGGAAACTGGGAGGCAAATACAACAATGGCGGAATCGAACTTATCTGTTTTTGTCTCCGACAATTGTTGGAATCTGGACTTTGGAAGCGGATGGTGGCAAGGATCATGGGCATACTTAGTTACAACCAGGAAAAAACAATGGCCAAAGCTAGAATAATTGAATATTGGGAGCAAATAAAATGAGGGAGAGAAGAGGCATTAGTACATTTGTATCAAAGAAGTACAGTAACAAAATTGTGTAATATGAGTATTGTATATGCCAATTTTATCATCGATATAACATTTTATTAGCCGATACAATCTAACGGTTTTAATTTATTACTATAGGAAATTAAAGATTGTTAATATGACCCAACCAGTTAAGTGTGGTTACGATGCATGTGGGGTTTGAAAAATATTTATGAAGAAATCTATTTTTTTGCACTTATAAGGTCGTTCGCACATATTCCAGATACAATATCGTATTGGTGCTAATTGAGCCTACATAAAGAAATTTCCACACTCTAGGTAGTCAATTTTAAAGTTGAAAAACATGGAAAGTTTGGTGTATACTCTAATGAGATTGAAACAAACACACGGGCAATTAACAATGATAAGAAAGCAAAGATCTTTCAATTAAAACCATGACCCAATAAACAAGATTCCCTTAAAATAGGATCACAATTTCTGAAATTAAGAACATCTCTTCCTTGTTTCTTCCCTTTGTATGGTATTGCATTTCAAGTCAAACAAACAAAATATGGACATAAAATTTCCTAGTTATGATGTGATTTACAAAGATAATTATTGAGGGTAACTACCATTTTTTATTCTACTTTAGTGAAAGAACCAAATGAGAGTTACAAAATTCAGAATCCTTACTCCTCAAAGATTACATATTCGATGACATATATTAACTTAGTCGGACTTAATGATGACTCTATATTTGTTAGAGCAGGGATGTCAATTGGTCGGAGTGGGGGGCAAATAGTGACTAACCATTACTCCATAATGATTAGTTCGGGTTTTTGTTCATACTCATATCCATGTAAGATTCTGATAGAAAAATAAACCATACTCATGCCCGATCATGTTTCAGGTATTCATGGATAATATTTTCCTTTATCTTCTCAACTATTTTGTTACTAACATTATAGAAGTGAACGACATAAATAAATATCACCAATACTAATATAAATAGGAAAGGAACACAATTTAACGAGATGTACAAATATAATAGGAATAACAGAATATCTAAAATGACGAATGGTGATTCATACAAACAAAACGGTTATATGCATGTATAATCGAGGCGGATCAAGTTTGATAGCAAGAAAATCATATCTATCTATTATCCGTAATATTATTGTGTTCGAATTTACTCATGCCACCAGGCACCAGGTACTTTATTTTGATGATATTTATTCTATTTATTCTAATTGAATTCGGGCGAATATTATTTTTGTCATCCTTAATTAGAGCAATTTAGGTACGTAACCCTCTGCCTAACCTCATAAATATCACATCACCCCTAAATAAAACGAGTTTAGGAAGATTATATATAATTTGGTTATTCACATAATCTTTTCGCTATTTGCTAATTAATTATTTGCATCCTTTTTATTGCTTATTTTGGATCCTTTTGCAAAAAAAAATTCAACAATTTTGCAGTTGCTTTACATAAAAAGCCAAAATCGTCCCACTGACTTGACTACTCCCTCCAATCTCCATTCACCCCATCCTCCTCGACCTCGATAGTATAAATCATAACTACACTATCCCCATTTTTCCCGTCCACCACCGTCACCGTCATCGTCACCGCCTTCTTCGAAAACATGGAGAAATCCGGCTACGGACGGGACGGCATTTACAGATCACTCCGGCCGACACTCGTCCTTCCCAAAGACCCAAACCTCTCCTTGGTCGAATTCCTCTTCAGAAGCTTCAATTCGCACTCCCACAAGCCGGCCCTCCACGACGCCGATTCCTCCCTCTCCCTCACCTTCTCCGACCTCAAATCGGCCGTTTCCAAGTTCGCCAACGGGCTCCGCCATCTGGGTATCTCCAGAAACGACGTCGTCCTCATCTTCGCCCCCAATTCGTACCAGTTCCCGATTTGCTTCCTCGCCGTCGCTTCCTTCGGCGCCATTGCAACTACAGCGAACCCTCTCTACACCACCGCCGAGCTCGGGAAGCAGATCAAGGATTCCAATCCCAAGCTCATCATCACCGTCCCCGAGCTGTGGGAGAAAGTCAAGGGGTTTGACTTGCCGGCCGTGTTTCTGGGGCCGCCGGAGCAGCAAAGTCCCCCGGCCGGGGTCAGAAGCTTCCATCAGGTGGTGGAGCTCGTGGGGTCGGCGGATTTTCCGGCGAACAGGGTGAAGCAGAGCGACACGGCGGCGCTTTTATATTCGTCGGGGACGACTGGGGTCAGCAAAGGTGTGGTTTTGACTCACCGGAATTTCATCGCGGCGGCGACGATGATCACCATGGATCAGGAAACGGCAGGGGAATCGGACAACGTTTTCCTCTGTTTCTTGCCGATGTTCCATGTGTTTGGACTGGCTGTCATCACTTACTCGCAGCTGCAGCGAGGGAATTCGGTGGTGGCGATGGGGAAATTCGATTTCGAGATGGTTCTGAAGGCTGTGGAGAGGTACAGGGTCACCCACATGTGGGTTGTCCCGCCGGTGATACTTGCTCTGGCGAAACAGAGCTTGGTGAAGAAGTACGACTTGTCGTCGTTGAAGGAGATTGGCTCCGGAGCAGCTCCTCTTGGGAAAGATCTGATGATGGAATGCTCCAGGAATCTCCCCAACGTTGCAATTCTTCAGGTTAGCTATCTTTCAATCATTACAATCTTTCTAGCAATCAGAATTTTGAATGTAGTTCTAGATACCTCAATATTGATTGTGGGACTTTTGATGGGACAGGGATATGGAATGACAGAAACTTGTGGGATTGTTTCGGTGGAGAATCGAAGGGTAGGGCCTAAGCATTCTGGTTCAGCTGGTACACTAGTTGCAGGAGTTGAGGGCCAAATTGTTAGTGTGGATACTCAGATGCCTCTTCCACCAACTCAGCTTGGAGAAATTTGGGTTCGAGGGCCGAATATGATGCAAGGTACGCCTCTGATACCATGTCAAAACCCGATTCATCCACAATAAGCATTCATTTGCAGAAACTTGAGTGGCATTGTTGATCCATGGAAAGTGAGGGTTTCTTCTTTTTTCTGACTCAAAGTACTTCAACCCAAATGGCAGGTTATTTCAACAATCCACAGGCTACAAAGCAGACTATAGATAAGCAGGGTTGGGTACATACTGGAGATCTCGGGTACTTCGACGATAATGGACACCTATATGTTGTGGACAGGATCAAAGAACTTATCAAATACAAAGGCTTTCAGGTGAAGCTTGTTTGCAAAAAGGGAAATATGGTTCTGTAATTTGCAGGCCACTCTATCAATTGTTTCAAATGGTTGATTCTTATCATTCTCAACAGGTTGCTCCAGCTGAGCTAGAAGGGCTGCTAGTTTCTCACCCCGAGATACTAGACGCTGTTGTCATCCCGTGAGTATTCACTGTAATTTCTAGGGATTGGCTACATTATACATACTCTTTCTGTCATCAAAATCCCTACAAGCTGACATACTGTGGTTTCCAACCATGTAGTTTTCCTGATGCTGAAGCTGGTGAAGTCCCCGTTGCCTACGTGGTTCGCTCCCTCAACAGCTCGCTGACCGAAGTAGATGTTCAGAAATTCATTGCCGATCAAGTGAGCTAATTACCGACCTTAAACTTACCAACCAGATGAAAACATAAGCTGACTTGACACTGAAAGTTCACAGCTTTTCCCTCCTTGCTTACTTGGGTTCCTGGGATTGATGTTGCTGCAGGTTGCATCTTTCAAAAGACTGAGGAGGGTGACCTTCATTAACACTGTCCCTAAATCAGCTTCAGGGAAGATCCTCAGAAGAGAACTCATCGAGAAAGTAAGGTCCAAAATATGAGAGCTAGGCTCAAGCCTCAATGTATACCAACTGTGTTCACTGTAAATTCCAGGAGAAGTGAAGTAGCAAATGGAAGTTCAGAAGGCAGAGTAACATTTCACCATTGGTGTAGTTGGTGGGGATACTTTAATAGAGGCGGGGAAGGGAAATAAAATTAGATTAATCTGTTGTTTACACATGATAATAAACAGGAGGTGTTGGTTTTGATTCTGTCCATGATCTGTGCCTGCCCACCTAACTCTTAATAATTTAATTTAGGGTTTGGTAGGTCAATGGGACATTCGACTGTGTCTGTGTGTGTGTTTTATGTGCAAATCCAGATTTGTATGGAAATTGTTTATTGTTTGACGCCAGGAAAAGTAACAGTCTGTTCCTCAAACATTCACTAACTACATTACATTCAAAAATAATTATTGGGACTTGAATGGCATAATTCTAAACGTTCACCATTTGCTAAAAAGACAAAGAGGGGAGCTGATATTGATCCATCGGTCGGCTTGCCATTTGACTAATGCATTTGTAATCCTAGGTACGATTCACGAATGATATAATATTTACATTGTAGTTTTTTAATATATGAATTGATTTTCGAAATTGTATCAAAATTTTTAGTTGATAGTTGAGAGGCATTTGTGTTTATTGTTTAAATCTTCGTGATTTTCTATATTTGTAGCACATGATGGTAGTTGTTGGGGGAATGAGTATGGGTCGGAGGTCGACCCAAAAGGGAAGGCCTAGAGAAGATTGTTGGAGAGGCACAGACGTGGGCCATGCAGGGCCCAACCGGAGAAACACAAAGAAGCCCACGGGGACAAGAGCCTTGGGCCGGAAGGCGCGTGGTGAAGGGCCCAAATGGCCAGGGTGGCGCGTGAGACAGGTGGGACCAGACACCTGGCAAGAGGCGCATAGGACAAAAGACACCCAACGGTCGGAAGTGTACGAAAAGCTGGCCACATGATGTCATGCGCCTCAAACCCCTGACTAAAGTGTCAGGTGGTCGAGGCGCATGCGCGAGGGTTGTACGGCGCATTTATGGCGGGCCTGACACAAGGCGAGAGCGACGGATACCGGTCGATCTTGCCCCGAGTATAAATAGTGAAGTAGGAAAACCTCATTTACTTAGTTTTTGCTTCTCTTACTAGAACTGTTCTCTACTTCTCTCTCTAAAAAGAAAGGTTCTCACTTGGACGTCGGAGTGCTAACGGAGCTACCCGGTCCGCAAGGCGCTTGTGCGTGCAGGCAAGCACGCGACAGGAAGCGTAGTAGAGATCGAGGCGCGGAGCGGAAGGAAGGAGACTTCGGGGCATAAACAGTAGTTATTGCCAAACTTCAACTTAATGAGCTCATTTTTCGTTTTTTTTTTGGATTCGTGTAAGCAGTATAAGATTCATCATTTAACATTTCAAATTGTTAAGATTGACTAGTTTTCGATAACGCTAAATCTGGAATCGTTATGCATCAATTAGCGTTAGCTATGAAAGAGAATGGACTTTGCTATAAACATAAATGAAAAAGGTATCTATTAGTAAGTAGTAACCTAATTTTGAACCCCGGTTTACGAGTACACTATTGTTATCGATGCTATTAGATGTTCAATGATGATTGATTTATATTTTTCATGCATATCATGAAAAAAATAGAACTACGAACTATCTCTCGATGCACCAATCTTATCTATCCCTTGAATTGTCGAAACTTATAAACTCATATGTGGCCCTTAAACAATTCCTCAATTAGAGAAAGATGAGGATTAGGAAGGGCCCCAGAGTGGACAAATCAGCCTCGCAAGATTATGGTCCAAAGTCATTTCGCATTTATTTTTTGGTGGAACAAAAGTCTTATGAAATTGATGGGAACATCTCATCTAAAACCTCATTCATTTTTTGGTTTGTTACGTTCTTGTGTGTATTCTAACTGTACAAGGGTCAACTCAAAGCTTCCCACGCTAACTTAGCTAACCAATATTAATGGCCAATTTTTCTATGTTGGAACTTGAAGAAGTACATCAATTTTAATTTAGGTATTCCTTTCATGTCTCATAAGAATATTTTAAAATGAAGCATCACTATAACAATATTTTATGAGGTCCCTCGTATCCTCTCTTTTTTCTTTGTTTACTTTGGAGTTGATACATGTTAGGTTGGTAGTCCCATTCCTTATACCACAAAAATATCTTAAGCAGATCTGCATCGCATGTATTATTTTTCTCTTATTTTTTTTAGAGTTGATATATGTTTCGTTTGTAAGTTCTTTACTGAAATCATAAAAATATCTTAAGAGGATCTCTCTTTAATTTCTTCAAAGTTAATACATATTAATTTTGAAGCTCATGTTTTTAATGATAGACATTCATCAATTAACTTCCTAGATCATACGAGGAAACATATTGTTTTTTTATTAAAAGTTAGCTTGGTAGTTGGTACATTACTGTATATGATCATATTAAGATGCTAAAATCACTTGTTTAGTTAGTCGTGTCATCATTTGTTACTTTAATCTATGTTATTTAAGATTAACAATGTCAAACATAAACACACACACATATAGAACTGTTATATAAAAAACACAGAGATCAGATACATGTAGCTAGCTAGCTAGCTGGTCAGTGGTCAGAAGTTAGAACCCCTATTGTTAATCATCAGTTGTCTAGCAAACTGGCCACAAATTTGCAAGTGGATAATGGTTTGAGAAGGCAAAGTGGAAGTTCACTTCAATCTTACTGCCTCCCCAAACAAGTACAGATCCAAATCCATTCTCTGAGTACCCTTTTAATCCCACCACCACCAGCTGCTTCCTTCCTTCAAACAAGCTTCATCATGCCACCAAACTGAATACAATCACACCATCAACTGTTCGTTTGGTTAGCAACATAGATGAAACAAAGAAACTGAAGCAGAAGTGAAAAAGTATGAAGTAATTAGGCAGGGAAGGCAGCAGAATGATGGAATCGAATATCCAGGCTCCAAGAGGCCAAAATGGCATTCACCTGCACTTGCACCAGCACCTTGCTCTCTCGAGATCTCACAAGTAAAGTGGAAGGGATGAAATCACAAGTAAGGTGCAGGTGCAAATGCAGGCAAAGGCAACATATTGGCAGAGCTGATGAACTCCATTGCAAGCTGTCAAATGAGCATTTTTGTGGTGGTGGTGGTGGGTGATCTCTGCAAACTGAAGAAGTAGAAGTGGTGTAATTTATAGGCTAAATCCTTCAAGAGAGATATGTGAGAGATAATGGTGTGGTGGGGAAGGAAAAATTCAAGTCACGACGAGGAAGACTAAAGAGAGCCAGACTCTGGATATTTATTAGTGGAAGATAGATAGATAGAGAGTGATAGAGAGAGTAAAAAGAAAAAAAAAACAGAGGAGAAGAAGATGGACGAATTTCTCCTTTTAAGTATTAAAAAAAATATTCTCCTTTTCTATGGCTTTCCAGATATGAAAAGGGTCAAACTAAATAGGATATATTTAGTGATGGGATGGGATCAGATAAGGATTTTTACTGGATTTGACAAGCAATACCATGAAGTCGACCTCCAGACATGAAAAAATAAATTTCAGGATTGTTATAAGGAATACGGTAGTGATTCAACGGTATTTCTCATTCACGAACAATTTGGTGGAGACTATATATATGTATAAACATTTCCCACCTAGTACTAATAACATTTCATCCAATCTCCATCCATTATCACCAATATTAACATTTAATTCGATTTTCTTACCTTGATATCGTTCCAATCCGATAAATTATCATCACATCCATCAAACCACAACAAATGCTTTGCGGCCAATCCAACGACAGATATTCACGTAATTAGTAGCGTGCTAATAGCATAATAGCCAGGTTGGTATCGACCATGGTTGTCAAACTGGTTTCATGTCGGCCGGTTCAACCGGGTTCAACGGAAATTACGGCCGGTTAGACCAGAAACCAAAATTTAATGTTACACACATTATATCCAAAAATAAACATCCTCCATAGGATTTGAACCAAGTACCTCATATTGATTTTAGTTTAACTTACTCACCAGTAGGCTACAAGCAATTCTGCTGTCTATATTAACCTTATATTTTATTAACACCGGCACAACATACATGAATGCTGATTGTACCACAGTCGGACCATTCCACTTATAAAACCGGTACACCGACATAAACCGGTTTTGACAACCTTGGTATCGACCTACCTTCTTCATTATTCGTTTGTACTGTTCTCTTTTTGTTCTAGGGAGGGTACAAGTCCCACGTGAGGGAAACGGTCCAAATCACGTGGGAATTGATGTCCCAACTAATGACGGAGCGACAAGTGGCGGAACCCAGTGGCAGCAGCGCGTGTGACCCCGCCTCCTCTGCGACACAGCCACAGCCAGAGGCCCGCTTGACCAGTAAGTCCTAAATAGAGACAACTCAACTGCTACTGGGCCCCCACACCATTTACCCCGGATTGGTAGGCCCACCTGCTTTAAGGAGATGGGCTTTAATAAAAAGGTTCCCACTTTTATTTTCTTCTCTTTTTTTATTTGGATATAATTGTGAGTGAAATTTTGTTTCAATTTTATCTTATTAAAAATCATTACTACGATATTTACCTTGTCTTTAAACATCAAAAAAAATATTTACCAAACTAGACACATATTCCATCTCGTTGTCACTTTCCATTTATGAAACTTCAAAGTTATTTCGCCAAAATTCAATTGTATTACATTAATTAAGCGAGGAGTTGCACTTAGGGGTGAACAAATACACTCGCAAACCGATCCACCTGTCCAACCCGACCCAACCCACCCGTATTTATCGCTATAACTAAGGTTTTGGGTTGGGTGAGGGTTTTCTTTTATACAACCAGCCTCTTTTGGGTTGGGTTTGAATTTTGGATTACACAACCCGTAGCACCCGACCCAATCCGTATTCCAACTATTGATATGAGTTTGTATCCAAAAAATATTTATGTCGTATATAGTAATAGTTATGAGAAAATTAAGATATTTCGCCCGGATCACCCGACCCATGTACACCCCTAGTTGCACTCCCAATGATTTCAAGAGGAGTGCTAGAATAGTAATCAAACAACATCGAGTTTAGCGGGTTGATTATGTGACATGTTACGGTGATTATTATTACTAAAGGCAAATTGGGTATGACAAAAAAATTATTAATTATTTTTTTTAATAAAGTATATTTTAGGAAATTAAAAAATTATATTAACTATAATTTTCTCTCTTTTTCTCTCATTTCCACAATCTTCGGCCATATGCTTCTTCCTTCTTTTTCTCAATCTTTCCATTGATTTCGTTATGTCGAACTAATACCGCTGCAACAATAAAACAATACCAATCCATTACAAAACACTATCGTTGCACAAAATAACAGTACCATTCGAGAAATAAAAATACTACCATTTCACAAAAACACCAATACCAATGCGACAAAAATAATACCAATGCGATAAAAACAATACCATTGCGACAAAATCAATATCATTGCGACTAATGCGACAAAATCATTACCAAAACAAAAAAAAAATATACCAATCCCCAAATATACATACCAATCCCCAACCGGAACAAGCAGGCGTGCGGAAGGTTGGCCGGAGCAAATTTAGAGAGAGGGGATCATGATGGTTGGAGAGAGAGGGAGGGGAAGGTAAGGCGAAGAAAGGGAGTGGGGGAGGGAAGAGGAACCAATTGGGGAGCCAAGCTTAAGACCTTTATCGGTAGGGAGAGGGAGGGATCAGGGACACGGAGATAGAAAGGAAGAAGCAGCTAGGTGGAGGCAGGAGGAGGGTCTGGGAGGACGAGAATAAGAAGGGCGAGGTACGGCGAGAGAATTGTAGATGCTCTGTTTGTTGTCGGCGGTGGAGGGGAGTGCTTCGCTGGAGTCGGCGGTGAGTGCTGAGGTGGTGGATGGAATGACGATGGGTGCTTGCGGGCTGCAACAGATTTGGTTGGAGGAAAGGGACGATAGTAGTAGGGTTTTGGTTGAATATATAAAATAATATGGTGTGATTATATTTTTGCTTTCAAAATCACCCTGAGACAATCTTAATCGTGAGATTAAAAATAAAAAATAAAAATGGATGACAAATATTAATGTAGTCACGGTGGCTACTAAAATTTTGGTAGCCACCCTAACGCATTCCTGAGGAATAGTCTCATGAACCTTTAGAAGACGTTTAAAACGAAGAAGTTACAAACTTCACCAAAAAAATGGGGCTGAAAAGTGAAAACCCCAAACGATGGTAAACTTACTAGGCTGATTGTTTGTGTGGGCATATAAGTAAACTGAGCAAAATGGAAAGGTGGGCTGAAAATGATCCATATAGAAATGATAGAAAAAGTTGGGCCGATTTTGTAAGGCTATGGGACACGGTGTTAGTTTTGGAAAATGGAAACAAGAACTGGGCCTTTCGGTTTTTTCTCGTGGGTAAGGAGTCGGAAAGGGAACTAACTTAGGGCCGGAAAATTTCATGGAATTATGCTGTGGCTCATTTATATATGATGGCGCCACCCGGTTGAGCGGGCCTCAGGCCCATTCTGGATGAGCTGGGCTCCCGTCCATTCGCCCTACATCATTTTTTTATTTCCCATTTCAAAGTCGACACAATAGAGGCCAGAAAATTTTGCTTAGAAACAATTTTGAAAAAATGAGAAAGTGGGTTCTAAGTTCTAACATCCAGGGTGGCCATGGCCCAGGCCCATTTGCTCCAATGAATCACAAATTTGAAAAATGGTTTGGGGGAAAGAGGACAAAACATAAGAGCTCGAGAGAGTACGAGCAATGTACATAATTCCAAAAATCTGAAAAAATGGTTCTATTCTACCCATCTCATATTATATTCTTCATCTCTCATTATTAATAGCTCAAAAAGATTCGGCCACTTTGTCATTTGGCTCCACATAAAGCCAAAATCCTCCACTTTAACAATTCAAACTCGATATATTTGAATCAATCAATTTTTGACATAGCGTACACAAAATATAACGAGTCTATGTAAATTTCGATATTACTGTGAATTGATCTCCATTAGAACAAAGACGGTTAGAAGTGATGTGAGATTTATAACTGAAATTCTATCAACATATTTTTTTTTTTTTATACGAATCAACATATTATTAACACTTAACTATCTTGCAATTGTGTTATGTTTTGACCCTAATAAATGTGGATTGTACCAAGTTAAGTTACTAGGTACCTTCCGGACGGACACTATTAGGAAAAAGATAAGGACACTTTCTGGACACCCTTTCTTGCACCTAAAAGGCCACCCACGACGGAAACTTTTATGCACATTGCCATGAAATTACATCGATATTTCTGGTTTCTGGAATCCTTTTCCTCCATATCCACACGTTTCTTTCTTCTCAAAAAATTATTTCTGATTCAATTATTAAGTCAAATTAAAATAGTACCCATTTGTGAATATCCACCTGTAATCAACCACTAATGACAAGAATAAAACGAATCGCATAACCGCAATTTCTGCCAAAGAGAAGAAGACCGTCAAAGGACACAATAAATAAGATGTAGAAGCAGAAGAAAAATGCATTAATTCCTCTGTCAGTCCAAAAAAGAAAGAACGAAATTTTGCATTTAATTCCCAGACCGATAAACCACCAGACCATCATCATCATCATGGTGATGAATGGCCATGAATGATGGTGTGTTGCATCCCCACAGTTACTACCGTGCAACCGCCTTCACTGTCCCACTTCTCTTTCTCCTTCTCCTTCCTTCCCGGCCCCTCTTTCTCTCCGGGTATTTAAATACCCATCACTACCTTAGCACAGCAACTTCTCCGATTCATTCATCCCCATTACTAACCGCCTCCCAGAGAAAATCAGAACTGCTCATTCCTTTTTTTTCTTTCCCTGTCTCGTTTTGCCTCCCTCGCGTCGAAGCAATGGGCAAGGTGAAATTCCCCGTTTCTTTCGTTTCCCCCACTCTGTTTATGGCGGTGATTTTACAGTGTTCTGATTTGTGTTTGGGTTTCTCTGCAGAAGAAGAACAACAACAATGGGGGTGGCGGAAACAATAACCATAACCAGAACCAGAATCCGAACAACGGAGGCGGCGGCGGAGAGGGGAAGCAGCATCACGAGGAGAAGAAAGGCGGCGGCGGTGGAGGGGATGGTGGCGGCGAGAAGAAGAAGCAGGAGAAGAACCCGCTGGTGGTTATTCTCAAGGTCGAGATGCATTGCGAAGGTTGTGCATCGAAGCTTATTCGCCTGACTCGCGGATTAGACGGTAACTGCTATCTCTCTGCTTCTTCTCCCTCTTCCGTCATTTGCATGCCGGGTATTTTTGTGAGAACCGTTTGATAACGAACCGATTCGCCCATAACCGATTGGAAATCCGTTCTATTCTGATTTCTCGTCGAATTGATCTGGGTTACTGAAACTGTTTCGTGACTCCATTTTTGGAAAATTGGATTTGGGCGGAAGGAGATTTGCTTCCCTGTTTTGTTCTATTTTCCATTCTGTTTTTTTTTTGTCACTGTTACTGGTACTCTTCCTCTCTGATTTTCTCTGCTAATTCCATTGTCGTGACCTTCTCAGGCGTGGAGTCGGTGAAAGCAGATGTGGGTACCAACAAGCTGACGGTGATGGGCATTGTGGACCCGGTGCAGATTCGCGACAAGCTCCATGAGAAGACGAAGAAGAAAGTCGAGCTGATCTCCCCACAGCCGAAGAAAGACGATGGACCCAAAAAGAACGACAACGGCGGCAACAACAACAACAACAATGGCAAGAAGGACGAGAAGAATCCCAACGAGCAGAAACCAAAGGGCGGTGAGGAGAAGAAACCCAAAGAGGTAAACGGCGCATTTTAGCCCCCCCTCCCGTCGCTTCCTTCCAAAAACTGGGCGCATTTTTGCATGCTCTGTCTCAGTGTTCTTTCAAATCAAACCCTCCTCTATGGCCCTAGTATCGCGTCATTTGCCCTTTCTTCGATTCGATGAATCAATCGAGGAAAAATGAATTCATCGATTCGCTCAATAGCTTAGATTTAACTCCAAATTGGATTTTAAGTAATTAATTTGTTTGAATATGGGGGTGCGGTGGTAACGTAACAAGCAGGCTCCGGTGACCACGGCGGTGCTCAAGCTGGCATTCCACTGTCAGGGATGCATCGAGAAGATCAAGAAGATTGTCTCCAAGACCAAAGGTAGTAGTACACCATTATCCGTCACCGTTTCATCCAGAAACGTCACAGTTTTAAGAGATTCTTCCTAACGTAACGGCGTTTGTATCTTGTTTCATCCACAGGAGTGCACGAGCTGGTGGCCATGGACAAGCAGAAGGAGACGGTGACCGTGAAAGGGACGATGAACGTGAAGGAGCTGGTCGACGCCCTGAAGGAGAGACTGAAGCGGTCGGTGGAAATCGTTCCGCCACCTAAGAAAGAGAAAGAAGGCGGCGGCGGCGGGAATGATGGGAATGGCGGCGGCGAGAAGGAAGGACAGAACAACAACAACAACGGCGGGGGCGGTGGTAAGAAGAAGAAAGGCGGCGGCGGCGGCGGTGGAGGAGGTGAGAATGGAGAAGGCGGGCAAGGGCAGGAGTATGGAGTAGGGGAAGTTTCGAGAATGGAGTTCATGGTCCATCCCGGGTACGCTCCAGGTCCGCCCGGTTTCGCTCCGACCGGGTTCGGGCCGGTGGGTCAGCCCGTTTACGGGGTTCAGCAGCAGGCAGGGAACGGGTACGTGGGGCAGCCGGTGTATCCTGGTTACGGGCAGGAGTACGGGTACGGGTACGGGTATGGGCAGGTCCCCGGGTACCCGGTTCATATGAAGTTCAACGATGAGAATCCGAATGCCTGCTCCGTTATGTAGAGTGGTGGGACCCGTACGGACTTTTGCCAGGAGGTGGGGACAGACCAACAGAAGCAGGAGTATGCAGTAGAGAGAGAAGCAAAATGTAAATAAGAAAAAGGATGCAGAAAGGGAAGTATGAGTGGCTTTTGGGTGGATCAGAAAAATTTTGGGTACTACTTTAGTATGGTTGGTGAATTATGGGGAGGAGGAGGAACATACTAGTTAGTTTTTTTAGTCTTTAATCGGTGAAGAATTTGGTCTTGGTTTTTGTTGGGTAATTTTGGTTTCTGGATAGTTTATGGTTTTTTTTGGTTAACATTTTCGCGACTATACATATGTTTGTTTAGTGACTCTCTTCCACGCTAGCAGCTTATTCGTATTTGTCATAACATAATGTGATCATCATAGAGTGGACCAACCTGGTTTGTGAGAGATCGGTTATTGTTAGTTGGAAATAAAACCACCACTACTCCACTAGATATGAATTGTGGGTACAACCAAATCAAAACTCAAATTAGGAAGAGGTTGGTCGCCCAATTGAGCAATAAAATAGAATTGGAGGAATTTAATCGAAAAAAATTGGGTCCTACTCTTTTCTTTCCAATTAATTGATGTGGAGAGAATCAGAATCGGACCTGGAAAAAGCCATAACCTGCTGCTGCGGGTGACACATAAGAGAAAGACAGAATTTCAGGGTAGAGAGAAGAAGGGCAGAAAGCACAATAGGGGAACCAAATGTTTGGCGGGTAGCCATTAGAGAAGGAAGGCAAAGAATTTCATTGCCAATTCTTCCTGTGATCCTTGCTGCTGGCCTCCCCAGAAAGCTGCAGCTAGCGTACCAGCTGGCTTCCAAGCAAGCAGAGGCAGAGATGGAGAGGAAGCCGATCCGATCAGTACATATTTTTGTTTGTTAGGGATGGTGATTTGGTAATTTAGCAGGAAGGAAAGGAAGGAGGGAGAGGGGGGGAATTAATAAATGAGCATAGCTGGCAATGCTGTACTTTCTTTCTTTCCCTCTATGGGCTGTACAGTAAGCTGTTGATAGTTTCCTCTTCCCATAGGGAGTGGCAGGCCTAATTAAATAGATTGTCTTCCTTTTCATTTCCTTTCCTCTGGAGCATTTCCGTTTTGTTTTTTTGGGTAATATGATTTTGCAGTGTTCATTCAACATTCGTAAACCCGAAATCCATGATTTCGAATTAGATCGAAGGACCAGAATTTGGCTTCACGAGCTTAATTAATATTTGTTGACGGGAGAGAGCAAAATCAAATGATGCGGATTTGGGAAAATCCATCCATATTATGGTGGGGAAATGGGATTCCCACTACCGTCCATGATTACTTCTACTGCAAGTAGTTGGGCAGTAAGGAAGGAAGAAGGAAGAATAAGGAAGAAGAAGTGGTAGAGGCGTGTCTTTGTGTGAGAGACGGTAATCTTGTGCACACGTGCATGGCCACGATGTTAATCCATCATTATTATTATCCGCCTGGGCCTGCCTGGCTTCACAAATCCAATCAACATTTATAATTCCTAATTAATTAATAACGCCCACAAAAAAAAAAGAAGCTTACGACGTGCAAAATCTCATCGTCGTCTCATTTCTGTTCATGTCAGGGAAAGCTAAATCGTTATCAATTACTCTACTTCTAATCATATGCAGAGGTTGAGGTGAGAACTATAGTCCCACTCTACAACGCAGCTTCGTCGCACTGAGCATTAAATTTTTTCACTAGCTAGGTTGCAAATTTGATCGTTTTCTAATCTGGTTGTACGAGTAGGTGCTGTAATTTCGCATTTGTGGAATAAAATTGCTCATCATGAATAAATAAAAAAAAAATCATTAATTTGTACAAATTGGGTTGGATGTTGCTAATATATCAGATGAAGATGAACTTCATTTTTGGTAGTGCACTAGTGTCAGCATTGAAATATTAATGATTAGCTCTTGGTTAATTTTAGGCTTTTGGAACTCTTGCAGAGTTCATATCCCCTTTCATCTCTATGTTGCCCCGGATGAGGAAGATTGGGACGATGTGACTAATTATAGTGTGTCGGTCTCGGTCACCTTAATTAATATACATTACACGAGTTAATGACAGAAATATTGTTTTTTTTTTAATTTACCACGAATATGGCCAATTAAAAACTATTGACAAAGATATTGTGTTTTAGAGATAAGAATCGGCGGGTACACCTGAGACTCAAGCGCTGCCGCTTAAGACTTGGTTTTTGGACCGTTTTATTAGACTCAGGCGGTGGCGCCCGAGACTCAGGCGGCGGCGCCCGAGACTGAAGCGAGTAGGTGGGAAATCAAGACTCCGGCGGTGGCGCCCGAGACTGAGGCGAGTAGGTGGATTGGCCACCCACCCTATAAAACCCAGACAGACTTTTCGTTTCAGATTCACACCACAAAAAAAATCGTCCAAAATAGAGGAGAGAGCTCTGGTTGCTGCTGCAAAAATGGCTAATAGGTAAGAGACACATTTATTTTTGTAATTATATTATTCAAATGCTATTATGATTGTGTTTAGTTTTTAATTAGTGAGTTTGTTTTTTTGTAGTGATTTTAGAAGATTTGAACTAGTTGTTCGGTGGAAATCGGAGAAAGTAGAGGATAATTTGGGCGTCAAATTCGTTGGTGGTAGTAGTTTTCAGTTGACGGTTCCATCCAGAGTCACATATCACAAACTTTGTGAGACTCTAATTCCGAGAATACGGCGCAGAGACGAAGCAGTAAAAGATAGTGATGTGATCACAGGTTTCACTTACTGTCTTCCAGAATGGCAGAATGATGTTTATTTCATTATGCGTTACCTATTGTGGATGATGATAGCTTGGATGTGCTTTGGAATTTTATGGCACAAAATCCTTATTGATTGGGTGCTGAGATACATGTTGAGCTCAGTGATGATCAGGGTGGAGAGGAAAAAGATGATACATGGAGCGTGCCATCCGATCATGACTATGATCACGGTGATGACGGAGAGGAGGAAGATGAGGAGGAGGAGGAGGAGGAAGAAGGAGAGCAGCTTAATTATCCTCCATATTTTTACTTGCAGGGCAATGAAGAGGACGAAGAATTTGCACTTGCTGATTCATATGGCGTAATTCCAATGCCTATTGTTGATAGTTTTGAAGGAGAATTCTACAAGGGGCAGATATTTCACTCGAAACAAGCTGCACAGATGGCGATTAAACACCACGCACTACAACGCAACTTTCAATATGGCGTGGTGGAGTCGTCACCTTCAATATGGAAGGTCAGATGTTTGAGGCACAAGGATGACAATTGTCCTTGGATGGTGCGGTTTGGATGTCGAGATGTTGGGGGCGAATGGACTGTGAGAAAAGCTGAGTTGGTGCATTCTTGTAGCAGTACGACTCAACCGACGGATCATCGCCATCTTGATGTCGACATGATATCTGAGGCCGTCAAACATTTGGTACGTGCCCAACCAAATCTGAGTGTTCTAACTGTTCAAGCCGAGTTGAAAGATAAGTTTAATATGCAAGTTACTTACAAGAAGGCTTGGTATGGGAAACAAAGAGCATTGGAGAAGTTGCATGGAAATTGGGAAGAATCCTACGATTTTTTGCAAACATTCTTGCGGGTGGTCAAGAGAAAAATGCCAACATCGGTGATTGATTGGGTAACAGTTCCTTCGACTCAACCTGGTCATTTAATATTTCAGCGAGTATTCTGGGCTTATGGACCTTGTATAGATGGATTCAAGAATTGTCCAGGCGTCATGGTTGTGGATGGAACATTTCTTACTGGGAAGTATAAAGGAGTGCTACTCATGGCGAGCTCATTTGATGGCCGGAGGAAGATTTTTCCAATTGCATTTGCCATAGTGGAGAGCGAGAATACTGAGAGTTGGCCATGGTTCATGAGGAAGGTTCAGGGTTTGACTGATCGAAATGATGTATGCATCATCTCAGATAGACATGCAGGACTCTATGAAGCCATGAATAACATCGGAAGAGGTTGGGAGTGGAGGTGGTGCATGCGACACTATGCAAGCAATTTGCAAAGGAAGACTCAAAGCAAAATTATGTATAATCAACTATTTCGAGTCGGTAAGCTTTCTTCATTTAATTTTGTTATTTGTTTTCATGTAATTTTGTCATGAATTTATCTAACACGTGTTGTGGTTTATTTTGTTAGCCGGAGAAAAACTGTTGGAGAAGTTTGATCGTCAAGTTGAGCAATTTAAGAAGGTGGCCGCTGATAGAAATATTTCATGTGATAACTGGGTGGATCAACATCAGATTCGTTGGAGTTTAGCACATGATAACTACAATGGTGGGGGTCGTTGGTCTATCCTGACATCCAACATGGCAGAAAGCGTCAATGGTATTTTCAAAGGTATTCGTGCACTTCCGATAGCTTCTCTTGTGCAGCATACCTATTGGCGATTGGTGGAGAAATTCGATATGTATAGGTTGGAGACAGGAGCAGAAATTAGAAGTGGCGGTTCACAGTACTCCACCAAGTGCAAAGAGCTGATGAAGTACAGGTCACAAAAGGCAATTGGACATTCTGTGACAGCTCTTGATCGAGGTCAAGGCATCTATGTAGTTCAGACTCCTCCCAACAATTTCAACATGACAGGGTCAAACACACTCACAGTTCACTTTGACGATCAAAACCGGGTAGGATTTTGCAGTTGTGGTAAATTTCAAGGAAATAAAATTCCTTGCTCTCATGCCATTGCAGCTTGCAACCGAATGGGGGCTAATGCGTATAGGTTTGTCAACAATGTCTACAAGCTGGAAACAGTGATGGCTTGTTATGGGACAAGTTTCGCACCTCTTGGTGAACCTAAGGGTTGGAAGAAACATAATGGTCCTATTCTCCATCCTAATGTGCACATGATTAGGAAGCCGTGGAGGCCACGAGTTACAAGGATCCACAACGAGATGGACTGGCCAAGGGAGGGTGCATCACACCAAGTGTGCAGCAACTGTAACCAAGCGGGACATAATGCATCAACTTGCGGTGGCCAAGCTAGTAGGAGTGGGAGCAACCGAGGAGGGAGTGGTGGCCAACGAAGTACGAGAGGTGGTAGAAGAGGAAGTAGAGGTAATAGACGTGGCTGAGAGGTGGTAGAAGTTGTTATATTTCTTTTGATTTACCATGTAAAAGTTGTTGTTTGTTTGAGATGTTGTTGTTTGGTATGTTGTTGTTATCTTTTGATTTACCATGTAAAAGTTGTTTGTTTGAGATGTTGTTTGAGATGTTGTTGTTTGAGATGTTGTTGTTTGTTTATAGTACATAATAATAACAATCCAAAAATAATAGTCTAAATGAAGTACATAATAATAACAATCCAAAAATAATAGTCTAAATGAAGTACATAATAATAATAATCCAAAAATAGTAGTCTGAAGGAAGTACATAATAATAACAATCCAAAAATAAACGTCTGAAGGAAGTACATAATAATAATAGTCTCACCGACGATCACCACGACGACCACCACGACGACCACCCCGACGACCACCATGCTCCACCGCTAGATGGCCGCCAGTACCACACCTAGCATAATGGCGTTGTACAGGTACTGTGAGATCAGGGTATCTACGATCCTCAAACCCTAGAGCAGCAACCCCGGATGCCATAAAGTTGGCCAAGTCCTCACACTGGTCGGGGGTCAGCCCTCCAGACCGTACACCGTCACGCAAACTCACCTCAGCATGCTCGATAGTGTCGTACTAAAAAACACCAACAAAAATGTCAGATATTTCACACAATTAACAACAAATTAAGCAAATAAATCAAATAACTAACCAACGCCTCTGCTGCAGCTCCTCTCCGTGTGCCGGATCGTCTGGTGACATCTCTATACCACTCCATATGCTCCGAGTGGTAGGCTAACTCCTCATCAGTATATGGAGCCGTCGCTACAAACTCGTGTCGACGGTTCCAGAAAGCAATCGACTCTCTGGAGGCGTGTACCAACTGCTGCCCACGCGATGGCCCACGAGTAGCCTGGCGAAGAAAAACCTAACCTCAGCCTCAGAATGTGGCTGATGAGGCTCATGCTGTCTCATGCCAAACTGCCGGAGCACGCGGTCTGGATGATGTCACATCACCGATGAAAAGCAGATAAGTGGCACTACTGCTCGAAATGTCTCAGACTGTAGCACACTACCTCTGAGATGAAGTGCTCTCTCAAAGTATGGTTGCCACTACATTAAATCCAAAAATTAACGTTATTATCCCTAAATCTAAAAAAATAAAACAAATGAAAACTATTATATAAAATGAAATGTTATATACTAACCACCACGGTGTCCATCGCGTCAAACCACAGCTTGTACTGGAATAGCTGGTCACCATACTGACGACTGTTGGCCGAAAGCCATCGAAGACCACGTGGGAATGCATCCTCGGTGGCCTGTGCCCTCGTCTCCTCGTCTCGAGGTGCCAGATGTGGGAATCGTTCCCACGCCCAAAACTGCAGTAGGGCGACCCATCCACCAAGGTCACCGCTAAGAGAAGTGCCAGTATGCGTAATGTGCAAAGTCGACCTACCCATCTCACGGTACAGGTAGGATAAAACAGCAGCTCCCCAGGCAAACCGTCCAGCTCTCTCCCAATCCTCAATCAGAAGTAGGTACTGTAGGTGCACCGTACTTCCAGACCGGTCCGAGAAAAGTACACCTCCAAGCAGAGATAGAGCATAAGCTCGTGCAAACTGCTCTATAACCTCCTGTGATGCATTCTCCGGCAGATGACTGAATTCAACCCTCAGCCAAACAATCCTAACAACAGCGACACTGCCTACAAGATCGGCCGGAACTCGTCCCAACAGTCTCAAACAGATCGCCGACCACTCCTCATCCGGTATATCAACTACGACGGCATCACCGTCGATCGCCAGACCGGACAGTGTAACAACGTCCTCTAACGTGATCGTCATCTCACCACACGGTAGATGGAAGGTCGACGTCTCAGGGCGCCACCGCTCTACGAGCGCAGTAATTAAACTAGCATCGGGGTTCATAGGGACTAGGGGCACGACACTAAACAAGCCTGCCGCTTCGAGATATGGCCGATAAAGCTCATGGTAAGGTACTAAAATGGTCGTACCTCGAACATGGTACGGTCGATCACCAGCCTATAGTGCACAAAACTTATATTAATTCATTTTCATTCGTAATAATTCTAATTTCACCTAATAAATTCTAATCTGTCTTATCTAACATAAAATTATACTAATTTGAAATTATACTAATTTCACCTAACAGTTCAGTTCACTACCTAAAATAATCTAATTAGCTAATTAACTTTACATGAATAATTATCAAATACTTACCTCGTTTGTCCAAACAGAGTCGATACGATGTTGGCCGTGTCCCCAAAGAAGTGTCGGATCGACCGGACTTGGATCAATTGTCGCCGGCAGTAATCTCATCGAATAAGGATCCATAAGCCTCGGAACTGCAAAAACAAAGAAACAAAACATTAAAAAAAACACAAAACATTAAAAAAAAATCAAACTGCCGACGAGAGTCTCACTGCGCAAACGGCCGCCTCCACCACGACCTTGCCGACCTCTTCTCCCTCTGCCTCTGCCGGCGGCGAGTGGTTCTTCGTCGGAGGACATCTCGGGCGGCGGCGGGTCAGTCAAAGGCGGTGGCGCTACTGTCAAAGGCGGCGGCGCCGAGGTCTGGGGCGGCGGCGCCGGGGTCTGGGGCGGCGGCGCCGAGGAATGGGGCGGTAGCAGTTGCGGTGGGTCTCTGGTTCGCAGGGATGTTGGGGGGAGGAAGAAGAAAGGTTCGCGGGTTGGGGAGGAAGAAGGGATAAGGTGGGATGTGTGGTGTGTGGTGTGGGAGTGGATAAGGTGGGAAGGGGGGACCGTCCGAATTTTTTTAAAAAAAGGTTTTAATTTGTCTGAGGCGGGGCCGCTTGAGACTGGGGCGCCAGCGCCCAGGACTGGGTAAAATATCAGTCCCGCCTGAGTCTCAGGTGGTCCCGCCCCAATCCTTACTAAAAAACACAATATTTGTGTCAATAGTTTTTAATTTGTAATATTAGTGGTAAATTAAAAAAAATAACAATATTTGTGTCATTTACCCACATTACACAAGGAATATTATTAGTTTAGCAAATACAATAGAGTTTCCGGAATATTCTATGTATATACCGGACCACCTATGTCTTTTCTAATCATATGATGACCCCACGATTTATTTTGGACTTCAAATTCCTTACGTCCCAAAGACTTTAGAGTTGCACCAATTAATCAGTGATAATGACGATTTATCAAAAAGATTATCCCATGTCACACAAATTAGGATCGTTGATAAGTTGGTTATAATAATATGGTCTTTTTTTTAGTGTGTTCATATATACCTATTTGTACGTAGTTGTAAATTGGACCTAAACAATAGGGAAACAGACATGAGTGAGTCGTTTAATAGGAACTTAAATTGAGTTTCACGTGAAGAGTAGACAATAGAATATGAATAGTACAATTGAAATAGATTGGATATCGGGCGGGAATGGAAGACGCACAAGAAGTTATTTGATGTATGAAAACTGAAATGAGCGTCTGATGATTAAATAAAATGTACATGAATTTTTTTTTACATCTACAGATGTCTATTTTGAGTATTTTTCAAATCCAGATGACACAAAATGAGCCTCAAATGAAGTTGTGAACCTGTATATCTTTGTTTTGACTTCTACGAAATTTTGAATGTAAGACTCATAATAATAGCGTCTCCATAGGTCCATCTTCACATCCAAATGATACATTTCGATATTTTTTTAGTGTTATTGTCCAGTTAGAGTTAACAAGTTTATGAGGTCATTTACCCTGGGATTGAGACCATTTCCAACATCTCAAACTAATGTTTGTCTATCTACAAATTTACTATTTACCTAAATAGCCTCCTCTTTCTAGTTTGCAGTAATTAGATTCCATAAATCATGTGCTCTCTCAAATGGCTCCCTCTTTTGTCCAGAAACAAGTGCTTGCCTAGCTTCCACCCCTCTTTTATACTTTTTGAATGAATCTCTCCATCTTTTTATTCCTAAAGAATGTGATGATTACGTGAGAGCTCAATCCCATTCCCATGTGAGCCTTACGGAATCCCTAATCCATTGATTGGCTAAGCACAGTATTGACAAGGAATCAAAGGAATACCCTATAAATAAAGGGCAACAAAACTAACCCAAATTACAAAAGGACAAGATCACAAACCCAGTAGTGGGTGTTTTCTAGTTGTTGGTTGATGAGCTAATGGACCACTTTGATCTAATCTTCTGGCAGTAAAAGAGAGAGCATTCAATTGAAAAGGTAAAGAGTGTTGTATTCTATTCACAAATTTTCAACTACTCAAGTGTAAAGATGGATCATTTTACGAATTAGGTCATCATGTCGAAAATGATAGGCGTAAGTGTCTTGTTCGCAACTTCTTCCAATTGAAAGACCAGAAAAACACAAGTTTGCTGCTTATGCGCTCAATGGCGCGGATTGAGTGAGGAGGCCCTACCCGTGCCATGACCTAGCCCTCCTCTAGGTCCAAAACTAGTATAACAAACGAGACCTGCTTGCTTCCAGTCCTCTCCGCTTCAAAAGCGACCCAATACTCTACTATGTTATGGATCCGTCACTGCTTATGCCTCTTGTTTCAAACGCCAGCTGTATGTTGTCGTATCAGTCAATTCATCAAGTTTTAAGCACTCTATGGGGGGCATTTTGCACTAGGATATGAAAATTGGGAATCCAGTTTGAATATATAGTGTGATTAATTGGAGTATGTATTTGTTTTAGTTTCCTTCTTCTTCTGGAGTTCCGCAGTTGAATAAACAAAGAAGAAGAAGATGCACTGCTTCCAATACTTTACACAAAACGAAATAACAACTGCAAAAAAGCTTCCACCAAATCCATGTATGGTCATCACAAAACTTTCCCGGTCTTCGCTTTAACTCCTTTCCATGCCTTTCGGAGTACTCAACCCCCTCTGCCATTTGCATTTATGGAGAAACGTTTCATCCATCCCATTCCCCAGCTCACAGATCAAGAGTTTCTCTGTTATTGTTTGTGTTAATGTGACAGCAGTAATAAGGTTCTTAAATGGGTGAACATTGAAACATTGAAAGAGTTTGGTAACATGCAGAAACATGTTTTTGACAGAGATATGATGATGATGGGATGAAAAGGTTAGAGAAGAAGGTGACCTAACTTGCTGCTGATGAACATTTCAAAACTCATTCAATCCAATTTGACACCATCAACCATTATGCCATCACTGCCAAGTAATTGGGTAGGAGTCACCACTCACTATAACAGTCAGGAGGACCACCTCCTAATCTTTTCATATTGGTCCACAAGACCTCCACAACTTTCACTTTATGTCATTTCTAGAAGGAGAAGAGAAAAGAAATGGATACTTGCTCATGAAGGTGCTTCGAAGCTACTTTCCCCCCCTTATCTACCCATGTGGATTTACTCCTTTCCTTTTGTTTTAGGTGAACCCTTTACGGATTACAAATTATCGCGTTTTGTCATTTGCGAATGGACTGTCAAACTGTATAGGAAAGTATGATAAATGTACGACGATAGAACCACCGTAGTATGGTGATAAAATCATAATCCACTTAATCGTTAGAACATGATATAAAGAGTACAACTGATTGCGATGGTATCACATGCATCGATGAAGAAGTTGATGTTGGCGTTTGGTGTCAAAAACAGTCACACCATGACCATGGACAGACTCTTGTGGGATGGGAATGAGTCAACTTGGCCATAATTGGTCCTTGATGAATGATTGAGATGTTGAAGATAGAGATGTGTGGGTGTGGCGATGATGATGAAGAACTTGGGTTTCGAAGTGAAGAAGAAAGAAATGCTATTGGAAGTATGGGTGGATGTCCTTTTGTAGAGGTGATATGTTTTCCAAGTTGAATGCCACTTCAGAATTCTAATCAACTTTTGTTTCTTATTAAGTTGAAGTTTTATTCGATCGAGGAGTAAAATCCCCACAATGTAGGTGCTAAGGTAGACATAATCATGATTAGCATCCCTCAATCCAACTCATACAACAACTTTTACCATCCCAAATGGCACCCATTTTCTTGAAAAGTGATTCATGAACCCCATTCATTATGGACACTGCCATTGTCCATGGGGTTAAAGGCGGTTCTGTTGTATATGGCAACTCCACAAAAGTTTATTATATGGTATGGCAAAGGAGAAAGCAAAGATGAAACCAAAAGCTGAGAGTGAAAGATAGATAGCTAAAGGGAACCCGTAGGGTGGGGAAAAAATGGAACCCAGAAAAGGTGGCATTAGGCATTCAGTGCAGCAGCACCATCACTGCACCAGCAGAAGAACCTCAGCTTTTTTTTCTGGTACAATAATGGCTCACTTTCCTTTTCTTTAATTTCAGCTCTCTCATGAGTCAGTAAAAGTTACAGAACATTTAATTTACAGCTTTGGAAAGCATAAAGAGACAAAAGTTGTGGCTGGAGAAAAGGGTTAGATCATCAACCTTTTGCACCATTGCTTTGCTGAAGGAATCCTGCAATCAAACAACTAAACAAACAGCAGAACAGGACCTCCCAGGAAAACAGTACACAAATCACAGAGATGACTCCCCACATTCCATCAGGAATCTCGTGGGGATGAACTTTCATCAACATTGTCATCGAGAATAAGCTTAACACCATTGTTCCTAAGACCGTTAATGACGGCCCAAACCTTGGTACGATTCTTGAAACCCTTCTTCTCGATCTCTTTGTTTACATTCGTGTGAATCCCTCTTCCCAGCCCATGTTCGAGCCCTTCCACCTTCAGCCGCATAGCTAAAACCTCGCCAACAACCGTCGCTGCTTTGGCATTGCACGATCGACCGCAGTCGAGTGTGTTTTTGATCGAATGCTCGACCGTAGACGCTGTTGCCACAATCCTCCCATTGTTCCTGTCCACTACGTTTGCAGTTAGGTACTTCAGTGATATGAACAGCCGTAACACATATCTCTTCAACACCGTCATGGTTCAATCATACATACGAATCCTGCCATTCATCAATCAAGCAAGCCAGCAACGAACTCAGACTCTGCCTGGTTTCGGATCCAAAGCTAATTACACGTAAACTAAGTTGGGCTCCGATGATTAAATCATTTCATAACAGTTACCGAAACAGGGGAATCTGTCCCTTATCTTTTCAGGGAATGGAGAAAGACTACCTAATCTAACTGAGAGTTCAATCGAAATTCAGAAAAAAGGTCCTAGCTTTTTGCGATTCTCCTATTGGCTTTCCAACTTTTGCCAAAGTCGTACCTCCAGGCGATGATGGTTCGCAGGGGTTGGAGTTGCGAGCGCTGTCAGCAGGAAATTTTCTTCTCTGTTCTCGAGACTGGACGGGCGGGCGATTCCCAGCCACAGCAAGTCGGCAATGGCGGATCGTTGGGGGTTTACGGTGTACCTTCACAATCGAATTTGATGCAGGGAATGAGGTTTAGTTCTCCCTCTGTCGAGTGTCAAATTTCTACATTTAGGGTTTTAGGATTTGGGAGAAAGGTCCAGAGGTTTTGATCTTTTTTTCCCAGAGTATTGAATTTGCAAGGAAAGTTAGATAGAGAGCCGAACTAAGGGAAGGGCTAAACAACAGGATTGGAGTTAAAAAAAGGCGCTATGGGCCATATTTCATTCTAGGCCTAATAGGCTACAAAGCCTGGCCCATATACAATAAATCCTGGGATTGGCTGTACAAGAACCACCTCAAGAACCCACTCATTTTTTAGATCATGAACGATTCACCAGTTGCTGACAACATGAGGATTTCATCGCTCAAAATAAACACGGCAATCGTGAAGAACTTCTTACATTCAAAATGACATCAACACTATAATACAGTCACAGACGATAACATGAAATGGATCTACACTACCATTATCAGTTGGCAGCAAAATATCCCCCATGCGTCTCATTTCATCCTAGCAAAGGAAGGGTTGGACAGAACAATGAGATCTAAAGCAGAGTTCGGTTATGTATCTAGTTACAGAGTAGTTTTCTCAGTGTGTTATGTGATCCTCGACCATTCACATTAACCGTCTTTCCTGCAATAACAAAATGGCAGCAGCATCGTCATCAGAAATCCCTTGTTCATATTCTCTATTTATTTTTAGGTACAACATATTTTCTATTTTCAAAGAGATGGGTTGCTTGCTTGCTTCACTTACTTTCTCTTTCTTCGATCTATACCCACATTCCTCATCTCATTTCGTCCGGGGTTCATGCCATATGGCATGGGGGAAAGTGTGGAGGTAGGAGCAGCTGGTGGCATACCCATAGTTGAAGCAGGAAGGCCAATAGGGACTGCAGGTGGAGGTGGTAGAGAGGGAGCAGCAGCAGAAGTTGCCTCAGCCACAGGTTCAGGAAGGGGCCTAGGCAAAATATGCCTCAATCGATTGTTCCTATAGTTTTTCCAGTAGTAAAACTGCTGCCTGTGCGCCAACTCCTACAAAGTTTCAAGAAGTAAATTAATGGACATCAGGAGACACATATTTCAAGACGGAGATTATCAGCTTGAGAAAGGAAAAAAGAAAAAAAAAAACTCCAGGCCGAAGAGTAGTGAAGGTTCATGATTGGTATTAACCTTGTTGCCCGGGTGTGCCATTGCATTGCGGAAGTTCACATTTTGGAGAAGCTCTAGAAAATATAAACAGTGAGGATACCTGCAATCATGCTAGCGAGGTGAACTATAATTATCAAAACCACGAAGAATACGTAGCTGCGGCATCTAGATCCAAATAAATTGTTGCTTTTACCTAATAATACAAAGGTGATCCCTTTTCCATACACTTACATTATGAACTTAATGTACTCTGGTCGTTGCCAATACTGGAGGTATTTCAAGTAGCCAATGAATGCCTCATCTTCAAAATATCGGTTCTGAGCTAAGTCTACATTTGTTGAAAAACCAAAAAACCAGATGTGAGGAAGATAGTAGCAAATATTAAAAGAAGAGCAAGAAAACTTGAGGATTTGAGTACAATTAGCAGAACGATTCACAGAAACAGATGACTATAAGTATAGAACAATTAGCCTAAACTATCCAGAATAAACCAACAACCAAAAGGACAAGCTCCATTAGCAAGCTACCTAGAAACACAATAATTTGAAGTGGTTCAATCAGCTTTTACATATAGAACTAGCTTAACATTCAAATCCTGCCAGGTAATTATAGCACGAGTATTATGTAGAAGGTTACTGCTCAGAAACAATGATACGCAAACTACAACAATCTAGGAAAGAGAAACTGCACAGAAAAATTTCACCACTCTGAAAATGCATTATTTCATGTCATGTTTGCTGTACTAAGAGTCTAAAGTTCAAGTTTTTTTCCTGTAAACTGAACAGTTGCATAAAGAAAGCAAGAATTTTGATAACTTACAGTGTATGTAAGTTGGATTAGCAAGACACTGGACAAACTCCAATTCGAGAAGGAAACGTTGTCGACCATCATCTGGATCCTTGTATACATTCTTAGGCCTGCAATGGACATCGAAAGCAGTACAATGAAACAAAGCCAGAAAAGCCTCCAGGAAATCAACAGAACAATACTACTGTACATAAAATCCTTCACAATAAGGACTCGAGGAGACGGATAAACTAATTTGGTAAGCAAGCACAAACAAGAAATGATACACAATGACCAATTTGGTCATGAACTAGAAAAGCCCTGCTCATTTAAACCCTTCAATCAGGCACAAATGCAATAGAAGGAAAGGAAAGGGGAAGAGATATGCCATATGTGCGAGATGGACTGTGACATTTGGAAATGGAGGAAAAAGAGGAATAAGAAAAATAAAATGCTTACGAAGATGAAGCAACCAACTCAGTCTCGTTCTCTTTAGATGAAGCCATTAGACCCTTCCAGCTTACCCTGCCTGAAGTAGCAAACAATCAAGCTTTTACCCATGTTAGGGCAAGCACAAAATGGTTGATAGAATATAAAACTGCTTAACGAATGAATCCTTCATTCATTGAACAAAAAGAAAACATTGAAAAGCTGCAGAATACAGTGCACACTTCATTTTATTGCACTTTCATGATTTCCAAGTTTGTGGTACAAAAGTTCCAATTGCAAGAAAGATACACATGCTTGTTAAATCTCAATCGGACATTGAAATCATGTGTGTTGCTAATGACAGGAAATTGAAGTATGGAAAAAACAAAGTTCTTCAGCGTTTTTGCTCAACGAACATCCCAGCCCCTTTTCACTCGAATTAACAGTAAAGTAAAAGAGCAGAAGCGAAAATTCGCAGAGCGATTCATGAAAGAACTCACCGATCAGAGAAACAGGGAGCTCAAGTAGGGAACGGCCGCGGCCGGCCGGCCGGATGCAACGATGGTGGTGAAGGCGAGTGATAGCTTATATGCGAAGGATGATGGCTTTGCCGGGACCCAGGGAGGCAATAGATTGGTGCTTCCAGTCGGGGTCTTCTTCCTCCGCCACTCTCGGCGTCTGGACGGTACCGATTGTAGTCGCGGCAACGGCGACGGTGGTGGTACTGATCGGCGAGTGCTCAATTCGTTTCTCGGAGGTCCTTTCTGTGATTTCTGTCCCTCTTTTTGCCGTCGAATGTCAATTTCAGACGTAACAGAAATAATGCCGAAGAAAGGCTTGGGCTTGTCTAAAAATTACGATCCAAGCCCATTCAGTACGCGGCCCAAAGAAGATAGCCTGTTCTTCAACTTTGTGTCAAATCGGCCCAAAATTAATTTCACACTCTACTTAATGAGTTATGACTTCTTACAGTGACTTCCAAATTACTATGTAGGTATCTACAATTTTGAGTAAATACACAAATATCGGTCTTACAAAGTGATAAATGATTAAGAGGTAATGAGCTTTGCTCGCATTAGCAAGTTTCAAACTCTTCAGTCCACCTTCCTAAAAACAACCAAAAGAAAAGTGCATTACAATTATCATGTGTAAACAATTTTATTTTTAAAAAACATCGAAATTAGATTCGCTTGAGCTTATTTGCAAGAAAATGATTTTGTACATAAGGGAGAGAGAGCGTCTATTTCAATATAATTAGGCTTTGCTAAGACCTAGTGTGATTACTAGAGGAGATATAAACACAAATCATAACTCTTGCAATATGTATAGGATAACTTGTAGGAATGAAACCGATTTAATAAACACAATCATAACTTTTGCAATCGACACAATATTCCTCTCCTTTTCTCTATTGAACCCTAATTAAACCACAACAGTAACACAATTTGTACAGGATGACGATCAAAATTAAACTAGCTAATTTGATAAACACCGTCAAGATTTTGCAATCGACACACGATACCATTCCCCCCTTCCCCTCTATTGAACCCTAAATTAAACAGTGACGACCTTTTCTAGCTAACAACATTCAGATCATGAACATTAATTTGCAAACACAAAAAAAAAAATAACAGAAGCGCAGCTACGATTTGACGGCTTATCGATTATAATTTGATTAATTAATCAACTTGGAGAGGTTCATCATCATAATCAGAAGCTCTGAACCATAGTCTTACAAGAAGAAGATCCCCAACTATCCCTTCCACCACCATTATTACTATTACTATTATTATTATCATTCCTCCTCCTCGACGACGTCGTTTCCTCCCATTGCTCCGCCAGAATCCTCTCGAGCTCCTCCGGCCGGCAAGGCACCGTCAGGGCGCCGTAACCTCGGCCGCCGTCGAAGCCGTACTCCTCCGCCGCCTGCTCCAGCAGCCTCAAAAAAGTAGGGTGGGTCAAACAAGTCAACGGCACCACGAACCGCTGCGGCTCCTCCACTCCTTCCACGGCCAACACCGCAAAGTGTCCTTCTTTCACGTCCTCGGGGACGTAATTACTTGCATCTTTCTTCCCCAACGCCTTCTGCAGCTTCTTCGCCACTATCTTGAGGTTTATTATCCCTCCACCACCGCTGCCGCCGCCGCCGGTTCCCTTCTTCTTGCCGTAGCTGCTGCTGCTCGCTGCCATTGTTTTCTGACTTGGTATATAGCTATAGCTTCTCTCTGGTCTGTTGTGGAGGTTTCTAATCTGTTTTGTTTGTGTGTTTAGTGATAGATGGGTTGTCGAGTGCTTTGGGGAACATGTGGCTATGGGTATATATAGGGATGTATGCCGAGTATGTCGTATAAGATTCATTATTGAATATATTTTTTCCCCTACTTTTAGGGTTATTGGAACTTTAGTTTTTAAGATGGCATCGGAGCTTTTTTGTAATTGAATTCTGGCGATGTCATTTTCAAACTGTGCAAACTTCAATCTCATATGAGTACGTAACTTGAGTTTGGGGTGTGGAGAGTCATGTTAGTACGTAGTTCCATTATTGAAAAATCTCTTAGTAACTCGAGTTATTTGTATCAACTGATTCTTTAACATAGTATCGGTTTCTTTGTGACTGGCAGTTTTTCCTGTTAGAATCATGGCGGTGACCCAAATTTTCAGAGTGTGCAAACTTTAACATAGTATTAGTACGTGATATACAATTTATTATTGAATTTTTCTCAGCTACTCGAGTTATTGAGATGCCGTTTGACAGTTTCATATAAAGTATAAACATACATGGGTTTTGATGAATTTCATACGTACGAAGAGAAGCTTGTCGGGAAAATTGTACGTTGGACGCGTGAGAGGAAAGAGAGAGGCCGATGAGAAAAGGGAGGGTCTGATAAGACTACACAAGCGGCATCTTTTATTGTCATTTTGGCTCTGTGTTTTCTTCTTTCCTTCCTGGAGTTGGCTAGAGAGAGAGAGAGAGAGAGAGAGAGAGAGAGTCCATTGATGAGAGAAGAGACCAGTGCATGTGGTTCAGTGGCTAAATGGTATATGAAACGTCCCTTTACTTCGACATTTCTCTGTCTCTCCAAAAACTTTGTAATTTATTGCTTGCGGAGTTGCTGTTGCTGGTCGTGATCTCTAGCTATAGCGTTCGAACAAGTCTCTCTGTGAGTAATATATGTGCGTAGGGTTCATATGTTTATTTGCATATTTATCTGCATGGGCCATGTTTTTTTTTAATGATGGATTGACCTCAAGGTTCAGGTAACGTTTCTCTCGATCCATCTTGTATTTTAAAGCCCTTTTGAATGGCGTTTTTTTGAGTTCCTTGTGAAACATTTGGCTAATTTTGCGTCGGCATATTTTGATCGATGTTGACATATTGTGTTATGTTCTGTTTATAGTAATACACATGTGACAAGTTCACAATATTTCATATTCCTTTTCAGTTTTCGACAAAAAACTACATGAAAAAACAGGCATTCGAAATTGATTGAATGAAAAAGGTTTTGAATCTTTTTGTTGTAGTTGTTGAACAATGGGGAATGACAAACTTTTTACATGAATATATCTCACGTGAAAAAGGGTCATCACTACTTATGTAAAGTAAAGCTATAGCTAATCGTCGTCCTGAGTGTGAATTATATTTCCGGCTAGCTAATAGTTATGGCTTATATTACGCAATAAAAAGTTGTGATAAGGCTGAGTCCAATGTAAGTCCCCAAATTTGGGGACCTTCATCTCCAAATTTGGGGATTGTCCCCATTTTCTTCAATTTGGCTCCAATGCTACCATCTCCAAATTTGGAGATCTCTTTTTTTTTTTTAGTTTTTGTTTACTTAAAAATGTATTTATTATCATCTTAATATAATTTTTTCATGTTAATTTTTGTAATGTTCGTCATCATTTTTAAATATAAATTTTCCGATACATTTTTTTCAAATTCCAATGCTGAATTTTTTTAGCAAAAAATGATTGGCCTAAAAGAAATTAAACAAAATATTTAACTCAAATTAAAGAAGTCTAAAAGAAATTAAAAAATATATTAAACACACATTAAAAACAAATTAAAGAACCCTTAATTAATCATAACACTTTCCCCTTATTTCCCCTTAATTAATTACCCTTATTAATTATCAATAAAAAAATACAGATGCTGCGTGGCGGTGCGCCACACGCGCAGCGCTCCCACTCTCCAAAAATGGCGCCGCTCGCCATTCTCTCCCCCAAATATGCCGATGCAAATACCGATTTCCTCCAATTATAGGGATGCTCGCCATTTTTTCCCCTGCATTGGAGCCAGCCATTCGCCACTTTTGGCGATCACCTCAAAAATGGAGACCCCATTGGACTTGACCTAAATATAAATTCTTCAAGTAAAAATCAATTTATATAGATTTGAAATCTGTAGAGATTCAAATACCACATATGTAATACTAGGTCGTTGATATCTTCATCATAAAAATTCTATTAATAGAAGGACAATTTATATTTCAGAGATATTAGTCATACGACCTTATTATGGTCAAGTTATACTTGGAGATATTTAAGCTAGCTAACTAAAGAGAGACAAAGATATTTGCAGCTCTTCATCGATCTAATTCATGCATGGGAACGTCTCTAGTTGACTTAACTCCACGTAGCTAGAGCCTAGACGACATTGATGATGATTACATTTTGCAGAAAAGCAATTCAATGGACCTACGTACTTAGACTGGTACGTTGACTAATCGTTGTGTTTACCAGATTATTAATACATAACATAACATACGTATGCGCCACATAACTAACGAAAAAACCAAATGAATGGGACTAATCACCGAGGCATCACATCACTCGATCTGTTCCCCTAAGATATTTTCATTTCCAACACGTCGGTCAGGACTCAGCAGGTATATTACCCAGATAAGATATTTTCATTTCCAACCGTTTTACTAATCATTCAGTTGGCTAGTATCTAACTGTTGCATATTAAACCTTAAACTGCATTATTCAAATTTGAGTCAACTCTTTTATTGCAATAAAAGAAGAAGAAGAAAAAACCCTGATCATTTTAAGAACTTCCCCAGTCTTGTAGAGTAATTTGAACTCATCGCGATTGCCGTACATATCATATACACAAAGCATTTAGGTCATCGTCAATAATTGGAAGAAAAAAAAAAAGTGGTAGCTCCTGGAAAACCACGAGTCAGGAAAAAAAGAGGTCTACAAAAGCAGCCGGCGTAGGCCATCTTCTATATGTCGTGTGTCTTTAATCAAAAGACAAGAAAGACGTTTACGACTACTACTTTCTGGTTTGACATTGCATATATGCCACAGCTAGCAGGCTGGCCATTATAATTTGTCATGAACCAGTTGTCCCAATAACTCGAGTTGTTGGGAGAAGGTAGGTTCATGTATGATACTTAACCACTTCCTTACATGCCCACTCAAACGAAAGCCGACTCATGGACTTGAAATTTGCACAGGACCGCCATACCATGTGCTTGAAAGACAACAGTTAATATTGGGAGTCGTGAGGACATAACACGTGACCTCAAGGACAAACCAAACTCTGATACCATGTCATAAACCAGTTGGTTCCAATAACTCGAGTTATTGGGACCAACTGGTTCTTGACATAATTAGCTCCGGCCGCAGAAGTGAGAATTCAGGTGATCATCAAGTGGTTCTGGTCTAGCTAGGTCGATGATCCCACCTTGACCCAGAAGATATGATATGATAGATAATATCCCTCTCACCAAAAAGTGCATCAAAAAGTGCATTAGTGGGGATGAATTGGGGATAAGGATTCGACGATTCAGCTTGGATTTCTTTCCCTGTGGTGGGTTTTGCATCAGATATTTTGTTTCCCCAACTTGCGTATGTATTCGATTTCTAGCTATATTAGCTCTCATCTCAGCTAACAGAAGACCGGCCAGCGTTACTTATCAATCACAGGCCAGGCCAGGCCAACTATATAACGAAACGTATGTACATTAATGATGAAGAGCATTATTGGCTGTTCCGTGTGTACCCCTGGAAGAACAATCTTGCCTGGATAACATGGTGCCTGCCTAGAGAGTACGGTGTCAAAAGAACCGGATCGGATCCGCGGTGAAATCGGTTACTGTAGCGATTCAGTTCGTTTATTTGGATGTACGCGGTAAGTGATGGACCGAATGATTTTTTTTAAAGGTTGGATATGTAACCATATGAATAACTTCATAACCCGACTTGACTGGTCCATTGTTTCTTCACTGTTTTAATCATAAAAAAAAGTTTGTAAAAAAAAAATGTATACTATAACGTGAACTAAGACCATCTAATTACCCGAATTACTGATTTTATTTATGCTTTCTCTTCCTCGTTTTCCAACCTCCTTGTCAGTTTTGCGAGAATGAACTTTTTGTATGATATGCGATATTGTTTGGAAAAAATTAGTTAGAATGTTGGTGATGGACGATATGGATTGAAATTTGTTTACAATGGTTGAAAGTTTCAACCCTAATTAGTGTATTATATATGTATTGTATTTCAAAGCGTAGAACAGTTCTATCGATAATTAACCATCGATCACTTTTTGTAGCTAACTACGTGGTGAGGTCATGCGATCAGAATTCTCAGAAATTCTAGTTTGAGTGTATCGATCATACCGCGCGCGCCTTTCAAGTTTACCATGAAAGCCCAGATGAATCATGGAGGGGAATATTCGTGAAAGAACAGATTACGTTCTGCCGGCTGGAAGTCACATCTATATCTATATCGGGGTTCCCATGCCGTCGTCCCGATTCATGAATAATACGTACACACGGGCACTGATAGACGAGAAAAGATCGCCGGGGAATGGCCGGCGGCCGCCCATCTCATGATCGGAAAAAATGATTCTCGTCATATCGTTGTTGCCCACTTCACTCCCTAGCTAGTCCCCACACTCCCAATCACCAAAGGCATTCAATGCAAACTTGCCCCAACCAACTTTGATTGTCAAATGTCTCCACTTTTTTGGCAAACTTTTGTCCGTCCATTAACGAGGAAAAATAACAAACCAATAAGTATAGAATGTATTCGAGTTATGCATATACCATGATGTATTTACCCTCTTATTCTTTGGATGATTAGATCAATCAATTACAATTGAAACGTTTACTCAATCCTCAATTTCTACAGTTAAACATTCATGATTCCGTTGGGTCAGACCATAATCAATGGCTCGACCAAATTATTAATCCATCCAAAACGAATTCCGTTCCTAATGGCAGACAAGACAACTAAAATAAAATAAAAAAATTGAAACAACACACACCGCGATCGGATCAACGGAAGCAGCAAGCCAGAACCCTCTCTAAGTCCGCCGGCCGGCAGCAGACGGCGACGGTACCTTGACACCGGAACCCATACTCATCCGCCGCCTGCTCCAACAGCTTCACGAACTGGGGATCCTTCAAACACCGCAGCGGAACCACAACTCTCCTCGTCGCCTTCGTCACTTGCTCATCACCGCCGCCGTCATTCTTCACCTCCACCGCGAAATGCCCCTTCTTCACGTCCTCCGGCACGGCGGCCCCCCTCACCCGCCGGAACCTCGACGCCCGACGCCGCCGCGGCATCCTCCTTAGCAGCTTCTTCATGTTAACCAACGCTCCACACGACTTGAGCCTCCACGTCATAAAAAATAATCGAATTCTGACTTAATAAACCAATGCAGGGTACTCTGTTTTCGGGGGAAGTGCTCTTATTTGGGTTCTTTATGGTCATTATTAATACGCATATATATGGACGTACGTATTATGTGTAACGAAAGAGGTCGATCGAATGCGCGAACTTCGGTGCGGTCAAATTTGTGTAGCTGTGTATGGTTATGTTATTTAAATTGGTTGTGGACAAATCAAATGCTTGGAAAGGGATAAAAGAAGAGCAGAGTCTGAAAGCAGAGGGATCGAGTAACTAGCTAGCCTGCCGGAGTTCACAAGGTGTGGTGGAAGAAACAAGGTGTCTTTGAAACCTTTGTTTACTTTCAGTTCTGTTTCCTGTTTTTTAGAAAAATGTATGTTGAAAACAGGTGAAAATAACATTTTGTCGTTTCCGAAAACGGCAGGAAGTTGCCACTTTTTGTTTTCATAGTTGGAAACGAATAGAAAACAGAATGAAAAGTAAACAAATTTTCTCGTTTCGATTGCCAAATTTATGACATGAAAACAGAATTCAGGAAACGAAAATGGAAGTGAACAGAACTTCCTCTGTACTTTCTTCTTGATGTTCGAAGCCAGTACTACGGATGAAATTACATTTATTTTTTTACCACTTGGGTGAGGGAGGGAATATTAACAAGTGAACTGTTTTTATTGTTGTAGATTAGGTAACAATTATTCGACAATAACGGGTTTCGAGGTGAACAAAGACCTGCTGCTGCTTCAAGGTGAAGGAGAGGGCTGGAATGCTTGTATTTTACACTCTGATCAAATGAGAAGGGTTGAAAACTGTGGGGGATAAAGAGGAGTTAAAGAGCGGCAGAGAATTTTAGCATATATGGTTAAACAAGAAAAGGTATGATGAATCATGAATGTTTAGGTAGGGGTGGATGTTGGTGCGGTGGTGCTTAATCGTAATTCGCATAAAAAAAATTTGCGCTTAATCATAATTATAAATATCAAATATATGTTCATCAAGTACAAACTACATTGTCATGGTTAGTGTTTGACCAATAAATATAATGGTTTGGTACGATTTGATTGAATTTGGTAGTGGTTGACTGCAAAATCGCTAACATAAGCTCATCAAAGTAATATCTTCTTATAAGTTTGAAGTATTTTATTGATTTAAAAAATATGAGCCATATGCAACATTTGGAGAAATACCAACAAGGACACAAAAAATATGGGTCATGTGCAACATACGAAAATCCTCATGTAAATGGAGACAAAGGAAGAAAATGCAACAGGAAAGGAAAGAAACAATAAGACAAAATAGACTCCCAGTCCCAGTGATATAAGGAGAATGTTTGAAGAGTTGCTGGGGCAATATAACATGATAAATACTCATTTATCAGGCCATCAATGAAAGCATTACATGTCCCTGTAACCCTGTTCTCACCTCTGTTCAGCTGCAACTATACTGCACTGCAACATTCATAGATCTTTTTGAAACGAAACAGAGGAGATGGGGAACACAATGTTCTTCCTAATTATTATCTGCCACACAATCCATGTTTTACGTGTTGAAATTTTTATGGCCTGAAGCTTGTCCTCACCTTTTTGTCTCCCCCGACCGGCGGGATATTTCTAGTTTCTACATATGGCCTCACAGCCGTACTTGCTCTCCACACCAGATCTCATTTCCGCCGCAGATCGGTATATTCCTCTGCCGTGTTGAATGGGATAGTCGTCCAAAGTCTTTGACTGATGTGACCTAGCAAGAACAAGAAGGTCCACAAGAAAATTGGATCGCAGGTGGTGGTGCATGCCTGAAGCCCGACGAACTTAATACGAAAATTCGAATGTGCATATGTGTAGCAACTAGCAAGATGGTATTCATATATTGAACTGGATTTACAGGATGACAAAGATGAATGAGAGAAGAAACCAAGAACCTTCTATCACAAAATCAATATAGCTTCCCTGAATTCTTCTACATTTCATGCAGATGTAAGTAAGGACCTTGCCTCTTCTGTTAACGGGTTAGTTGTAAAAGTTAGGTTGTCGATCTATGACTTGGTCAGAAGAACTTGCTCCTTCCTGTTTCTGGTTTCTGGCATGTCACTTTTTCCTGGTTATCTGATATTCAGTATAATGAACGTCGCGCCAATTTGGACCAGGAAGCTTGACTATCGTGAGCAGTGGGAAGGAAGCCTGCAGATTCGAATCAATGTGTGGGGGTTTTACAGACACAGGAGGCTGTAGAAAACCAGAGGTATGAAAGCATTGTCAAGTTGTGCTGTGTAGGCCTCAAGTAACCCGCTGACTACAACTGCCAGAAAAAGATGGAGCCAGTGCTGCATAAATGACGAAATAGAAACATCAATAGCTGATCTGAGTAGTTGTCTTAAACCTAACAAACCGCAGATTCTAAATTTGGTTATGAAGACGGGAGAGACAAAGAGAGAAACCTGTGTGAAGATATATCCAGCGGATGCTAAAACAGGCAGCAATACAGAGCACGCAGCCAAAACAGAAGTTATGCCAGCTGCAGTGCCTTCAATAGTTTTCTCTAGCAAAAAGCATAGATATTTAATTACTGCAAGTTAGCAAGGTAACCTCAGAGCAACCGAAGGCCAAAGCTTTCTTTCCAGTTGGGAGGATAAATAAAGAGTGCACTTACTTCCAGTTTTGCTCCACCTCAGAACACCATATTTGTGCCCAACCATGGATGCCTAAAACAGCAATCGAAAGCTCAAGATTGTATAATGTATATAACTCAGAAAGAGGAGCAACAGTGTCAAAGCTGGTTGACAAGAAATAAGCAGCAGCCTTCACAGTGACTTGACCTCAATTCTACCTCTCGGTGACTCACCATTGTATCTCCGATTCCAAGGCTCAAAATTCCAGCAAAAGGAGCAAGGGGGCGATCATTATACCCAGAGGACAACCAAATCGGAAGTGCACATCCCAGTAAGAGCGAGAAGTGGCTGATGAATTTGAAGGCAATAGACAAGGATCCAATTAATTAGTATTCACACTGTTCTTATATAATTGATCTGAAAGAGGATGTCTTGCCTGACAATGAGAAGCTCAGAATCACGGTGGTCAGTGAAAGCATTCATAAACTGGTGAACAAGTTGCCCCAGTGGCCAAATTCTCCATACCTGGCAACCAAAAACAAAACCAGCCAAGTAAAACATCATTACTAATATCCCAGAGTTCAAGTCGAAGTAAGTCAAGCTGAGTCTGCAAGTTGAACTAAGCTAGGGCCTCTGACAAGAAAGAGGCCACCCCAAAGCATCACCAATATTATCAGTGGGGAAGGGATAGAAGATTCCATCAACTCACTCGAATAATCTCCAATGTCAAGAAGACTGCCAAGGCTGCCCCAAAGGCTAAATCAAGAAACTTTGGCTGAACAAATTTGACAAAGTAAGCCAAGCATGTAAGCAAGAACGGATAGTTATGTAGGATGAAACATGAATAAAAATCGCCGATCAGAAGGAAAATACGCTTTAGTTTCTTGTTGAACTACCTGGAAGACGACTGCGGGGACAAACATAGAAACAGCCATCAGATGGTAGTACTTCCGAAGAAGAATCCGCTCAGTCTTACTGTTCTTTGATATGTAGTAGAAACGCCTCACAGAGACGTACATCAAGCACACCCAATATATACATAGGGATAGTCTTTTAGCCGGTTCAGAGAAAACAAAAGCGACCATCCTATTCAGAAGAACAATGATCTAATTACACGTTAATGGAAAGAAACCACAAACAATTGGACCACAAAAAGAAATATCCCAATGGCGTAAAATGTTGGAGAGCAGTACCATAAAAGTGGGTGTTTCTGAAAGTCCTGTACAAACTGCATCCACAATGGCATGACCACGATCATGACTAACCCGAATGAAACAAAGAAAATGAGAGATCTTCTTCTCTCATTTTCTATCCTTGTGCCTGAGCTTGCCACACTTGGAAAGGAATCTAGTGCGTGAAGCAGAAATTTAAAAGCAACTGGAAACAGAAGAAGGCCAAGAAGCAGTCCCTGCATGATGCCTCCGGATGTAAGCAACAAACTGACGACAGATTCCTATCGGAAGTTGAACTCATTCAATCAGTTATTCTCACAAGCATTTTACCTGAATGACAGTACTAATCTCATTTTTTCTAGTTCCATATCGCACAAATGCCAACTCGGAAGAGCTGCAATATCCATGAAGCTGTTCAAATATTACCATTGCCAACATGAGATAGAAGTTGGTTTCCTCTAGGAAGACCACAAAAACATTCTAGTGCAAAAAAGCACTAGCCTTTGCAATAGTGCATGCCGATACATCGCCAAAGTAGAGAACAAGTCCTGCCGTCACCAAAAGAGTCTCCCCTGAAATATAACAAACAAGAGACCCCTCAGAAGATCATGAAATATCAACAGATGCATAGAGGTAACTGGTAAGGAAGGCTATATGACACAGGAATGGTATTCACTACGTGAGCACATCAAATGAATCACCTGAACCATTCAAAAGAGAGTGCATGTACGAATTTTTTTTTTTCCCAGTCAAAAAGAGAGTGCATGCACGCAGTATTAGTAAACTTACCAATGGAAGCACATGATGGAAATGTCTCGAGTAAATGCTGCATTAGTTTCACAGTGGCAAGTCCATGAAACAGCACCCACATCAATTTTGTAGTCATGTGCATGTCTGTTGAGGATAAAAGCATAGCAATCAGACAAAGCCATGAGGGATAGCTGCAAGAATACAAAGGTACAAATAAGACTAAAACAATGGGAACCAGCATCTCTCATAATCAGCCTGGGGGGTTGAAAATATACACATTGCACAAAGACCAGCACGTGAAAAGCGAGAAAAACTAACCGGTAGGGAAGATATTGTAAAATGCTGCAAACAAAACCATGCATCCGATTAGGAACTTAGCAGATAATAGTACTCTGCATGAATGGGAGCGTGAACTTTCCGGTGTAGCCCATATGACTAAAGAGAGGAAGATCAACACAGCAAAGCAGCTAACTGAAGCGGCCCAGTATTGCATCTGTAGATAATCAACTTCTGCACAGTAAGTTGAGCTCAACATCAAACACACCCAGAGTGAAAACCACTGAAAAGTGCATATAAACTTAATGAAAAATGTTGATTCTAGATGAAGCGGGAAGTTACCTCGAAGCTCAATCTCGTCAAGTGACAATGCACGCGAAATCTGTATCAGCCTGGAGAGCATAAGTGCAGGCAATGTAACTGCACCAAGCAATATCCCTGATGAAGCACCAGTTCTGCAAAAATAGCATCCACTAGCTCGTTGGTAATCAATTCTCTACAAGCCTACCCACCCATTTCCCCCAAATTCGAGCTCAGAAACAGAGGGAAAAAACCCCGCACAATCAATGCTAATTGCGTTCCAAATGAAATCCAATCAAAACAAAATTACCTCAATTCAACAAGCAAATGGATCAGAACGCGAACCAGACATTAAAAAAAAAAAAAAAAAACCCTAGCGAATCGGGGAAATGTAGCCAGCCACCTACCTAGTCTTGAGATGAGAGAGCGAACCGGAGCTCTCGCCACGGATCTCGACGCAGAGAGCGAAGAAGGAAAGGAACGACAGAAATCCGCCGGGAAGGAGAAGAGACGGCGGGAGAGAGAACATGATGCAGGCGATGAACAGCACAACCACGGCCCTCTCGCCGTTGAGCAGCGGCGGTGTAGAGACGGACGTCATGACGGCCGGGGATGGAAGATCGCCGGAGACGGTCATGGACGGGGAGTGTTTTTTAGCGGAAGATGGATTTGGCGGGGGGTGGATGGGGGAATTCTGTGCCGTGCCGTCAATCGGAAACGGTGGCCTGAGGGCACACGGTTTCCGGTCGTTAGATTAGGTGTCCATTTCTAAGTCATTCCGGGCCCACGTGATCACACGTGTATTAAGCAATCGCAAGCTGACACGTCATCCGGAGCCTTATTACTTTTCGGCCCCCTTTCTTTTCAAACATACCAGTAATGCTACAGAACTTTGTGTTGTTACTAGCTCGTCTATAATAAACAATCGATTGGTGGGGCCGGATAGCGTGACAACCCCTTTAGGGGTTGTCAATCTCGCTTCCCCCTTACTAGCCCTTCATCCCCTTATATCTCCATCCGACGATTGATGATAGACAGGGGCAAAAAAGAGAGCTTCCACACTGGATCCAGCTCCCATTAGTTCTCTAACGTCAGCCGCGTTTTGAAAAGGCAAAGAAATCGGTGGTGGAGAGAAATTAGCCACCCTCCTCGGCGAACCATTCGTCTCCCCAAAACAGCCTGTACATTACTCCACTGAAACCCTTTTCCTCCGTCTTCTCCCAAAGCATCCCCTTTCAGCGTCTCGGATCGCTTTTCTCCGCTTTTCTTGATAGCAACTCGTCCGGTCCCGTTCGATTGCGAAGACTTTGTTTTTCAGAGCATAGGTAATTCAGGTAAAGCAAAACTTTTACAATGTAATTTTCATTCAGCCTCCTTTTATGCTTGCTTTCCCGCCCCGATTCGTCGGCTCTATCGCTCCTCTCCACTTCTTCATCTTTTTCTATTCACTTCTGGTTATCCTAACTAGTTTTTTTTCTCCTTCTGGTTAAGCGCATAGGCGAACATCCTTTCGCCGTCGTTCCTTTCTGCGGCCGTGCAAACAATCGCCGGTGAGATTTCTTTACACTACTGCTTTTGTTTTCCGAATGCAACGTTGGAACAAGCCACATGAAGGCCTGTCTTTCTTGTGTGGTGTGTTTGTTTGGTGTTGGTATGATCCATTGGTAGTCTTAAATTCGTATAGTGCTAGTGGTAGTTGTGTTACTGGTACCCATAACATTGATATGCTAATAGTGGTGGTTTAATGGAATGGTATAACTTGTTCTAGATGTAGTGATAGTAATACCAATTGATTTGTACCAGTATCAATGAATTGATACCAGTACACACTTATTGGTACAAGTACCACTTATGGGGGCTTCAGGTACCATTGTATTTGTTTCGGTATGATTGAATGGTAGTTTTCTATTGGTACCAGTTGTAATGGTAATTGTGTTACTGGTACCAATGACAGTGGTATGCTAATAGTGGTAGTTTAATGGAATGACACAACTTGTTCTATCTGTAGTGGGACTGGTACCAATTGATTTGTAGTAGTACCACTAAAGAGTAACCATTACATACTGATTGGTACCAATAACATTCTAGATTGTTAGTAGTAGTACTGTACAGTAACATTCTACGTTGCAAGTAGTAGTAGTGGCAGTACTTGTAGTGATATCATTTTAGAAGTGTGGATCTCAGTGACAAGATAACATTCTAGATTGTTAGTAGTAGTATTGTACAGTAACATTCTACGTTGCAAGTAGTAGTAGTAGCAGTACTTGTAGTGATATCATTTTAGAAGTGTGGATCTCAGTGACAAGATAACCCTCTTGAAGTTTTGAGTAAAAATTCGTACCAAGCATTTTTTGTTGTTGTTGCAGGAATGGCAGAACAAAGATATCAGTTATATCATCCGGGAATACACACAACCTGATGGTTGTGCATCTCAACAGGTAGCAATACGCTTGGGGGACTCAAGTGATTCGAGTGCTGGGCCTAGTAAAAAACGACCACGTGATGAGGATACAAAGAGTCGCAACAAGAAGAAGAAGCAATGGACTGTAGTCCAACTTCAATCATCGAGATTATGGAGGCCGGTATTTCGGATGAGAAGAAGGTTGGGCTAGGTTGGGCTAGGTTGTGTGTTGGATTTAAAGAGTAGCATAATTGCTTCATGTACATTTCCAAGTATGAAGAAGTTTATGGGTATTTCTTGTCTTTAATTTGATCTTGGGTAAAGTACTATTGCTTACATTGACACAATTGGTTTGGTGTTTGATTGTGAAAATTCAGTACCTTCTCCACTGGCTATAGAAATATCCCTTCACTGGTACCAAATCAATGGTACTGTTAACAAATCAATAGTACTGATGCCAAATTTATGCCACTGATAACCATTAATAAGACTGGTATCAAATTAGTGGTACCGTACCATTAATAAGACTGGTACCAATTAATGCTACGTGTAACCATTACTAAGACTGGTACATAATCAGTGGTACTAGTTACATTAATACGAATGGTACCAAATTAATGGTATTGGTAACAATTACTGAAAACGTACCAATTGAGTTTTACTGGTACAATTTTAATGGTAATGTCTCCACTGTAAAGGTATTGGTACCAATGTAAATGACTATTGATGGTATAACTTTAGTGATATTAGCAAGTCGCATTATTTACCCTCTTACCCGTATCCTACTACTACTAGGAAGTACCACTAATTAACTACGACTAAATAACTACCACTAGATGACTACGTGTCTACCACTAATTAGAAACATAACTAATGGTACTTTTTTTTGAAACATTAGTTGTACCGATAGTAAAACACTAAAAATGGAAAGGAATTCGTAACGGCTTAGGGGTTAACCCTACCACCATTGTTGGCATCGACGCTATTCTCCGCCTCGCCGTCGTCGGCATCAACGCGATCGGGTGCAACATGAAATGGTCGTTCTTCTCCACATCGAGGCCATATTGGACGTGGTCCGAGGTTCCGGATGATATTCATTCACCAGCTCCTCCACTTCCAAAACGTCGTCAACATCCACCATGCACACATCATCGCCTTTGTCCGTCGGGTCCGCCTGGTCAGCTCCGGCCTCATATATATCCTTGTCGTTGCTTGTTAATGGGACATTCAGATCGAACCCAAATAAACACGTAGGTTCAGCTCCCACCTGTCGTCATCGTTGCTGATGTAGCCGTCCATTGTATGGCGGCGGACGCGTTTCAGATGAGAAGAAGGTTGGGCTAGGTTGGGCTAGGTTGTGTGTTGGATTTAAAGAGTAGCATAATTGCTTCATGTACGTTTCCAAGTATGAAGAAGTTTATGGGTATTTCTTGTCTTTAATTTGATCTTGGGTAAAGTACTATTGCTTACATTGGCACAATTGGTTTGGTGTTTGATTGTGAAAATTCAGTACATTCTCCACTGGCTATAGAAATATCCCTTCACTGGTACCAAATCAATGGTACTGTTAACAAATCAATAGTATTGATGCCAAATTTATGCCACTGATAACCATTAATAAGACTGGTATCAAATCAGTGGTACTCGTACCATTAATAAGACTGGTACCAATTAATGCTACGTGTAACCATTACTAAGACTGGTACATAATCAGTGGTACTAGTTACATTATTACGAATGGTACCAAATTAATGGTATTGGTAACAATTACTGAAAACTGGTACCAATTGAGTTTTACTGGTACAATTTTAATGGTAATGTCTCCACTGTAAAGGTATTGGTACCAATGTAAATGACTATTGATGGTATACCTTTAGTGATATTAGCAAGTCGCATTATTTACCCTCTTACCCGTATCCTACTACTAGTAGGAAGTACCACTAATTAACTATGACTAAATAACTACCACTAGATGACTACGTGTCTACCACTAATTAGAAACATAACTAATGGTACTTTTTTTTGAAACATTAGTTGTACCGATAGTAAAACACTAAAAATGGAAAGGAATTCGTAACGGCTCAGGGGTTAACCCTACCACCATTGTTGGCATCGACGCTATTCTCCGCCTCACCGTCGTCGGCATCAACGCGATCGGGTGCAACCTGAAATGGTCGTTCTTCTCCACATCGAGGCCATATTGGACGTGGTCCGAGGTTCCGGATGATATTCGTTCACCAGCTCCTCCACTTCCAAAACGTCGTCAACATCCACCATGCACACATCATCGCCTTTGTCCGTCGGGTCCGCCTGGTCAGCTCCGGCCTCATATATATCCTTGTCGTTGCTTGTTAATGGGACATTCAGATCGAACCCAAATAAACACGTAGGTTCAGCTCCCACCTGTCGTCATCGTTGCTGATGTAGCCGTCCATTGTATGGCGGCGGCCGCGTGGATTGTATTTTCCGGAGGTATTGTGGTATGGTTTGATGAGGGAGGAGTCAGAAATGGAAGGGAAAGAGTCTCATCCAAAATCGGTTGTTCAGCTCCCACCAATCACGCTCCCAGATTTGCACCATGCATTTAAGTTTTATTTCAAAATTATTTCAGTTAGTTACTTACAAAAACACCCTTCGTGCGCTCCTGGACGTTGGATAAAGAAGGAGGACGGACGGCTATAAAGTGGGAAGTGAGATTAGGGTTGTCACGCTATCCTATCCCTCGATTGGTGCCTAGAAACGGGGGAGATGGAAGAAGGAGTATCCATACTCATTCAAAGAAGATGGCTTGGCCGCTTTAGGACTTGGGAACGGGCTAGAGGACAGAAAAAGCCGCACTAATCTGACGTACGTTCGCCGGACCTTATCCCATGCACATGCACAGGTTATTGGATTCTGCTTAGTTTGTATCTGACTGAACTTACTCGAAATTACCATCTATAATCACGTTTATGATGTCAATCAGATCACGTTTAGTACTGACCATAACATGTACTTTAGATCCACAAATTTTAATTTCACATTTAAGTTTATGGATGCATTTACGTTACACAGCTATATATGTCGAGTTAAGTTTCCATATATGAAGTGTCATGGTACGAGTACGAAGCGAAAACGAAACGCAAAGATGACAGATCTGTACAGTCAGGCATGCAACATGCTCCATGTCCGCCTTTCTGGGAATTTAATGAGTCCAATATATATGTCACCATTCTGAAATTGAAATGGTGGAGACTTCAATTCTCGTCGAGTCTATGTGGTACAGGAAACTCTCTCAATAACTTTAGTTATTGCAAACAATTAGTTCTCGTCGAGTCAGTGCTTCTATGATTGAGAGTTCTTGTGTTCGATTCTAGGTGATCCCATTTGTTAAGTACGTAGTATTCGGATTTGTGCAAACTTCAAGTCGTTGTGAATGACTTTCATTTAAGGGTGTGTTAGTGTGTGATATATGATCCACGATTAAACCTCTCCCAACAACTCGAATTATTGACTAAACATTTAACCGTGGACAAGAAAGAGACGAGATGGATGGAAATCCGGTAAACAGGCAAATTCATCGCTTGTTTGTAAAACCAGCCAACCCACTTTCCACTCCTATATATATCTGCTCCCCCTTCCCTCCAATTAATACGTACAATACCAGAAAACGAAGAAGAAGAAAAAAGAGAGAGAAGATGGCAGAGACAAAGGATGGCCGCCGCCGCCACCGGAAGCCTCACGCCATCTTCATCCCCTACCCTCTTCAAGGCCACGTCATCCCCTCCGTCCACCTCGCCGTCAAGCTCGCCTCCCACGGCTTCACCGTCACCTTCGTCAACACCCACTACATCCACCACAAGATCTCCACCGCCACCGGCTCCGGCGACGTCTTCTCCAAGCTCCGCGAGTCATCTCCCGGCGGCGAGAGCCTCGACATAAGGTACGCCACCGTCTCCGACGGGCTCCCCCTCGGGTTCGACCGGTCGCTGAACCACGACCAGTTCATGGCCTCGCTCTTGCACGTGTTCTCCGCTCACGTTGAGGAACTGGTCGCCGGGATCGTCGCCTCCGGCGAGGAGGTGTCTTGTTTGATCACCGACACTTTCTTTGTCTGGCCGGCCAAGGTGGCCAAGAAGTTCGGTTTGGTTTGTGTTTCGTTCTGGACCGAACCGGCCCTGGTTTACACCCTGTACCACCACGTCCACCTCCTCCGCCAAAACGGCCATTTCGGTTGTCAAGGTACTCAAACGTCGATAAATGCAAACATTGGGTACCGTTACGTAGTTTCTCCAGGGTGGTAGTTTTGACTTCTTGGCTCTCTATGGTCATAGATCGACGGGAGGATGCGATAGAGTATATACCGGGGGTGGCGAGCATCGAGCCAAAGGACACGACGTCGTATCTCCAAGAAGCTGGCGAGACATCGGTCTGCCACCAGATAATCTTCAGGGCTTTCCAGGATGCGCGGGGTGCGGATTTCGTGGTGGCAAACACGGTCCAGGAGCTCGAGGCTGAGACGATCTCGGCTCTGCAGGCCCAGATGTCATACTACGCAATTGGGCCCATCTTCCCACCAGGGTTCGTCAGGAGTGCGGTCGGGACGAGCCTGTGGTCCGAGTCGGACTGCAGCCACTGGCTCGACGCCAGGAAACCCGGTTCGGTCCTCTACGTGTCGTTCGGGAGCTACGCACACGTTGAGAAAACCGACCTCGTGGAGATAGCACGCGGGCTCGCGCTGAGCGGGGTGAGTTTCGTGTGGGTGCTTCGGGATGATATCGTGAGCTCGGACGATCCGAACCCTTTGCCCGTAGGGTTCAGGGAGGAGGTCTCTGACCGTTCGATGATCGTAGGTTGGTGCAGCCAGAAGGAAGTATTGGCGCATCCGGCGATCGGAGGGCTCCTGACGCATTGCGGGTGGAATTCGATACTGGAGGCTGCGTGGTGCGGAGTGCCGTTGTTGTGCTTCCCGTTGTACACGGATCAGTTCACGAACCGTAAATTGGTGGTGGACGATTGGAAGGTTGGGATTAACCTGGTTGATTGTAAAGCTGTCAGGAAAGAGGACGTGGCTAAGAATATCGGTCGTCTGATGGGTGGAGAATTGGGAGATGATCCGAGAAAAAGAGCTAAGGAAGTGAAGAAAATTCTGGCAAGTGCACTCGGGAACAATGGATCGTCTAGCCGTAATTTCGGACAATTCGTCGAGGAACTTAAGAACAGAATCCAAACTATAGGTGAACGGAGAAGTTAATAAATTCGTAATCGTCATTGTTTTCCTTGTAACAAATTATCAATTCTTGTTAGATGGTTGTGACTTGTGGGGAGAAGCTTGGTGGATGGGAACATTTGTAAGGATGCATAAATTAGATCACACGTTAAGATGTTTGGATAGAAAGGCCTCCAAAATAGGAGGTTGTACTTGTACATGCCAATCTTGTCTTGGCATAGTATGACACAGAAAATGTAAGCCATTGTTTAACGACATTTTTCAATGCACATAATATTATTTGTCATTTACCTTTATGGGTCGTTTGGATGGACCAAAGTGATAAGTCAATGTGCTCCAATTGACTCAAAATGAGACAATTGGGCCAAATTATCCCGTTTGGCTGCAAAAAGTAAGAATGAGGCAATTGGACATGAGATAATTGAAATTGCTTCATTATGGGTCAATCAGAGTTACTTGGGTGGGAGGGAGGTAATCTACATTACTTCATTTTGTGGGTTACTTTTCCCAATCTAACCCCTTTATTTACTATTTTTTTTCTTTCTTCCTTTTCCCAAGATGGAGAAGGGCAAAAGTATGAGGGCAAATATGTATTTTCAAAAAATGCATCATAACAATTGTCTCATGCCAAATCACAAGCCAAACAAGACAATTATGCAAACATTTTCTCTATTATGGGGTCGTTTGGATGGATCAATTGTAAAACGAGACAATTTGACCAATTGTTTCATTTTACAAAATGAGTCATTTAAAACGAGTCAATTCAGATTACCTGCCCCCACCCCAGACAATTGTAATTGGCTCAAAATGAGTCAATTCAGAATTCCCCAGCCCAAATTGCTTCATCAAAATTTTATGCTGCCAAACGGATCAATCTAGCACAATTGACTCAAAACGAGACAATTGTGTCAGATTGATCCATTAGAATTCCTCATCCAAACGACCCCCTAGCTCATTTTCTAAAATGAGACTTTTGTCCCAAATTATCTCATTTTGAGAATGTTCCATCCAAACGATCTCGTTGTTTGTTTCACATGTCATTGTTCGTTTCAGGTATCAATTATGATGTAAATAGCACAATCCATTTAGTGTCACGTCAAGCTGTGATGGTGACAAAAATTACTTGTAGCTAGTACTCTCAGGGTACATGTCATCACGTGAGAAAAGCACTATCTACATGAGGAATTAGGTACAATCTGGTCAGCCGCCTAATTTCTTTGTGTAATTAGGTTGAATAACTACGTTAATTGCACTGAACCTTCCACCGCACGTAATGAGCATACTAAGAGAAGCAAGCACCAAAGACACAAGGCAGGGGAAGAAATAAATTTATGTTTTTACTTTCATTTAAAGCAACAAAAATTGCCAACATTTAACAACAGAGATCAGTTCCTCCTTTTCATCTGGAACTGCTGCTCTTATCACCATGCTCAAACCTGCAAAACTTTAGTACCGAAGCATTTTTACCCACGCGCAAATGGAGCACGAGGAACACTAAAACCCGGTACACGATCACCATGATGAGCAAAACCAACAAGTTCTCCCATTTGGCGTTGTTGTCGAGAGAGATGTCGTATGCGCTTCTGATAGCTTGGTACCCCGAAATGCTTCTCACCTGGCCTACAGCGAACGTAGTCACCAGGTACTCGTTCTCCAAAAGTCCCTGAATGGAGTACGTATGGAAAGCGAGGTATGACACGGGATATGTCCAGAACGGGCCAGGCAAGGCGTTTCGGATTCTGAAGTATCCTGCTGAGAGCATCATCACCACCTGAAAAAGGTTTTACCAGACCGTGACTTAGGGCTACATTTTATTATGAGCATAATAATATCTCCCTGTTGATATTGGCTCACTTACGTGAATGGACACCAATGTGAGGACACTCCAGAAGAGATGTTGCCAGAGGGAAACAACGAGAAGCATCAGTCCTTCATTCACTAAGAGGCACATGAAGAAGTTGAGGACGAAGTACATTAACAAGCTGAACTCATCTCGTAACCCGATTAGGAAGTAGAATACTAGGCTTGATGAGATGGAGACTAGGAATAGGAAGGGTATGCTGGAGAGGAACTGGCCAAGTAAAAAGACTAGCGCCCCTGAATGCATGTTCGATTCTTCACTTGCATATACCTGCAGCAGGGTAATTGCAGGCAATTCAACTAAGATGTCTGGGACATTGTTATCTAGAGAAGCTTAAAGAGAACCATAAAGATTTTGAAAAAAGAAAGTTGCTTACCTTGACTTCTTTCAGAAGTGAAGGTACTCCAGCAATGCTAAGAAGTGAAGTAAATGAGACAAACACAAATACAGCAGCAACTCTTGTCTGCAAGATTAGAACAAACACCATGCACATGTTTCTCGTTATTATAAATTAATTTCTTGATTCTCATTGTCATTGTTGATGTCAGATGGAGAAATGTCGGTTTGTTTTCAAGAGACTCACCACGACTGAGGAAAGAGAATGGCCCAAGCCTGAGAATACAGTACCGATACAGACTGTAAGTCCCATATAGAGAATAAGGCGAAGCCAATAGTAATTCCATTCTCTTGACATAATGAGCAAAGATCTCCAAGTCAGCACGGCAATTCTTGTCCCAAAGCCAGCTCTTCCCTTGGTTTTGAGCAGTGGACCTTCCTGAAGGAGCAGTCAAGACTGAATCAATGAGTTGATAAAGAAAATACACAAAAAAAGGTTACTTATTGAAGAAGTTCATGCAGGTTTGATTGCAAAATATGACTAAGCATAGTATCAAGGTTATTTCAATAACAAGTGGGGGTGTAGCTCATATGGTAGAGCGCTCGCTTCGCATGCGAGAGGCACGGGGTTCGATTCCCCGCACCTCCAGTTTTTAACTTTTTTCGAAAACATCTCATGTTAGCAGCTAGAGAAAATATCTGATCAATGCCAATCATACATTACCCTTTCAGTGAGTCTCACGATCATATTTTCAACAGCAGCAGCATCTGCCGATTGTTTATAGGTTGCTTCCAGGGTGCGTATTGCAACAGCAGTATCCATATTCACTGATGAAAAATCGCCATGGTCATCCTGCCACCGTATTTTCCCACACATTGCCAACATTAGAAACAGTTTTAGTAGGCTTGAGCCCCCCACAGATGAAGTAGATGTGCTAACATCATGTGATGCTACAAGTAACTTGAATGCCAAACCAATTAGCATTAACTACATTTCTTCATCTCTTTGGAATCGTCCCAATGCAAGGGTGCTGTAAGCATTAGAGGAAAGAATCATTTACCAAATCTTACCTGCCAGTTTTTGCACATAGCAATGATCCTGTCAAAATCCGTATTAATGGCACGCAAGAAGTGATCGGACGGACTTTGCATAATAGGGCAGGGAAATCCAGCATTTGAGAAGTGCTGCATCAACATGATAAATATCTGATCAATATATGAACCGGCGATGGGCTTAAATATGAGTGCAAGCTTTAATATGTACTATGACTTGAAGACATGCACAATGTGCAACCACAATGATAATATTTGCTGCTCACCGCTCATTAAAATACATATCCTAACAAAAATCAAAGATATTTTCACAGTCTCACCTGCAAGCAAGCCAATGTTTCCCCAAAGAATAATGTGTTTCCATTCGAAAGCAGGCAAATTCGATCAAAGAGACCAAACACCTCCGTGCTGCTTTGGTATAAAGTGAAAATAAGAGTGCATCCAGTGCTAGCAAGTTTCTTTAAGGTAACCATCATCAGAAGTGCAGAAACACTGACACAAGAAACCAACTCGTTCAGTACCTTGGAATCGACACGAAGCTGCCATGTAATACAATATTTTCTACTAACCTGTCCAAATGATAAAGGGGCTCATCTATGAACAACACATGGGGCCTCATGACAAGTTCTCTAGCAATATTCACACGCCTTCTCTCACCCCTCGGCAGTCCCTTCATAAAGCAGTGGCCTCCAATCAACTTATTTGCATAATCAGTCAGCGACATAGCATGGATGGCATCCTCGACCACATTCTTCTTCTGGCAGAAAAAGCCAGGAAGTTGAAGCAATGCAGAGTAGTAAAGAAACTCTCGCACAGTAAGTGCTCCAATTAGCGTAGTTTCTCTTTCGACAAAACCCTGTATATTGGGAGAAGAAATCATGAGTCCACTAGGAAAAAAACAATGCTACTACATTGCACCACCGAATAAGAAAAACTTACATAGGAGCCATAAGGCATGGGTGACTTGGTGCCATTCACGAACACTTCACCATACACTTTGGCCGAATGATGCAATCTTCCTGCAATGGCTCTTAGGAGAGTGGATTTGCCAGATCTAGCTGGCCCCATAATCACAGTCATTGTCCCTGGCAATGCCAACCCACTTGAGCTCTTGATGACCTTATCTGAATACTTCCTTTTCCCCTTGATTGTGACGGTCAAGTCTTTCCACACGACACAAGCACCTGCAATCTTTCTCACTGAAGAAGAAGCAGTATCTGGTATAGGTGGAGATGGCAGTGAGCCACTGTTGAGCTTGGAAAGAGATGGAGAAGCTGGAGTGGTGGCCATATTGATGGAGTCTTGATCAACTCCTTCCTCCATTCTAACGTCAGCATCAGTTTCCCATTCAGGTGAATCCTCAAATGAGATTGGTTGCCTAAGTGCACCGGGCTTCCTGAGATAGAAGAAGTTGCTTGAAGGTACCCTACTAGCTGGACTGCTTGCCGAGGATGAAGAAGACCTGTAGTTTTCTGATTGAGACTGTATCTCTTCCATCCTTATGAACTTCCTAATCAAGGTTTTCAATAGGGCAGAACAGCAGTCTACAATTCAAAGCGGCTAGAGCCTTAAACTGCTTCCCCTTGCTGCCAAGAAATGCACGGGATCAAACCATGGTCAAGGAATAATGAGCCTTCAGGGTTTGGAAAAAGGAAATGTGTCACAAGAACTGAACTAAATGGATAAAGGCAGAAACACAGAACCCCATATTCAATCAAACAAGAGCTAGAAACCCAAAAATGTCCCCTCACTTTGGTAATGAATAAAGAATCATTTACCAGAGATATGAACAGTGAAACCCAACCCCATTCTGTCATCCATTTCAATGGGAAAGCAACATCCTTCTCCCACTCAAACAACACTCTTTATGCTCTGCTTGGTAGCGAAGAAAATGGAAGAAAAGGCAGGGAATGTTTAGAGAGAAAAGAACACTAAAGATGAAGGCTTTATGAGCATTGCAATCTATCCCTTACTCCAACTATCCAGAAACTCCATTAATTTTGACTTACTAGTTATTTACTGAAGAACCCAACAGCAACAAGTCCACCCAGCTTGACACTTTAGCTCATTTCCCTATCAAAGTACTAACCTTTACCACCATCTCAATTGGGGGAAAGAACACGGAACATTAGGAGTACTAAAACAGACTGGAAAACAGAATAAGAACAAAGAACATTGAAGTCGGCAAAAAGAAGACAAAAGTTACTAAAGAGGCAAACCTGGATCTGAGTAAGGAAGCTGAAGACGAAAGGAAAGACTAAGCAACAGAGCGAGAGATAGATGGAGAGAGAGAGAGAGCCGACGGTGGAAGAAGTGAGAGTGCGAAGAGAAACCAAGAGAAAGAGCCAAAAGGTGATTAATGCCTAGTGAGTAATGACTTCAGGCTTTTTAATAAGCTCTCTCTCACAGTGGGAACTTTGGAAACTAGTACTGGAACTGGAAGCTTGGAAGTCTTCCCGGGTTGAGCTTGGCCCGACTCGCTAGCCCGAACCCGGATCCGGGGATCGACATCTGCTTTTGATTTGCTTTTCTTTTCCTTTTTCTTTTTCATTTCCTGGGTTTTGCTTTCCTTGCTAGATTTTGGCAAGCCATCCCCCTCAAGTACCTCAACTCACTGCTGTCTCCTCAGGACAGTCATAAACTTTGCTTCTTTTGTTTTCTACTCCTCCTTTGGCATGTTTCTCTGTTTGTCCTGCTTCCTTTTTAGATTTATCATTTTATACACTGTTCTTTGTATGTTAATGGCGGGTGTTTACTATGATTCGAAGGGAATGAACGAATTTGGTTTCCAAAATGATGATTTGGTATTGCTAATTATGAGGAAGGAATCTAGTGATTTGAGCAATGAAGGAAATATCAGTCGAGATCACACTACTGCTTTAAATGATTATCCACCCACTCATCAGTCATCACAATCAAATTGGTTAATAACTTGTTCTTTTGTGGTATATATGAACAATTCGAACGATTTAGTCTATTTACAACAATTTGTGAATAAATTGTAATAAGAAAAAAACACAATGGTTATGCTCTACACGAGCTATGCAAGACAACAATGGAAGAGCGGGCAGAGTTATCTATTTCAAACTTAGCGACAAGCCGTTATTAAGACTATATACATAGTATATAAACTAGTTTAGCTTGTCTAGTGATCCTATGCTTGAAATCTATTGTATACGTCTAACCAACAAGTCGGTGTGCACATTTCCTAGATAATTAGCAAATATCCGTTACTCACTAACTCTTCTCATTTTAAACGTTACATCAAACTTGAGCCATCAAAGATATCATTCCAAACAACAACACGAACAAATTCCTTTCAGGTCATCAACCTTTGTGACTTCACACCAAAGTCCAAACACATAAGCTGAACTCTTCCCTTCCAAAACGGCAAAACCCGGCTCTCCTTCAACGTTCCAAATTCCACCAATTAACCTTTTTTCTCGACATTACTTGCTAGGTTCACTTTCACTGACATTGTTTGATGGTTAAGTTAGCTATTAGTGGAGTGTGCTCAAAAGGATTATCAAAGTTAGCTATTGGAGATTAAACTAATAAGTCAACTGATATAATTGGATCGGGCCACTAATCATTCCCCATAATGGGCCGACACAGACAGCAGAATAGCATGCCACATATGCTGCAAATGATTTCCCTTGTTGTTTAAGGTAAAATCTATATCTTAAGAGTAATGTCGAGGCATGGAGACACTGTTGTTTCATGGATAACTCATAACCGTTATAATATGATGATGATTCATCATTCCTTGTATCTTTTTACAAATGTTGAAGAAGATGGTAGATTGGATCATATGAACATAATGGGAAGAATATATGTTGTCCCTTCAGTTCCCATAAACAAGCAATTAGAAGAAGGGCTTCTTTGCTTTAAGCTTCCCCCCCCCCCCCCCCCTTTCCATACTTATTTGAAACATTCCTTAACGTTATTAGGCTTCAAAGCCAATCAAAAGTTCCCACACTCCTTTGATTTGAATGTATCTCATGTCTCATTACCACTCAACCACAACAATGCATGATTAAGATGGGATCTAGTATTGTATTTAGGGGTGCCAGTTCGGGTCGGGTTCGGTTACCCGAACCGAAACCCGAAAAAACTCGAAAACCCGAAATCGAAAACCACTAAAACCGAACCCAAACCCGATAAGGACTTGTGGGTTCCGGTTACCCTAAACCCAAAAATTCCTTATCGGGTTCGGGTTCGGTTAAAGCAAAACCGAAACCCGAAAACCCGAACGCCTAAGAATACGGGTTCAGTTCTATTCATTGGAGGTTTTTAGACGGAACCCGAAAAACCGATAAGCAAAACCGAACCGAAACCGAAAAAAACCCAAAACCCGAAACAAACTCGAACCCAAAAAACCGAAAATGTATATAATCGGGTCGGTTTCGGGTAAACCCGAAAAATCGAACCCGAATGGACACCCCTAATTGTATTCAATTCAATAAAATGCAAGTAAGTGTATGCTGCAATTACTCATTTAGGGGCATGATGAATAATACAATAACAATTGTTGGGAATTGTTAAACCAGAGGGGTTGGAAGATATGACATTTTATCAAGTGAAAGTTAAACTCATAACTAGCTACCACACTACTGGGAAACAAAGCAAAGGGGTTTGTTCGGCCACAAATAGGTTACTCTATTATCCCAATCAAGTGCAAATAAAATGACAAACAAGTCATTTGAAATAAAGTTGTCATTAACCTGCGAATCTCTTTCAAGATGCCACCTCGATTGACCTTTGTCTCGACAAATGCCCCAATTAACCTTGTCAATCACCACATTATCCCCCCCCCCCCCCCCCCCCCCCCCCCCCCCCAATCATATAGGATGTTGCATGCACCATTTATGGCGGATTATGCTAAACAAATTCTCATTCTCATTTACATTCGTAAACGGTAAACCAATGTCACTCATCACCATGCCCAAATGAGTGACATTTTTTTTATCGGCTTCCGCGTTGTTTTTGAATACTCGTTGATAACATGTAATCATAAACTAATCATTAAAAGTACGAGAAACATACGAAAATTAAATTATAAGGAGAAATTACCGTTATTAAAAGGGTCATAAACGTGTTGTTGGAATTCGAAAAATGAAATGAATGCGTTTAGGGTTACGTTATTTTTAAATTATAGTGTAAGATGGAGGAGAGAATGAATTGACAGTAGATAATATATGAATTACATGTGAGACGATTATGAATATGGAACTGTGAACATCTAAATCCATCCCCCAATCCAATCCTACTCCAAAATTTCATCATTGATATTACTCATACACGCCACATATCCAATCATCACCAGAATTCTCCTCATTGACAAATTGAGACCAAGATTGTGGTCGAAGAATTGCATCTTATTCCAAAGTTGTAAACACCATAGGATTAGGGGTGGCTATACGGTCCAGTCCGATTAAATTGGCCCAACTTGATCCAGTCCAGTCCAGTCTTTTTGAAAATATAAGGACCAAAGATTGAATTGGATACAGTTCGGTCTTGATCCGATCCGGTCTTGACCCGGTCCGGTTCCAATTCGGTCTTGATTTTATATTGAGGTTGTGGGGATTTGAGTGAACTAAGGCCTGAACGGGTGAGGGGTTGATTAAGTTTTGTACTATGTGCAAAGGTTTGTGACCGTTTATGCAAATTACCCTTAAGTTTTGGGTGTTGAGCTCTCTTATCCGGTCTTTATCCAGTTTTCAATCCGATCCCAAACGATTTTTTACCTCAAATCTAAGCCCAAAGATTGGATTGAATTGTTCACTAACCGGTCCCGGTCCGGATTATACGATCCGATGTCGGATAAAACCAAAAAACCCGGACCAAATAGCCAACCCTACATGGATGTCATCATTGGCATGAGGTAGGGACTAGGGAGTAGGGACTACAGACACCATTCATGGGCATTATTGAAGACCAATTGCCATCCTTGCAACGCCTGCCTATTAAATATTAATAGAAAGGGCATCCAGCCCAACAGAGTTTCTAAAAAAGACTCGGGCCGAAAATCCACCAAAGAATAAAAAGGCCCAGCGCAGATGTAAATACTCGCCAGCCCGCATAAACCGATAGAAAGAGAATCCCGATTCCTAATGAAATTTGGCATTCCAAGATACGAACGAACTTCACATATTTCCGAGTCGGAAATAGCTCCCAACAATTCCTGTAGCAAAACAGACCCCGTCCTCTCTTGATAAATACAAGCAAGACTTTCTCTCTCCTCGCCTCTCTCTATTTATAAATCTACCACCACAGCGACCTCAATCCAGAACTCTCCCTCACTCCGTCCATTATTATTCCTTCCTTCACTCAAGCTGTTTACTTTACTGACGAACTCTCCCCAAAAAGATAACAATGGCGGACAAGCCCGAATCTTCCGATGCGTAAGTTCTCTTTGCTCGCCGCCACTGTTCTTACTTTTATGATCGCTTCCCTCTCCCCAACGGTTCTGCTGGCGGTGGCCGCTCAATTCCATCAATCGCTGATTATAATACGTTGGTTTTGCCAGGAAATCGGGGAAGAAGGACTTCTCCACCGCGATTTTGGAGAGGAAGAAGTCGCCGAACCGTCTGGTTGTTGACGAGGCCGTCAACGATGATAACTCCGTCGTCGCGATGCACCCTGATACCATGGAGAAGCTCCAGCTCTTCCGCGGCGATACTATTCTCATCAAGGTTTGTTTTTTTTTTCTTTTTCGGTTCCTTACTTTATGGGTGTTGTATTGATGCTCAGGGGACGGAGGGTTTGGTTATGGTCAGTGGATGCTCTTGTTTATTGCGGTGGTGATGGCCGCTCAGAGTTTTTGGTTCTAGGGTTTGCTGTGGATTTTTATTTGCTGGACTTGGTTTTGTCTAGTTGTGTGTCTATTAGTTGCTCCTGTGAGTTGTCAAGTTGCTTTTAGTGATCTGATTATGTCGGCTAGAAGGAGACTTGATCACAAGTTTCTCGATTTCAAGCATTCTCTTTAAGAAAATGCCTTCTGGAGGCTGGAATATCTCTGTTGAATGTTGTTTCCGTCATCATTCCTTTGGGCTTGTGCTAGGTGATTGTTGTTATGTGTTCTGACTATAATTTGGTGGACAGGGCAAGAAAAGGAAGGATACTATCTGCATTGCTCTTGCTGATGAGACTTGTGAGCAGCCAAAGATTAGAATGAACAAGGTTGTTAGGTCTAACTTGAGGGTGCGACTTGGAGATGTTGTTTCTGTGCACCAATGCCCTGATGTTAAATACGGAAAGCGTGTTCACATACTTCCAATTGATGACACAATTGAAGGAGTCACTGGAAACCTTTTTGATGCATATCTGAAGCGTGAGTTTCTATAAGTTTCCTTCTTCAATTTGCCTCCTTTCCTTTGACACTTCGAATTCTGACATTGTTTTTTCGCGGCAGCTTATTTCCTGGAGGCTTATCGTCCCGTGAGGAAGGGAGATCTCTTCCTTGTTAGAGGTGGCATGAGAAGCGTAGAATTCAAGGTCATTGAAACTGATCCAGGGGAGTATTGTGTGGTTGCCCCGGATACTGAGATTTTCTGTGAGGGGGAGCCAGTGAGAAGGGAGGACGAGGATAGGTTAGATGAGATTGGTTATGATGATGTTGGTGGGGTCAGAAAGCAGATGGCCCAGATCCGTGAGTTGGTTGAGCTGCCCTTAAGACACCCTCAGCTCTTCAAATCTATTGGTGTTAAGCCACCAAAGGGTATTCTGCTGTATGGTCCTCCTGGTTCTGGAAAGACATTGATAGCCAGAGCTGTGGCTAATGAAACTGGTGCATTCTTCTTCTGCATCAATGGACCTGAAATCATGTCGAAGTTGGCCGGGGAGAGTGAAAGTAATCTGAGGAAGGCTTTTGAAGAGGCTGAGAAAAATGCCCCTTCTATCATCTTCATTGATGAGATTGACTCCATTGCCCCCAAGAGGGAGAAGACACACGGTGAAGTTGAAAGGCGTATTGTCTCACAACTCCTGACTCTCATGGATGGACTTAAATCTCGTGCCCATGTGATTGTGATGGGTGCTACCAATCGTCCAAACAGCATTGACCCAGCTCTCAGAAGGTTCGGACGATTTGACAGGGAGATAGATATTGGTGTCCCTGATGAGGTTGGACGTCTCGAGGTTCTTCGCATCCACACAAAGAATATGAAGCTATCTGATGATGTATGTTCCTGGCTCTTTATATCTTCTATTATATTATTACGTCACTTCTTTCTGGATGGCCCTTTTGCTCTGATCCCAGCAGGACTTCAATATGATTTATGCTAATTGCCTACTACATTGAAATGATTTGCAGGTCGATCTGGAAAAGATTGGAAAAGATACCCATGGATATGTTGGTGCTGACCTTGCTGCTTTATGCACTGAAGCTGCACTTCAGTGCATCAGGGAGAAAATGGATGTTATTGATCTGGAGGATGACACCATTGATGCTGAGATACTGAATTCGATGGCTGTTAGCAATGAGCACTTCCAAACTGCTCTGGGAACCAGCAATCCCTCTGCTTTGCGAGAAACGGTGAGTCTTATTGAACCGATTTTGTGGATGCTATTTAATCCAAGTATACACATTTGCTTACTTTTCCCCGTAACAGGTGGTTGAAGTACCAAACTGTAGCTGGGAGGACATTGGTGGGCTTGAGAATGTTAAGCGAGAACTTCAAGAGGTATTGTTCTCACCTTTCAAGTTGCATCGACCTCTTCTTTAACTACCTACTTATTACTGGACTGCTTTAGTTGATACTGATCTCTATATCTCCTTTGTGGTGTGCTTCTGCTTGACAGACTGTTCAATATCCTGTGGAACATCCCGAGAAGTTTGAGAAATTTGGCATGTCACCGTCAAAGGGAGTTCTGTTCTATGGCCCTCCGGGTTGTGGGAAGACTTTGTTGGCTAAGGCAATTGCGAATGAGTGCCAAGCAAACTTCATCAGTGTCAAGGGCCCTGAGCTCTTGACGATGTGGTTTGGTGAGAGTGAAGCTAATGTCAGGGAAATCTTCGACAAGGCCAGACAGTCTGCACCATGTGTCCTTTTCTTTGATGAGCTCGACTCCATTGCAACTCAGGTACAGTTTCTTTGACCCCTAACGTGGCTTTTTCTGTTGGACCTTAATTGTGTCATGTGGGTTCTAAATCTCATTTGGAATTGTGTACCATTGCAGAGAGGAGGCAGTGGTGGTGATGCAGGTGGTGCTGCTGATCGTGTTCTGAACCAACTTCTCACTGAAATGGACGGCATGTCAGCAAAGAAGACTGTCTTCATAATTGGCGCCACGAACAGGCCCGACATCATCGATTCGGCACTCCTCAGGCCCGGACGTCTTGACCAGTTGATCTACATCCCTCTTCCTGATGAGGACTCACGTCATCAGATTTTCAAAGCATGCTTGAGGAAATCACCAATCTCGAAGGATGTTGACTTGAGGGCATTGGCCAAGTACACTCAAGGCTTCAGTGGTGCTGACATCACCGAGATATGCCAGCGAGCTTGCAAGTATGCCATCAGGGAGAACATTGAGAAGGTATTACTTAATGGAGCCCCAACTTTGTCTTAAATGTCTTACCCCGTCCGGATTAAAACCGCATTATATAGCAATTTCACATCTGCCCTAATTCTGAATCTCAATTTTGTGTCTGGTGTTTGCGGATGATAGGATATTGAGAGGGAGAGGAGGAGGAAGGACAATCCTGAGGCGATGGACGAGGACGTCGATGATGAGGTGGCAGAGATTAAGGCAGCACACTTTGAGGAGTCGATGAAGTATGCACGTCGCAGTGTGAGCGATGCAGATATCAGGAAGTACCAGGCGTTTGCTCAGACATTGCAGCAGTCAAGGGGCTTTGGATCAGAGTTTAGGTTCTCGGAAACCTCAGCCGGAGGTGGTCCAACAGCAGCATCTGATCCGTTCTCAGCCCCAGCTGGTGGAGCTGATGACGATGACTTGTATAGTTAAGTGAGAAAGAAAGGATAGTAATCCGCCAACCAAGAGATCGTAGCAGTGGAAATGCTCTCTCTGGTTCTGGTAGAGAAAACAGTTCTTTTGTGTCCTTTTATGGTTTGTTTGTTGAGAGGCCGTTGTGTACTATCTGGGTTAGTGGGCTAGCGCGAACATTTGACATCTGCGTTGCTGTGTTAATGTTCTGCACTGTTTTTATTTAAGATAAGGTTATAACTTATAAACGTGTTATCAGCTATGTTAATCAGTTTCACTGCTTTTCTCTGTGTATATCACTCGATGTTTCGGCCATAGCTGCAGGTTGTCACGCATAAAAGTTGAAGAAATCCCTGTTGAGGGTTTGATCCTCAACTGTATGCCAAGATTTGTCAGATAGTAATCTAACAGAGCTTGCGTTTGGCAACGTCCAATTTGCCTCTGTCATTAGCAGCACTAAGAAAAAATAATTCCCAGAACCTTAGCTCCTTTTTCCATTTGCACAGCAACAGAAGGATGGATCTCTTATCAGGTGAATTAACGAACTTTACTTCCTACAACCTAGTCATGAACTGGAAATGAATAAATGAAGAAGCTACAGAACATGCGAAAACAAGCCGAGGAAGAAAAACTTTGATCTAGAATTCCACAAGCAGTGCAATTGCGACTGATGTGTAATTGGGGTGCAGCAAACACTCTCAAGGGTGGCCGTGGTGGCTGATGAAGTTGGGAGTTTCTTCAATGGCAGTTAGAGCCAAGTAGGGGAAGGTAGTTGACATATCTGGAAGGAGCAGAGGTGTGTCTAAACCCTTTCGGCATGCAGTCCTTCACTTCCTTCCCTCCAAACACCACAACTTGCCCTTCTCTGCCGCCGTGATTCCTCTTAAGCTCCACATATCCCTTCTCTTTCGCCGACGAATCGTGATAGGGAGGAACATCATTCACCATGGTGCTAGGAACACTTGATGGTGGCTGCCGGATGCCACGACCGCCCTCGATCCTCCCCATCATCGCCATGCATATGATCACCATCACCAGCAATGTTGCTTCAAACCTCAAAACCCTGCTGCAGCTGCAACAACACTTCTTCATATCTTTGGAGGAGGAGAAGGGTCAGAAACCTTGGGAGGGTTTTGAAGGATTATGATTGATGGTGGTGATGAATGACGATGATGATGAGTTTGTAGAGACCAGGTAGCTCCCTATAAATAGGATCCTCGTGACATAAAGCAATATAGAGATAGAGAGAGATATAGAAAAGAGAGACATGAATGAAAATGAATACAGGTGGTGGAGTTTGATCTGCAACCAGCTACTGGTATTGCAATATATTTGTTTCCCGGCCACCATTAAAATTTAAATGTGTGTGTTGGTATTCTGGGCTGTTGGCTTGTGCTTTGAAATTGAGTGACAGAGGGGGAAGAAATTAAAGGTGGGGGATTGCCCGTGAGCTCTCGTTATTGCACCTCCACAGTCCTCTTCCAACCCCAACTAGCCACAGCTGCTACAAAAATCTACCCTGCCTGCCAGCATCTATCTTCTTTTATTACCTTCTTATAACTTCTGCATTCCATCACTTTCAAGTTTCGACAATATCTTCTTCCCGCCAAAATTTCACTGCCCTGTAGGATTCTACAACAACTGGATTTCTTGCTACAATCAAACCTTAATCCATGTTAGACAGCTCTTTGATTTGGGTGAGTACTCTCACCCAACTCTTCAAGTTTGCCCTAATCATATGAAATGCTAGTGTTACACATCAAACTAGCAATCGACATGTTAATTATGGATAACATTCATGAGCAGACAGATAATTTTAACTGCTCGTGAAGTTTTGTAATATTCTCTATCTTCTGAGCTACTTCATACAAGGGCGGATCTAGGTTGGGGATAGGTTTGTCCATTGACAAACCTTGGTCCGGTTGCACTACAAAAATTCCTTAGTAATGGAAGAATTTGAACTTAAAATTGTTTGACAATCCTTAATAATTTTGTTTTATCGTTGATACTCTTGATCTAATTTCTGGGTCCGCCACTGACTTCATAGGTGCATAGAGCTTACCTCCTAACTGTGTAGAGCATGATTTCATATCTAAATTTGTGTATATATTCTCATTGATCTAATCAAAGTAAATCAAGCTTTCTCACTCTTAATTCTCTCTTACTAACTCGAGAAAACAAGAAAAGGCGAGTGGCATTGACGTTTCGATGGATTCGTTAACACAATCATACTATCAATTATATCGATCGAATATCAATTTCAGCGTAATTCCAACAGTTTGTTGAGTTTTCGAGATATTCGAATACTCATTTCACGATGCTTAAGTTCAATGTTGGTGGAGATCTGGATTGAGGAAATTAAACCGCCATCCCATTAGTTGAACCTGCTTTAGCTTTACTTCATTCATGGCTTCTGCACTGAATCAAAAAAAGCTGACCAGCCAAAGGCCCAGCTGGCCAGCAATTTCAATCCGCGGGATCGGTGCGTGTTTAATGCAAAAAGCGTCACAGTTTTTGGGCCAGCAAACGCGGCCCAACGCGGGACTCAACTGCTCTCATAGTGTTTTTGTTATTGCACGTGATGTCCATAAATTGGAATGCATAGATTTCCCAACGCATTCAAATGCAAGCCCCCTTTTACACATTTTGTATTATAAATGGGTGTGATACATTTAATTTTTATTGAAAATCAATTGAGTAGAAGTAGGGGTGGCTCTACGGTCCGGTCCGGTTAAATTGGACCAAATTGATCCGGTCCCAGTCCGGTTTTTTCGGGAATATAAGGACCAAAGTTTGGATTGGATACAGTCCGGTCTTGATCCGGTCAGGTCTTGACTCGGTCCGGTCCCAATTTTATCTTGATTTTAGGTGTTGGGGGTCTCTTATCCGGTCTTTATCCGGTTTTTTACCTCAAATCTAAGCCCGAATATGAGATTGCATTGTTTGCTATCCGGTTCCAGTCCGGTACTGGTCCGGGTTATATGGTCCGGTTTCGGGTAAAACCAAACAGTCCGAGACCAAATAGCCAGCCCTAAGTAGAAGTAATGTTTTAAAAGTCGTATCGACCGATCGAATAGAGAATAACGGATTCAAGATTGGTGTCCGAGTTTAGCAGTGTGAAACAGTTGAACCATGGTAAACCGCAATTTTACTACAAAAACCGCATCGCTAACTTTTTTTCGTACAATTTTTTACTAGAGTTAAATAAGGTAAACATTGGAGTTCCAAAGGAAATGAATGACCTCAACTAATCAAATAATCTCCACACTCTTTCTATAAATGTGAAAAATAACATCTCACTCTCTATAAAACAGCTCGTGAAATCGAAAGATTATAGTTCCATATCAGCGGTTGCTCGGATCTTACCTTTGTAACAACATTCACTTTATTAGTGCTAACTCCTAATGCAAATGTTATGGATTCAAATATCACTCACCTAGTCATTGGTATGATAAGCAAGAAGTAAAAGAAAACTGGTAATTGTTAACAATACCACTCGTGGGCAGGCAGGAGGGGCAGATGGATGTAAAACCTCCAACATAAGTCAACCATAAATGTGGATGCTTGTTTTTCTCTAACAAGGTCCATTCAATTTGAGGAACAACACATTTATTAAATACATGTTTTGGCCTTGTTGTCCCTTGTAGAGGCACTCTTGGTTGGGCTATAGTTCTTCTTTTTGTTGCAAATTTGGTAAGGTAAAATGAATCTGCCTTCAATTTTTTTGCCATAGAATTCACCATCCCAACCACCTCGCTGCCATCAACTTTTAGACAATTGATTTATCTTACTAATCTACTTTTTTTTTATAACATTAACCTACCGTTTAACTTGCCTTGTCTGTCGGTCCACCAAAAAAGAAAAAATGTATCACTTCTTATCATCATTGTTATGTGTCGGAAAAAAAGACGTTTTAGATGTCAGTTTCTTTCCGTCTTAATCGGAAAAGAAATTCTTCAATGCTCTCCAAGTACCACATCACTTTGCATATATGTCTCTCGAATCGACCACGTACCAATTACTGGACTAAATTAGTTAATATCATATTATTTCTATTTTGTCTCAGAGATACTTCTCCATCAGTTTCCTTATCAAGATGTTTACCCATTTCACTTTAGAGATATGAAATCTCTAAGCATAAAATTTAAGATAAAAAAGTAACAAAACGTTTTGCTGTGGCAATGCTGGAATTCGGTGAGATTGTGAAGGGCTCGCATGGAATAATGATAAACCTGGGGAAAACAGAACAAGATAAGCCCCGGCCCACGGGCTGCCTGCCTTTCTCGAGAGGAAGAGATGGTGGTTTCTGTTACTCAGTGATACCAAAGCAGCTTGTGTTAGAAGCTCTGCTCTTCAATGGAGCTCACCCTTGCTCTTCAATGGAGCTCACCCTTACACATTTATCATCATTTCCCGCCTTAACCAGAAGTAAGTCCTACTCCTACAGAAGAACTAACCGCATCCTTTTGTCTTTACTAGAGTAGTTGCCGACCAAGTACTGGAATGAGATTTCCACATTAATGTGAATCGCTACGGGGGAAAGCTCCCGCCTTTGTTATTGCTTGCAGTACTAGTTTAGATGTGGGTTTACTTCCGTTTGTTGCATCCACCCTGGGGTTTAAGGCTATTGTATCAGGCAGGGAAGGTGTTCGTCATAATGTCTAGCCGAACATTTTGATGAGTGTTGTTACTTGGATGCATGCGGTGGAGTTGTGTTCATTAATCTCGTGTGGTGTCTCCATTGAAAGCTCTGGTCGTCTTTGCTCTGTAACACGAGTTGGGTTGTTGCTTTGGTTCAACTCGGCTTGGTTAAGAGATGGATTTTATTCTAAACCAGAATGGAATAATGAACACTTTCATTCTTGTTGAAGTTTTGTTTTGAATAATTCATTCTTGCCACTTAATTACCATTGGGACTGGGAACTGATTCTCATGCTATATGTCCCAACTGTTATGCTAGTGTAGTTGGCACCATTGTGTATATATTAGTTTTACTTGCAACGAGCACCATCATGTTTGTGTTTGCCATGTTCTGGTTTTGATAGCATGGAGTGATCAGAAAAATGAAGCCTTTGAGTTGTATCTCAATTATGCTTTATGCTATGAACTGTTCAAACTTCTTACTTTTACAGTTGTGAAGCAAGTAGGGATTCCATGTCCAGAGTTTGGAATGCACAAGGTTTCCCCTCTGGTTACTCCTCAATTGACATGACTATACAGAATCTGAAGAGCAGAAGGCCATCCATAGTGCCCTGTGCTCTCGTGGAAACCGCTGCTTCTGTGGCAGTTGCTGCTGCTGTTGTAGGTGCAGCAGCTACCCTGCTTGTCAATAGAAATAAAGCCGCCTCTGAAGCAAATGAGGTAACCTGAAACATGAACATCGCTCATGGAATGCTCCAAGTTGCTCCATAAAGGGGTTTGGAATGCTCTAAATGGTGTAGTTGTGGAGCTGCAGATTCCATTGATAACATGTGAAGATTGTGGTGGTTCTGGGATATGTCCTGAATGCAAATGTGAAGGCTTTGTGCTGAAGAGACTGTCGGATGAAAGTGCCGATAAAGCAAGAAAGAGTGCCAAGAACATGGCCACTCGGTATACTGCAGGGTACAATCTTAAACCTTGTTTTGTGTTTTCACGCAACATTTGCCATATGTTGACAGATAGGCATCTGGACATATGCATTTCTGTTGATGTTTCGAAGTTGTAATCCATTGAAGTGAAAATGTTGCCAGGCTTCCAAAGAAATGGAGCTATTGCACCAAGTGCTCTTCTTCCCGATCCTGCACCACCTGTGAAGGCCGTGGCAAATTGAGCTACTAGCGTTTGTTCCTTCTGTTCGTCCATAATTAAGCATGTGTACAAAATGAGCTACCAGTTATTGTATCTTGTTGTGGAAAACATATCAAGATAGTTTCTTACTCGTAATGAAAATTTTCTGTCTCGGTTACCAAAATATTTGAGTGGTTGCCCGAGCTTAACTGAGCCAACTCAAATATAAAAGAGGAAATTGATTGAACTCGAGTATGTTGATGTCGCTTACACCTTTGGTTGCCCAACTTGTTGAAATCATTGTGTGTGTCGATCTCACTTTTAACTTTTATCAAAGGAGGAGATTTTGCTTAAATGGATCAAAGTGGCCGCTAAATCGTTGAAACATGTCCATTATCCTTCTCACCACCATGATCAACTCTCTATCATACCATGTGTAGACACCACATTTTGTCCGGGACAATCACTCTACCTTAGACTCAAATACGATAAATTAAATAGGATGCTTGGAAAGAATTGATTGAGATTGCAGTCGCAAGTCAATAAGTATGAATAGACAATGATTTCTAAGTTCGCTTTCATTTACTTATAATATCAATTTGGTCGAGACTAGCAGTGGCGAGTCAATAAGGACCAATTATTACCAAGTTCGCTCCTATTTGATCATAGAATTGTTTTATTTAGGATTGTTTTATTTGAGATGGACTGCAACAATTGCTCTTAGTTTCTCTTTAGAATGATTTAAGGGTTTGACGTTGGATTTAATGGGTAGAATTATAAAGGTTTGTCATTTTGGATTTAACAAGGTAAGGTTTGGTCGAGGTCATAGTTTGGTTTGGTTAATAATTGATAAAGCAGAATTAAATTGAATAGGTACAACATGCGAGCTTTATTAACAAAATGTTACATCGTACATTGATGAAATAAAAAATAATAACCAATATTAAATGGGCTCTTACACACAATGTCTCAAAGACACAAAAATAAAACAAAATAGAAATGGCCCCTAATCAAATGAAAACCCAATCAGGTATTGTCGCCCATCAGTTAGAGACCCGGTTCAGCAACCTGCAAAATGGAAGGAATTAGAATCAGATCCTAATCAAAACCCAACTCAGACCATTAATTTTCATTTTTCACCCATCCTTGATCGACACATCCCAAGAGGCAGCAGCCTTTTACCATAATCCCTAAGAAGATAAGTTCCTTCACCTTATCCATATCATATCCCAAGAGGCAGCAGCCTTCTACCACCGTCCTAGAGAAGTAGGGGAGGCCACCTCTTCAAAAGAACCACTCAGAAGTCAACATGCAGCAGCCTGCAACAAAAGAAAGCGGTTAAAATATAACAAACTCAGTTAAAATATAACCAAACTCAGGGACAGCAGAATTGGCAGCTGCATCTTCAAAATGTGGCAGGCAGCCACCTCCCTTGGAAACCAACCGAAAACTGCCACCAATCCTAAATGAACAGTAAAATACAGATATAAATAGAAGCTTTACCACAAAATGAAGAAGGGGAGGGACTTTTTGGAAAGGAGATAGGGAGAGTGATAAGGGAGACCCGTTATCAGAATAAAGCGAAGAGAAACACAGAAAATTAGAAAAACAAGAGCAGTTGATGCTCAAGAACAAAAGCAGAAACAATAAGTAGCAAAGCAGGAGGCAGGCAGGCGAAAGAAAACATGGATAGAAGCAGAGCAAGCGACCAAGATCAATCACAAAGAAGCAGTCCTTCATAAGTCCAGGTTGGTACTTCTTTCATAGTAATAAACACATCGGCAGAAATCACTTCAATCAAAAGAAATGAGAAAAGCTGTAACTTAAGATCATTTTACGTCACAAGCTATGTCTACCATGTTTACATCTATATTGAACATCAGCATAATTATTAGAATATCATATCAGAATCACCTACATATTTAATAGATTGAATATCATATATGAACCATCAGCATAGTTGTTAAAATCTTGCCCATCTCGACTATAGTATAAGATTTAACAGACTTGATAGATCCAAATATGCTATGTTTATCTTTGGAGTAGCCTGATCAAAACTACTTCCTAACTAGCAACGGGAAAATCAGATCCAACCATCTATATATTTAGTTATTAACCCGTTATTAGATCTGTCTTGGTTATGCTCTCTAATGGAAGCATGTAGATTGATATGTTTCCTTCCACGATCATGTTTTCATTCAACACATGTTTGCTTATGATGTTGTGATAATCTATGGTGCAAGTTATTAAGCATAGGTAAGTTTATCTAGATCTAACATAGTCAAACACCCCTTTTGAGAAAACCATTGCCGCGCCAAAAACCAGTACTCAAGCGTTTACCCCTAGATCCGATCCCAAACATAGAATAGAATTTCAATTTTGTTAATCCAAAGTCATGAGCAGTAGCTGTGACTTTAATTGATCAGAATTTGAAAAAGCCTCAAAGTCGTTTTTTTTAATACTAAAGAAAACATTTAATCTATTTCTGGATCGTAGCAGAATTGTAGAACTTAAGAAAACAAATGATTCTCGCTAGAGTATTCAAGAACTTCGTTAGATAATCCCCACTAGAAGTTTAAACCCAATCGAGTAACAAGAATAGGCTAACCTATGTCTCCTCTTTTGACCGGCGTTACCCCTACTGTCGGTAAATTCCGAGCCTTCCTTCACCGCCGAAGACCACTGCCAAATCCAAAAAAAAAAAAATCAAAAGCACAGGAAATATCGAGCCTAGGTCTAATAAAAAAAACAAATTGCATAGATCTATTCCTTCCCGTCGCCAGACTGTCGGGTCTCCTTCGCCGCCCATCTTCCCCCTCGATCAAACACCAGAGAGAACCCAAAAAACCAAAACGGAAGGTTAGAATCCTAGAATAGCTCTTAAACCGAAATCGATAAAAAGATAACATGCAAGGGTAGAAGTCGCTTACCGCCGACGTGAGGAACTTCCGGATCATCTTCGTTTTGGGTCTACAAAGGGGTTGCTGCTTGTCGTCGCTTTCCCGGGCTTCGCTCGAGTTTCATCAGAAGGAGAGGCTAGGTAGGGTAGGCAGATCGAGGAATAGAAGAAGAGAAGTCGTCCTTTCCATCTCCCTCGTCGATTTCGAAAGAAAAGGATAGGATTCTTCGATTTTTGACGGGTTTTCGTTTCTGGGCGAGAGAGGAGAGAACGAGAGGTTGAGGGCGGCCGATTTAGGTGTCTACAGTTGCCCCCCTTTGTATATCTCTTTGTATAAAGAGTTATACAAAGTTTCTATGAAAGACACCATTTTTCATAAGTAACTTTGGCGATGGTTGGGTCGGAGATTCCAAAATAAGTGATCTTAGAGTGGAGGAAGACCTGAGTTGTGTATGTGTGTGATGTCGAAACATAGAATTTGTAGTTCTTCGTAATATGAAAGGTAACTGCTATATTTTTCGAATACTTGTCAGTGTTAGTGTCGTGTTTTTTAGGCGCTCGCAAGCACCGATGCATTTTTCAAACGCTCATCAGCGTTGGTGTCATGTTTTTCGGGCGCTCGCCAGCACCAATGTATTTTTCAAACGCTCATCAGCGTTGGTGTCGTATTTTTCGGGCGCTCGCCAGCACCAATGTATTTTTCAAACGCTCATCAGCGTTGGTGTCGTATTTTTCGGGCGCTCGCCAGCACCAATGTATTTTTTAAACGCTCATCAGCGTTGGTGTCGTATTTTTCGGGCGCTCGCCAGCACCAATGTATTTTTCAAACGCTCATCAGCGTTGGTGTCGTATTTTTCGGGCGCTCGCCAGCACCAATGTATTTTTCGAACGCTCATCAGCGTTGGTGTCGTATTTTTCGGGCGCTCGCCAGCACCAATGTATCTTTCGAACGCTCATCAGCGTTGGTGTCGTATTTTTCGGGCGCTCGCCAGCACCAATGTATTTTTTTGAACGCTCATCAGCGTTGGTGTCGTATTTTTCGGGCGCTCTCCAGCACCAATGTATTTTTCGAACGCTCATCAGCGTTGGTGTCGTATTTTTCGGGCGCTCGCCAGCACCAATGTATTTTTCGAACGCTCATCAGCGTTGGTGTCGTATTTTTCGGGCGCTCGCCAGCACCAATGTATTTTTCGAACTCTCATCAGCGTTGGTGTCGTATTTTTCGGGCGCTCGCCAGCACCAATGTATTTTTCGAACGCTCATCAGCGTTGGTGTCGTATTTTTCGGGCGCTCGCCAGCACCAATGTATTTTTCGAACGCTCATCAGCGTTGGTGTCGTATTTTTCGGGCGCTCGCCAGCACCAATGTATTTTTTGTTATGGTATCTGTTTAGGACAAACCTAAACGGATGTTATGCATTGCCATAATGGTATGTGAAATGCACTTGGTAGACTTGAAGAAATTTTGTGTATGTAATTATTGTATGTAGTACGATTTGACAGGCATTTGAAATCTAGTTAAATGTATGAGTTTTTGGGAATTGTAGTTAATGAATGCATGATGCATTTTAATATGTGGTGTTATCTTTTAAGGAGTTTCAAAATGATTTTGAGAATGATTGTGTGATGTGTCATGCTAATGAAGTCATGAATACTTTGTAAAAAAAATAAATAAATAAAAAAAAAAAACAAAAAATGATATGATGCATTTGGCAACTGTTATGAGAATATGTCGTTTTGTTTGGTTTTTGTTTTGCGTTTTAACCCGGGGTTACTTTAAATTGCTCATCCTCCAGGAATCGTCATTTCCTTTTGATCGACTTAATCTTTGGTTCTCCTTATGTCGGAGAGACTTTCAGCTTGCTTTCTTGAAGCTTATCTTCGTGGTGGTATTGTATGAGGGTATACTGATGGTGTATATTGCTTCATTCTTCTTGTCGGTTACGCTTGGACCCACATGTTTTACAGTTGTGTATCTCTTGGTATGTGCGGTATGTTGGTATCTCCTCCTTTGGGTCATGAAGTTGAAAGATAGTAGGTTTGCTGGTTGGTTGAATGCTCTCTAATTCCTTGAGATTTCTTCATCAACTCATGAGTGAAAAGTTGATTTCCGATTCTTGGGTACTCAGACTTCCCCTTCTTCCATGCTGCGCCATTTTTGCCCCCGACGATCCGTTACTCACTTTCTATTCTCCGGAACAAAGAGTGACTATATCAATCTTGACTTAAGACGAAAGCAAAAATGTTTGAAAAACGTTTATTAGAGAATCAAAATTGAAAGCCATGTCAAGACTTTGGTTTCGAGAAGTGTGTGCAAACTCGAGAAAACCGTTTTTGTGTGGTAGTTGTCATATTGCCAAATTTGGTTTTCTAAGAGAAATATAAGCCAGGCCATGAGAATATCAGTAAGCCCTCGCTCTCACTCTTGCTTTCGATTTTGGTTGCTCTCACTCCTGCTTTGGATTTCACTCATCACTCATTCCTATAGGTGATTTGAGTGTACGACACTTCAGCTACCATTAAGATTCTGGTCGCCTTGAGACGTCGCCTATATGTTGTAACCAACTGTGTTCCTTGTGAAGATTTAACTCAAATATGGAACCCCTTGGCATGAATGATTTAGGAGGCCTCCATATGGCTTCGTCGCAGACATTTTTAGTCTCCCATGAAAGAGGCTTTTGTCCGATATGACCTCGAGGATACGAATCTCCTTGTTCTTGAAATGTAGTTTATTCAGATGGGTAACGAATGTATGAAATCTTGACATTATCGCTATAAAGCCTCTCGAAGATGGACTTTTGCTTTGCCCCCAAAGTATGGGATTGACTTGATGGATTAAGAACCACTTATTATCTGGATCATTTTGCTGACAAAGTCTTGTTCGAAAATACTGGTGGATTTTCTCAGAATGTATCTTCAACTGGATTTGCCCCCCAGTATTTTTCACTAGCCGAGGCTGTGATTTTCGTGAATGCAATCTGGCTTGGGACTTGTCGAGGTCCTTGTTTGGCCTCTAAATGTTGAATGTTGTGGATTTTCAGCTTCTGGCTTTCTCTCAAAATGATGAGTACTTTGGATGATGGGTTTTGGCTAGAACGACTTTCTTATCATCACAGTTTACCGTTTGAAGGTCCTTCTTGCCGTATCTTGAGATTGATCTGCTAAGACCCTGACTTGGTGCAGGTATTTGGTACTTCAAATGCTAAACCGGGGGCACCCAGATTGTAAGTCCCACGACATTTCGTTTGTTCTTCTTTTGTCTTTTTTTGCTTTGCTTTGCTTTTGTTTTGTTGTTTTTCTTTTTGCTTCTCGCTTTTTTTTTTTTTTTTTTTTTTGCGTGTGGGACTTACTTGACTCTGTCATGCCCCCGACTATGCTTTTTCTTTCTTAATCTGGAGCTTGTCTTTGGTGGGACGAGTATTGAAAGGATCGAGAGTCCACTTTGATGATTGATTGTGTGGGTGTCACTTCTCGTGAGCTAGGTTGAATTGGCTATTCGTTTTGTAGAAGTGAGGATTTTGATACCATGCGCTTGTTTGTATAGATGAGTGCTTCACTCGTGTGATTCTTGGGTTTTGATAAATGGGATCCCTGAACTTCCTGGTCTTCTTGTCACTAGACACTTGTGAGGGTTTTCTTGGTATGATGCTAATGTTTTGGCTCCCTATGCATCGGGATTGACCATTTGACTTCTTGTAAACTGAATGTCAATCCGTTGGCGAAATTCGACTATAGTGGTGTCGAGATTCTACAAGTAGCATGATGTCGTATACTCATTACACCTTTTTCCTATTAGCTCACATAATTTATGGACACCAGTAGGGTGTTTATCCCTTGATTTTAGCGAAACACGTACACTCTCAACGCAGTGGGTGCTCAAAATATTGACAATAGCTGGGTGTTTATAATCACTAAACACCAGTGGGGTGTCCCAAATCTCAGCACTAATGGGGTGCTCACATTTTCTTTGCATGAAAATCTCATGGCTTAGCTTGAAAATAAAACTGGATTTTGATGGCTTTCATTATTGAGAAAATAAATCCATTTTTAAAAAGAATCCGAAGTGGCATTTGTTATTTTGATAAAAAAAACGTTGATGCGAAATCTTAAATTAAGATCGATATTGTTCACACGATGCTCCAAAGAGGTCAAAACGTGAAAGACCTTTTATTCATGACGATGAAAGCAAAAGTGGTACATATTTTGTTATGGCAATAATCTCGATAGTTCATTTATTAGACTGGATCAACATCGTCCTTGAATCGAGCTTTGCCTTGTAGTTCATCCACTAATTCTCATGAGTTGGCAGTGGATTCTTGTTGACGCCTGGACGTTTTGGCTCTTCTTCGAACTTCAACCAACCAGCATTCATTACTTGTTGGACCTTGATCTTGAGCGATCTACAATTATCCGTTGAGTGTCCCGCGACTCCTGAGTGGTAAGCACAGTGTTGCTCCGACTTGTACCAATTTGGATAAGGAGGTTTCATAGGCTCACATGGTATAGGGGCAATTAAGTGATTTTGGCGCAATTGGGGAAATAGCTCGGTATATGTGATGGGGATAGGATCAATATGAACTTGTTTTCCATATCTTTTGAAACTATTTTGATCTTGGTCATTTGTTGGTGGGGGCGTGGGTAGCGGAGATTTGATTTCTAGTTGTGGGCTGATTATGCTATGAGGTTTCATCGATGTAGTAGTTGCAAAAGATGCACAAGCTTCATTCTTTTGAAAGTGGTGCTTCGAAGTTTTGCCTTTTGCTTCACCTTGAGTTGATTGCAATTCACATTTATTTCTTTTGCTTTGGATTGCCCTCTCAACCGCCTCATGATTATCTGACTTTCCTTGTCCAATGTCGATCATAGACTCTTCAAGCCTTTCCGATCTTCGCGTATTATCACATTTTGATTGTTCTGCATTATGCACATTCTTTGAGAGCAGGAATTGAGTTTTATCACTTGATGTTACTTTGTCGTGTGGTTGGTATAAAATTTCTTCGTCGAATGGCGCATCTCCACTTTTCGCTTCCATTGTCCTCTCAATTTTTGACAAAATCCTCAAAATTGTGCTAACATCCTCTTTCATTTCTTCAAGCCCAATTACTCTTCTCTTGATGTCATTTAAATCCTTCTGAAATGCTTCCATGATGACCTGAGCCTTGGATCATGTAGAGTACTAAGGATTTGACTTTTTCCTTGTGGAAGAGCAATTTTAAGAAAACCTGGACCGTCTTAATATTGTTAAATTATTTCGTTCTTTTTATGATGATTTATGCGTGATGCTTATGCAAAATGTTAATGATGTATGAATTCAAAATCATTTTTCGTTTTATGCATGCCTTTTTAATCTCCTTATGATATATTGTTAATGAGTGAATGAAAATCTTATGGGAGAATGATGTTTATGAATTTTGAAAATGTTTTTCATTCATGCAATCACACAGTTTTACGAGTAAAAGATAAAACGCATATCATTACGTCGTAAGTAAGCATACATTTAGATAGCAAACACATATAATCACATCGTTACCCTATTTAGGTAGACCTAAGGCTTTCGGGCGGCGTAACGACATGGTTTTAGGGTGGTATCGGGATAATTTTGGACGGGTTAGGGAGGCCTCTATGCTTACTATATGTTGGCAGGGGAATTCCTAGGGATTTGGTTCCCAAGTTGTATCCTGCTGTAGCCCTTTCGAACTAGCTAGATACCTCAAGATCATCCTCGGATCCGAGTTCAACTTGGTTAGAAAGTTTTGCGTGACGACCACTACTATGGAAGTCACGGTACTCCTTTCAATTTTCTAAAGGGATAGCTCGGGCGTAGAGCTTTTGTGCATGAATGCGAAATTTAAATTGCGAAAATATAATTGCGCAAATAAGTAGTAAACACCCAACATATAAGAGAAAGCGAGAAAACTTATCGAACTTAGTAAATGTAGCTCGACTCTCGAATGTCCCCAGCGGAGTCGCCAACTGTCGCAACCGTCCCGTCCGGGGGGGGGTCCGATAGTTGTCGTCGCGTCGGCGTTTTTGGGAGTCGCCATCAATCTTACTTGGAGTGGATCGAACACTCTTCAAATCGGCTCTAACCTTAGTGTCAGAACCGAGGCATGGTCTGCGAAAATAAAGTTCTGGGTTCGGGAGTACGGTTACGTGTGGGGAAGTTAAGCAACACCCCCACAACGCCCTAAATCGGTACTACTTAAGTCGATAAGTTTTTATGCGAGTTGGGTGTATTTTAGTAATAATTTTGTAATTTTAGGGGTCCCACTGGACCATTTAATGATTTTAATCGTATTAGCTGTAATTTAATTGTACGCCCACTGACGTAAAAGATAAAGTTAATTGGTTAGTTGGACTCGAACCTTACCGGTTGCCTACGTACCCGTTAGACGGGATCAAAGTCCACGTAGTTCATTTAGAACTTTGGTAATTTAATTGTAATCACGTTCCACTGATCGTGAATTTCGTATTATAATTTTGTTAATAAAAGTTCATTTAGATTATCATGAGGTTATGAAAAAAAATGCAAGTATTTTAGTTATTAGGAAGTATTGTGACGTATAAAAAAACGAGATAAACTTAATCCGCAATTCTACATTTCGTATTAAGGATTTTATAAGAATAAAATTAAACAAAATGATTAAGATAGTGCATGATGGGCCAGCAGCCCAAATGGCCAAAACGTCAGTCCTAAACGCCTGTTCGAGCGCAAGGACACGGGTTCGAAACCCTCTGGCGACAAATTTTTATAGATCCTTCGTTTTACTTCAGAGAAGGGGAAAGGGCAGTGTCGTAATTCCACAAAAGGACGGTGGCAGGGATGGTAATTCCTACGAAACCCTAGGGTCAATTCCGTCATTTAGACCCGAGAGGTATAAATTCATTTTTGCAGCCTCCTAACCCTAAATCGGCCGCCCTCAACCTCTCGTTCTCTCCTCTCTCGCCCAGAAACGAAAACCCGTCAAAAATCGAAGAATCCTATCCTTTTCTTTCGAAATCGACGAGGGAGATGGAAAGGACGACTTCTCTTCTTCTATTCCTCGATCTGCCTACCCTACCTAGCCTCTCCTTCTGATGAAACTCGAGCGAAGCCCGGGAAAGCGACGACAAGCAGCAACCCCTTTGTAGACCCAAAACGAAGATGATCCGGAAGTTCCTCACGTCGGCGGTAAGCGACTTCTACCCTTGCATGTTATCTTTTTATCGATTTCGGTTTAAGAGCTATTCTAGGATTCTAACCTTCCGTTTTGGTTTTTTGGGTTCTCTCTGGTGTTTGATCGAGGGGGAAGATGGGCGGCGAAGGAGACCCGACAGTCTGGCGACGGGAAGGAATAGATCTATGCAATTTGTTTTTTTTATTAGACCTAGGCTCGATATTTCCTGTGCTTTTGATTTTTTTTTTTTGGATTTGGCAGTGGTCTTCGGCGGTGAAGGAAGGCTCGGAATTTACCGGCAGTAGGGGTAACGCCGGTCAAAAGAGGAGACATAGGTAAGCCTATTCTTGTTACTCGATTGGGTTTAAACTTCTAGTGGGGATTATCTAACGAAGTTCTTGAATACTCTAGCGAGAATCATTTGTTTTCTTAAGTTCTACAATTCTGCTACGATCCAGAAATAGATTAAATGTTTTCTTTAGTATTAAAAAAAACGACTTTGAGGCTTTTTCAAATTCTGATCAATTAAAGTCACAGCTACTGCTCATGACTTTGGATTAACAAAATTGAAATTCTATTCTATGTTTGGGATCGGATCTAGGGGTAAACGCTTGAGTACTGGTTTTTGGCGCGGCAATGGTTTTCTCAAAAGGGGTGTTTGACTATGTTAGATCTAGATAAACTTACCTATGCTTAATAACTTGCACCATAGATTATCACAACATCATAAGCAAACATGTGTTGAATGAAAACATGATCGTGGAAGGAAACATATCAATCTACATGCTTCCATTAGAGAGCATAACCAAGACAGATCTAATAACGGGTTAATAACTAAATATATAGATGGTTGGATCTGATTTTCCCGTTGCTAGTTAGGAAGTAGTTTTGATCAGGCTACTCCAAAGATAAACATAGCATATTTGGATCTATCAAGTCTGTTAAATCTTATACTATAGTCGAGATGGGCAAGATTTTAACAACTATGCTGATGGTTCATATATGATATTCAATCTATTAAATATGTAGGTGATTCTGATATGATATTCTAATAATTATGCTGATGTTCAATATAGATGTAAACATGGTAGACATAGCTTGTGACGTAAAATGATCTTAAGTTACAGCTTTTCTCATTTCTTTTGATTGAAGTGATTTCTGCCGATGTGTTTATTACTATGAAAGAAGTACCAACCTGGACTTATGAAGGACTGCTTCTTTGTGATTGATCTTGGTCGCTTGCTCTGCTTCTATCCCTGTTTTCTTTCGCCTGCCTGCCTCCTGCTTTGCTACTTATTGTTTCTGCTTTTGTTCTTGAGCATCAACTGCTCTTGTTTTTCTAATTTTCTGTGTTTCTCTTTGCTTTATTCTGATAACGGGTCTCCCTTATCACTCTCCCTATCTCCTTTCCAAAAAGTCCCTCCCCTTCTTCATTTTGTGGTAAAGCTTCTATTTATATCTGTCGCAACCGTCCCGTCCGGGGGGGGTCCGATAGTTGTCGTCGCGTCGGCGTTTTTGGGAGTCGCCATCGATCTTACTTGGAGTGGATCGAACACTCTTCAAATCGGCTCTAACCTTAGTGTCAGAACCGAGGCATGGTCTGCGAAAATAAAGTTCTGGGTTCGGGAGTACGGTTACGTGTGGGGAAGTTAAGCAACACCCCCACAACGCCCTAAATCGGTACTACTTAAGTCGATAAGTTTTTATGGGAGTTGGGTGTATTTTAGTAATAATTTTGTAATTTTAGGGGTCCCACTGGACCATTTAATGATTTTAATCGTATTAGCTGTAATTTAATTGTACGCCCACTGACGTAAAAGATAAAGTTAATTGGTTAGTTGGACTCGAACCTTACCGGTTGCCTACGTACCCGTTAGACGGGATCAAAGTCCACGTAGTTCATTTAGAACTTTGGTAATTTAATTGTAATCACGTTCCACTGATCGTGAATTTCGTATTATAATTTTGTTAATAAAAGTTCATTTAGATTATCATGAGGTTATGAAAAAAAATGCAAGTATTTTAGTTATTAGGAAGTATTGTGACGTATAAAAAAACGAGATAAACTTAATCCGCAATTCTACATTTCGTATTAAGGATTTTATAAGAATAAAAGTAAACAAAATGATTAAGATAGTGCATGATGGGCCAGCAGCCCAAATGGCCAAAACGTCAGTCCTAAACGCCTGTTCGAGCGCAAGGACACGGGTTCGAAACCCTCTGGCGACAAATTTTTATAGATCCTTCGTTTTACTTCAGAGAAGGGGAAAGGGCAGTGTCGTAATTCCACAAAAGGACGGTGGCAGGGATGGTAATTCCTACGAAACCCTAGGGGCAATTCCGTCATTTAGACCCGAGAGGTATAAATTCATTTTTGCAGCCTCCTAACCCTAAATCGGCCGCCCTCAACCTCTCGTTCTCTCCTCTCTCGCCCAGAAACGAAAACCCGTCAAAAATCGAAGAATCCTATCCTTTTCTTTCGAAATCGACGAGGGAGATGGAAAGGACGACTTCTCTTCTTCTATTCCTCGATCTGCCTACCCTACCTAGCCTCTCCTTCTGATGAAACTCGAGCGAAGCCCGGGAAAGCGACGACAAGCAGCAACCCCTTTGTAGACCCAAAACGAAGATGATCCGGAAGTTCCTCACGTCGGCGGTAAGCGACTTCTACCCTTGCATGTTATCTTTTTATCGATTTCGGTTTAAGAGCTATTCTAGGATTCTAACCTTCCGTTTTGGTTTTTTGGGTTCTCTCTGGTGTTTGATCGAGGGGGAAGATGGGCGGCGAAGGAGACCCGACAGTCTGGCGACGGGAAGGAATAGATCTATGCAATTTGTTTTTTTTATTAGACCTAGGCTCGATATTTCCTGTGCTTTTGATTTTTTTTTTTGGATTTGGCAGTGGTCTTCGGCGGTGAAGGAAGGCTCGGAATTTACCGGCAGTAGGGGTAACGCCGGTCAAAAGAGGAGACATAGGTAAGCCTATTCTTGTTACTCGATTGGGTTTAAACTTCTAGTGGGGATTATCTAACGAAGTTCTTGAATACTCTAGCGAGAATCATTTGTTTTCTTAAGTTCTACAATTCTGCTACGATCCAGAAATAGATTAAATGTTTTCTTTAGTATTAAAAAAAACGACTTTGAGGCTTTTTCAAATTCTGATCAATTAAAGTCACAGCTACTGCTCATGACTTTGGATTAACAAAATTGAAATTCTATTCTATGTTTGGGATCGGATCTAGGGGTAAACGCTTGAGTACTGGTTTTTGGCGCGGCAATGGTTTTCTCAAAAGGGGTGTTTGACTATGTTAGATCTAGATAAACTTACCTATGCTTAATAACTTGCACCATAGATTATCACAACATCATAAGCAAACATGTGTTGAATGAAAACATGATCGTGGAAGGAAACATATCAATCTACATGCTTCCATTAGAGAGCATAACCAAGACAGATCTAATAACGGGTTAATAACTAAATATATAGATGGTTGGATCTGATTTTCCCGTTGCTAGTTAGGAAGTAGTTTTGATCAGGCTACTCCAAAGATAAACATAGCATATTTGGATCTATCAAGTCTGTTAAATCTTATACTATAGTCGAGATGGGCAAGATTTTAACAACTATGCTGATGGTTCATATATGATATTCAATCTATTAAATATGTAGGTGATTCTGATATGATATTCTAATAATTATGCTGATGTTCAATATAGATGTAAACATGGTAGACATAGCTTGTGACGTAAAATGATCTTAAGTTACAGCTTTTCTCATTTCTTTTGATTGAAGTGATTTCTGCCGATGTGTTTATTACTATGAAAGAAGTACCAACCTGGACTTATGAAGGACTGCTTCTTTGTGATTGATCTTGGTCGCTTGCTCTGCTTCTATCCCTGTTTTCTTTCGCCTGCCTGCCTCCTGCTTTGCTACTTATTGTTTCTGCTTTTGTTCTTGA